TGATTTTGAGATTGTCTGGAATTCAAAAATGTTCAAAAAAAATTCAATTTTCTATTATAAAATATTACTGCATATTGTTTTTTTGGTTTTTGCCCTGTTCCATTATTGTCGAATCGAATAACATGATTTAAGCGATTCCATAAGCGTTGGGAAAACCCGAAAATCGATTATTCCCATCAATTCACAATTTTTGTTATTTTTCAGAAGGAAAATGCGCGTCCGCGCGGCCTCCTATTGCCAAGTCGATGATCACATTCCGTTTCTGAACGCCCCCGGCCGAAGTTCATCGGGAATCTCGACGACGAACGCGAGCAATTGCGGTGAGCCTAATTCCACATTTTTGTTTCGCCTCATCGAGCAGGTGAATCCGATTCAATTCGACGCCGTCCACTGGTTTTTGTGCCAATTTTCACACAATTAATTCATCATGGGAGTTGTACATCTTTTTCGCCGATTTGATAGCCAAACGAGATTATGGGGCGAAATGGAAGCGAGGAAAAAGTGTTACAGTAATCCATCCCGAATATTTGAGCATCCATTTCCATTTCGATGAACGCCTTATTCGAAATGAGTCCCGTGCTCAATTGTTTACTCGTTTTACTGGTTCTTTTGTAGTTAATCCGCTAAATCCCATTTGAGCTCTGATGGTCCCAAAAAGCGCGATTTATCCACTCGAAACTTTGTATATCATCGTCACTACGATACAATAATGACGTGAGAATTGTTGTGCTGTTTCCAAATGCCACTACATATGTCAGGTGATCATAGTCGCATTCGAACAACGTGCATTTTGATGAAGCTTGTCCAATATCCCCGCTTCAACCGCCGATGCAATTTTCCCACCGACGAGACCGCGCAAAAATTTCATCACTTTTTATTTCGTCTGCTTTGCATTTCTTGGTTATAATAATTATAATATAATAATATAATTATAATAATAATAATAATTAATATAATAATATAATTATAATAATAATAATTAATAATTTATTAATCAATATTTCTCCATTTTTTTTATCTAGTCGTCACGTGCCCTTTAGCCACGCCCATTCATATCGCAATTCCTGAGCTATATTTTTTAAATGCCAAAAATACGTATTGCTTTTCCACTTGGAATTTTCAATTTTTTTTTGATAAATCGAAATTGTAGATTGCTCATTTTCGTGGTGAGATCTTAGAAAAATAATTTAGAATTATCTTGAAGACTCGTTTTTGAAAAAAAAAAACCTTCAGGATGATTTTAAACGTCGAAAAGATAAACAGCTCTACGAATGTTGCTCACGCGCTTTTCGCAGAACTCGCTAATTTTGTAGTAGTACTACGAGTTTGAGACGCCGTATAAGGCCAATTCTCGTTAAGAATCATATATTCCGTTTAGGACCATGTTGTGTTCGTAGGTATGCGTGTGTGGTACACGAGATTCGGTCAATGTGACGAGTCAACCAAATAGAATGGCTGAATGAGGGAAACGCGATCTTATATAGTGGCCCGGGATCATACTACAAACAATAGAAAAATATACGAGACGCAGAGAAAAAGAATGCGACCTGCGAGAGACGCAGAGAAAAAAACTGCGACCTGTGAGAGACACAAAGAAAAAGGGGCGAGACACATAGATAAAGGGAGAGTGAGAGGGTGCTATACAACGAGACATTTCTATAGGGCAGTTTTGTGGATTATAACAGACTAATTTCAAGATTGTTTCAGAACCCACTTTGAGAGAAGCGCTTCATTTTTCCTCAAAAACTCCCCTCAACAATTTTTACGATTTTCGATGTCTTAAAATGCACCGATGACTTATCAATTGCTTTCTTGAAATTGTAACAAATCAAGTAATTAGTATAATTGGACGACGATCCCGCTGGTTTCAGCATGATTAATTGATATTCGCGAATGAATAATAATTGAGAACGACTCGCGATTCTATTAGCCTCCCAACTATGCGACATCTCTTGTTTGAGGTCCCCCCTGAAATTCGATTATTCAATTTTTCAATTTATTATTTTTTTGTTTCAAAATTCTCGCATTCGCATCAAGACACACAAACACCAAAATTGTCTCGAGTTGCACTTGGGCACGGAATCATGCAATAAGATATTCATACAAAAAATGGCCCCATTTATTTCTGGTAACATGTGGGGGTGTGTTTTAGGAAGCTTCTTCTTCTTCTTCTTTTTCTTTAACACCAATTTTGGTGAGACGCTAAAAAGAGGGCTAGTGTTTTTATGGAGTGTCGTTAATTTGGGATTGGTGAAAGTGCGCTCCATTTCCAAATCTCACCTTCATATTTCGCTTTTGATTTTGCCCCAAAGACTATTTCTTCTGGTTTAATTTCAAGTCAATTTTATTCAAGGTCCTGCAACGATACTACTTGTTTCCATGTTTGTGGCATGCGCCTTTAATCCGAGTGCTCATTTGTAGTTCGCAAACTTTAAATTTTAAAAATTCCGGAAAGAAAGTGAAGAACCCTTGAAATGCTGGATATTTGTGAACAAAATTTGCAGTATGTTTCTGGAACAAAAAAAAAACGACGACCTATGTCGTCAGGTGTGTTGCGGTTCGTGCGCGGGGCGGTCGCGCTCCTATTTTGTGATCTACGCTTTTGGAAGGTCTTCCAGCGGCAAGTCTTTTTCCTCTTCGCATCATATTTTCAATAGTTTCTCTCTTGATGTTCATTTTTTCTTAATAATGCCCTTTTAGGTTTCTAACAAAGCCAAACAAAATTTCTCCCCAAATCATCAGTTTTTTTATGAAAATCAAATTTTTGCGACACTTATCTCAAACGAAACATTCGATTTCTGAAGTGCATATTCTATAAGTGAATTTATTTTTTTTTTCATCTGCTAAACAACATGTACATTGAAAAAAAAATTGGCATGGCTTGTAAAAATTAGTTTCAGCATTGCAATATATTTCAGAGTCAATTTTTGAGGTATAAAAGACTCCATATTAAAAAAAAAACTACCGAAAATAGAATTCCTATGATCATACTAGTCTAAAGAAAAAAAAATTCATAAAATAAATATGTAATACGACGTCCAAACGATTCACCAATTTAACAAAATATTTTTTTAAAAATGCATTAATTTCATGCCAATTTTCAAAACTTATAATATCCTAATTCGGTAACCGAATTCCCATTGTTAAAATTCGAATTTGAATTTCCGCGTCAAAAAAATGCGATTTTGCACAATTTGTCAAAGTGCTCAAAATTTGCGATGGTAATTATATAATTTTCAAACTACTCAGGTAAATCGAATAAAATATTTGAGATTCATTGAGAAACTAACGTGTCTCTAAAATAATTTAGTTTTTTCTCAATGAACTTTAGAAATTATTGCAAGATTTTAGAATTTATTGAGATAATTTAGAATTGGTTCAATAAATTTTCGGAAATGTTAAAAGACTTTATGAAAAATATTTTTCAGTTTATCAAGTCTCAATAAGTTTTAGAAAGTATTAGTAAACTTTAGATCAATAAAACTATTTTCTCATAATATTTGAGAGTTTATTATTGAATATTTGATTCTCAAAATATTTTATTTAGTAAAGACATATTAATGTGTGGTTCTGCAATCACTACGACGCGGATATGCACACAAATGAGTCAAATGTTTCAATGGCTCTCCAAACGACAAGTACATATATATTTTTCTGTTTTTAATATTCTACACAATTTTTCTTCTTCTACATGTAGTATGCAGCCAGCTTTTGTGCTCATTCCAAGAAAAATAGAGGAAAAAAAGCTTGTTGTTGGCCAATCATATAAAAAGGTATACGTTTGTTACTCAATAAAATTGTCCAATTTATCGCCCAAATATATGATGAATGTTCGTCCCAGGAGGCCTGAAAAAGACCAAAAAATTGGACGGGTTTTTTTTGCGACGAACGTTTTTATTCGAATTCGATCCTATAGTAAAATCGCATTAAAAGACCGTGATGAGACCTGTTAAAAAAATGAAGCTCTTTGTGGATTTTTCGACTTCTCTGGTGTATTACTGACTGAATTGCCACCTTTTTATTCAATTGATTTGCTCTAATTTTTCGTCACGGGATATCGTGCAACCTCATGCGCCTTTAATTCATGTAGAAATTTCAATGAATAAAAAAATCTTTAAAAAAAATCTTCAACGAATTTTTTAAAGATTTTTTTGTGAAAAAGAGAATCGATAGTAGTTATTAAAGAAAAACGCAACATTTAAATTTTCCGGCAGTTCCGGCCTTCGATCTGCTCCATGAGCTACATTTGAAAAAAAATGGATGGAAAATAAACTGTTGGGTAGTTTTTCAACAATATGATTTTTGACAATTTTTATCTTTTTTGATAATATTCTAAATTGCAATATTTATACATAAAAAGACTCCAAGCAATTTTGATCAATTATTGAAAAAAAAATATCGGGCAAAAATTGTCGAATAACCGGTAATTTTTAGACAAAAAAACCAGCGGCCAGAAAATTCTGGAGATTTGCGAATAAATGATTTAAACCCGTTTTTCTCGAATTCCCAATGATCAAAATCCATTCGTCTCGTCGGCTGCCTCCTTATTTGTAGTGTACAGATGGTCGCTGAGAAATTGGTCGTGTGAATAATACACGTCGGGAGAGGAAAATAAAATTGTGGTCGTCGAGACCACAATTTTTGTATTTATTTTTCATTGGGGGCGGCAAATTTGAAAAAAAAAAAACGAAACGACACAGATTCGATGTTTTTTTTGTCGGTTGCGAAAAGAAGTACGCCTTTAATGATAGGGTTAAGAATTCCAATTTTTCGGCTTCTCCTCGCCTTCATTCAGCGAATTTGAGCCAATTTCAACAATCATTACATTGAAGCGTCAGCATTCCATTTTTATGGGATTTCACAAACTCTGTCTGACGAGCACAATGTAAATGTCCGCAGATGCCAATCTTTTTTTTTCACAACCCCTTGTTGTTCGATATACATACTTTCGTATTTGCTGCTTGATTAAAATACTCACGAGTGTTTCGCCGCTCAGACTCATGCCGCGCTATGTGATGACGAAATGCTCGTCGGACGGCGCGACGCGCCTCTACACGGATCGACCGAATCTGCGAACATCGTCGCGTTCGTTGTCGGCGGAAGCGCGACGGCGTCGAACACGACTGACGCGCGCCAGATGCGTCAATTCTGATAGTAAGAAATCGGAAGAGAGTAAGGCGATCATCCAATTTATGATTTTGCGGGGGACAAAACTCGACATCGCAATTTTTGAAATCTAACCAATTTGACAAGGTTTCGTTTCAGGCAACACATTGTCAAGCTCATTGTCAACAATTCCGATCACTGGTGGAAATAGGTAAGCTTTTATTTGGGGGGGGGGGATATTTTTGATTAGGGAACTATGCCGATTTTGGCTACCGCCAGGTTTCTCGTAGCCTACAAATACCACAGAGTTTTCATTAAACCCTTTCAAGAATCATGCAATTTTATTATATGCGCCTTTAAGCGTAATAGAAAAAAAAATGATATTTAAAAAAATGGAGGCGAACTTCCATATAGCCTTACTTTAGAGGAAACAATTGAGTATTTCGATTTTAGGTTTTTTTGAGATTCTGCCTTTTCTGTAATTTTTTTGTTTGCCAACCCCCCCCCCTTTGCATTCAGACTTAACAGCTCGCTCAATTTTTGCAGCAGTCCCGGCCAGTCGCGTGTTCTCGTCAAAGGTCACACGGTTTCAAGTTGCACACCTCGTTTCGGGTAAGATGATAATCGATGGAAAAATAATGCACTATTTCATTAAATGAGCCCCAAAAATGAGAATGTCGTGCTCGACGGAGCAGGTGATAATCACTTGTTCTTTTTTTTTTGGCGAAACATTCGCCACTCTCAACACTAACTGCTGGGCGCGCGAAAACCCAATTAGTAATATTGAGCGCGGGCGCGCGAAAATCGAGCCAACGCTCCCCCCAAAACAAAAAAACCAGGGTTTTTCGATTTCTCGACTGATTCTTTTCGGCGGCCTACAATATTCCGCTTTTGTATCCGTTTCGATTTGTTTTTCACCCGCTTCTGGAAATTATTCAAAATATTCCACAAGATTCTCTCAGGTTTTGAGCAGATTTTCCAATCTCGAAATGTTTGAATTTAAAAAAATTGCAACAATGTGAGCGGCACTACATAAAAAGACGGTGTTTGCGGATTTGCCTTATTTGATCTATCATGAAATACATTGAAATTTAAATATTAAAGGCGCATGCAAAAATATTTTCAATTCGCGCTTTGGTGTTTGATCTTGATATATCAAGATTCAACTTGACTGTAAATGCGCGTCAATTTCAGTGTGTGTGTGTGCATTCACCGGGGAACTGAAAGTTGGGGCGTTTTTGGCTCCTCGCAACAGAACAAAATAGCAATAGAAAAACGGTGATTTATCTTTGTTGCATCGCTATGCCTAAAATAGAAGACATATTTGCGCCTTTAATTCATTTTTTTCACATGAATCTTATTTTTCGTCTTAAATGGCGCATATCTTTTGAACCGCTGGATTAATGAATATTTTTGTGGAAATTTCTTCAATGATTTTTCTAAATTGGTCTCAAAAATATCAAGAATACTTTAATGATTAAAACATTAATCTAATTTTGACATTTTGACAATCCAGCCGACAAATGTATCAAATGGCCGCTACGTCTGCTATTTTTTTCGTTCATTGTTTTGCTCATTAGACCTGCTACTAGATAAAGTTTGAAATTAACACTAAAAAAATAAAAAATAAAAAATATCGATCTTAATCTTCAATGATTTTCATTTTGTCCGCAATCAACATGACGACACTTCACACACTTTTCTAACACCATATGCGTAGTGCTTAATTATTGATTTTTTTCACGTGTTTACGTTTCTATTAGTTCAAAATGCAACAAAATTGGAGCGAAAAAAAGGAAACCATAAATCTGAAACAGAAAATTGAAATTGTCTTGAGCGCGCCACCAAAGATTCAAACGAACTCCTAATAAATGATGAGGGTCCGAACTCTAAAGCGACCTTTCATTCTTCCATATTTTTCGGTTCAATTCATCTTCATCCGTTTTTATTTCGTCAAGCCAGCACACCATAACACAACGATGGGTAAAAGTGCTCCTTTGATTTTGTGCCATCGAACCGGAAAATCGTATTCTTTTTGAGTTTAAACACCCATATGCAGTTGCTGACGAACGCGAAAAGTGTGTTATTCATAAATAGTCGAAAGCCGTTGACGACGTCGTCAAATTTCGCATCAAAATTTACGATTTGCCATTTTCTTCTCGTTTTTTTTCCCAAAAATGGAAAGTTTCAAAATTTGGCGTGAAAGCCTAGCGCTTGTCATTGCAAAAATTGTGGCGGCGCGCGTGCGGCTGAGTGGTCTAGTGGTATGATTCTCGCTTAGGGTGCGAGACTCGGTGAAAATTAGCGGGTCCCGCGCGGGTGGAAATGGGTGGTTGGACCCGCGCGGGGCCAGCGTGGGTCCAAATTATGCCCAGCGCGGGCCCAAACGGCTATTTGGGCCCGCGCGGGTCATATCTGCGGGCCCCGCGACGGTGAATATCTCAGAAGGGCTCGCGCGGGTGATTTGCGTTTAAAAGGAATGGAGGGGCCCGCGCGGGTGAAAATAATGCGGGGTTCTGAGGGGCAACTGCGGGCCGTAAGCGGGGCTCTCTAAGGACTCTCGCGAGGCCATCAAATGCGAGGGGCCCGCGCGGGCAATTTGCGGCAACCGCAATATATCAGCGTATTACAGTTTTCCAAAAACAATTTTGCAAAAGAATTAAACATGTTGTGTATCAATTATAACATTGTTCAAAGTGTTTGAATCATCACGATATGTTCTAGCAACGCCAGGAACGTTAATAGAATTTTTTGAAACTTGAAAATAATTGTGAAATGGGGTGAAGGATCAATATTTCAGAATCTCTGTGGTTTGTTTTCAATTGTTCGAGTACTATTGTTAAACACAATGTTGACTTTTTAAGTTATTAAAATAATTTGCACATTTTCGACTCTTCTTGCTTTAGTATCTAAATGTCTGACTTCATGCATAGGAATGAGAGCCCTCTTCAAATGAAAGGCCCTCTTTTCAGTCCAATAAGCTTGCCTGGAATATCTGAAGCATCAGCTGAAACTCTAAACATTCGCAAACACCTTATAAGGGGCCATCACGGTTTGAACAACGGCCGTATTCTTTTCGGATGTGGTCGAATTCGATTGGGAAACAAGACATTTTGCGTTCGGAATATTTTATTTATTTTAGTTTTTTTTATTAATATATTTATTTTTTATTATTATTTTTTTTTGAATAATAGGCGCATTTTTCTTATTGAGAATTTCTGTACTAATCTCGTTCACAGAAAAATGTTTTAGTGGAAGCAGTGTACGACACTCCGCCGTTAACACGTGCCCGCTGTTTATCGTATTTTGTTTCAACCGTTTTGAATCGTTCGTTCCAATCACATTTAACTCGTCCAATTAATTGGCGAGTGTCTAATTTTTAAATTAGTTTTTTCTTACTTTTAAATTTAATTATTTCAGTCATATATATGGTAATGGGTTCCAAGTGCAATGTAAAAAAAAGAAGAAGAATATTTACATTTAGTAAGTAAAGCCAATAAAATTAAATACCGTGCGTTGCAGAATTATGACCACTACACGGTTACTTTTTAAGATACTAACATAAAAATTGGTACGTATAGGTAATTTTTCATGCTGAACACGATTTTAACACTGCTTGGTCTTAAAATCGAAACCTGCGCGGCGATCTAATTCGGGGGTGGCTTTATAATTCTGCAACGCACTCACTGTATATATAAAATACAATATTATGTTTAGATAATGTGTCAACAGTTCGCAAGGAAATGGAATATAGACTACAAGAGAAAAAAAAAGGAAGAATCAGACTAGCTGTTGCTCGAGAAGACGGTATTGGTTTCCTATCCTATTAAGATGTTAACTTCAGCGGGTTGGAACTTTTAGTGATTTCCGTATTTGGGGATGGTTCATAATTTCAAGATAAGTGTGGTGCAGAGGCGCGCTGGGGTTAAGCGAAGGTTTCGAGATAGTACTCAGCCAAAGATTTATTGAGAAAATTTATATTTGGGTAAAATATTATTTATACAATATATTTTGAAATGCGAAACTTTAAAGTTGTATTTTTCAAATAAAGCCCAAATGTCAATCAAATATAAATATTTGTTTATTTTAATAAAAAATTGTTATATTTATATCGAAATTTCAGGGATTTCACATCAGCATTTAATAGAATCTGGAAGGTGGCTTGGCTTGCTCAAGGCCCATCCAGCCATCGTGATGGGCCTAAATACCATGAAAGTTTCGAGACCCAATCGCCGAACCATCCATTTTCAGCCATACAGAGAAGTTTCAGAAATTCACATCGCATTATTATGCAACTGTATGCGGGTAGATTTACGGGGGGGGTTGTCTTTTACGCTATGGTCTCGCCACGAATGAATGCTTATATACATATTTTCAATTAAAATTTCTATATCTTCTTGATTCGCTTGACATTTAAAAAATTTTTAAAGGTGCATATTCGTATATCTACGATACAGTAGTCGGCTGAAACATTAATCAAAATCAGTGTGAATAAAACTATACGAAAATTCAAACATTGTTAAAAATTTGCAGATTAGTGTGTAATTTTAATGTCGGCCTGAAATTTGACTGAAAATAATTGCTAAACCTCTCAAATTTGTCTGAAACTCTCAAAAAAGTTTGCTTCAATTATTTCTCGCTCTCTTGCCGTTTCGATTTTGCCCAAGAATTCAGCTTTTGAAAGGAAAGGCAAACAACCAACAAAAAACAAGGCTACACCCGCATGTGGGAATCGTCGCTATCCGGGTTCGACGACGACAGTGTCGACGAGACGGCGACGTCGATGCGTCCGCTGCCCAACGTGAAGCCATTCGTGCCGCGTCGCTCGCCGCGAATGCCCAAATACTCAGACACAATTCTTCACACGTATTCGTGTCGAAAAATGTGAGCGTTCAAAAATAGATACATATATTGAGTAGTACCATATTTGGTGGTGGGGGGGGCGTTTCCAATTTCCGACATCATCACGGGAAATTGTCTGTTTCCCGTCGTCGACACACAAAAAAAATCAAATAGTGTTGCCAAAAATTGCTCATACTTTCCACACCCTCGAAATGTTCTCGAAGCAGAGAAGCATCGATTCGCAATCGATGAGAGCGAATTGCCGAAAATTGCGCAATCGGTGAGCCGCGCGCGCGCGGGGAGACATTCTCTCTCATTCTCTTTTTCTCTCTCTCTTATCCAAACTGTGCTGTTGCAGATCGAGCTCAATTCCGGCGCCACTCGATCGCCGTCAGGGGAGAAGCTGCGAGTTCAACACCAACAACGACGATGATCGCCATGATCGTTTCGATAATCCGATAGCGCAGGTTCGTCCCGTTTTTTGAAAAGCTTTGACGGAGGGGGGGGGTCCGATTTAATTATAAACATTTCGTGTTTGGATTTACGCAAACAATGCCCTGAATTGAAGAGTCCCCCACCTCTCAAGCTTTTTCTTGTTGGCTCCTTATTTGGTTGAAAGCCTAAACGCAAAAACGTCAAGTGCTCATCAATCTGTGTTTTTCTCCGAATTGGCTCATTTCTCAACTCGGACGACCTTTAATAAATCGGTGAAAATGTTTGGGATTTCAATGCAATAAAAAACCACCAGAAAACACGACGCTCCTCGCTATTTTCGGACTAGCGAGGCGACCAGGAAAAACACGCCCGGCGAAGAGCGGTCGCGTTTTAAAGGCGCATTCGATCACAATCAAAATTGTGCCAAAGTATGATTAGGAATATATGTAGAATTAGCGTGTGTTTATTGATACCTTCTCCTTGGCTAATTATAGACCATCGCACTTTTTTGAGGCGGCAATTCAAATTTGAATTTAAACTGTGTTTATTCGGGTACCGTACTCTGGATAACCTGCAAATCAAACTTAACCTAAATCTCAACTACGCAGAATTTCAGCAAAAAATCATCATTTGAGGTTTTACTACGATTTTGCCCGATCTGAAAATCGAAAAAATCTCGTTTGTTTCCCAACGCGTCGGAACCCAAGAAGCAGGTTTTGCACAGCGTTACATCGCTTTTTTTTTCGGGGGAACTCATTAAAAAAAATATTGTTGAGAAAAAAGACGGGGTCGGATCGGTGAAATTTTCAGTCCGCCCCGTCTCAAGAATGCTTTTTTGAGATTAGTCGGCGACCAAAAAAAATTTAGTAACCACGTTTTCTAGGTAAAATATTTTAGCTGAAAATTTGAATAATTTTGAAACAACAAAATTCACGACAAAACTTGAGATTTTTCATTTCCTAATTTTTTCTTTCAATCTTTGAAAAAAAAAACAAATTGCTGGCTCGAGTCACATTCCAATTATGGTTGTTGATACGCATTTCCATGAATCATCGTGATAGCATTTAATAATCTCACCCGAACGACTAATGCATTTAATTTGATTTGTGTCATCAGACGTTCCGGTCGTCCTAAAGTGTGTTGGGTCTCGAAGCGATCTCACCACACGATCTCATTTTGCCTCAAAAATTTTTATGAATTCCAGTCAATCAAATTTGCCGCCCAATTGTGAATTTCCATTCAGAGACAGGTGCAAAATTTGCCGATATTATATTTTTTTCTGCGCGTGCGGCACACCAACAATCGGCATTAATTGATAGCGTGATAGGACCATTGTGCGCCTTTAAATTGTACTTGTTTTTCTCGCTTTCATCCCGCGCCCTCAATTTTGCGTAATTCTCGGCGAGACCGTTCTAGTTTTGAATGGTTCGTTGAAGATGACGTCATCATGGATGTCGCTCGCTGCGAGACCATTGAATCCCCCCCGATGTCGTGCACTTTCTAATCAATCCTTGCCCAATTAGGCATGAAACGATCCGATTAACATGAAAATTGACACAAACCAATTAGAATGAATTCCGAGAGAAAGTTTCATGTTCAGTTTCCAGAATAAAATATTTCATTTTTTTTTGCAAATTTTTTTTATAAAAGAACACGCCCTTAATAAAATTGGGAGGAAAATGAAGAGAATAAATGAATGAATGAGTTGTGGGCCGCCCTCTCTCGGAGCGCAACCCGCCAACATTAAAATGTTTGTGTGCGCATCGATGAGCCGCGCCTGAAACAGAAAAAAAACAAGATTTGCAAGTTTTCATTTGGGTTAAACCCGTATTTATGCAATTTCGCTTTTATTTTTGCTTTCCGCTCAAATTTGCTGCTGAAAAATCGTCATTTATTGGCCGCAAATTTGACCAATTTTCATAAGGCTCGCACAACTTTGTGTTTTTTTCGCCGATATTTCCCCTAAACATCATTTTCATATATATTTATTATTCGAAATGTTTAATGGTTTTGGAAATCTTGCAGCTTGGGTCCCGTTTGGAATCAAGTATTGTTCTTTTTCCTGTTTTTCTTTTTTGATGAAGGGGTCATCATGAAAATGGCAAAAACGCATTATTGAAATTTAATACTTTCCGGTTCGGTCCATAAAACACAAAATATTGAATTTTCTGCGTATATTATCTTTCAGACAATTTTTGCGCTTTCAGAAAAACAGATATTTGAGAAAAAGCGAAAAAAATTGGCGAAAATTGCGAAATGAAAAATTCGAAGTACAGTAACGCGTTTCAAGGCGCACGCGTGGAACGCGACAAGGTCTCGCGCCGAAAACTACAGTAGTGTTAAAATATTTTTTTATTTCAATTTTTTTGCATGAAAAATGGAATGTATTCGCACAGAAATTTGTTGTAAATTAACGTCGACTAGTGTTATTGAAAAATTTTGAGAAAATCGAAAAAAAATTGGGCAATTTTGCCGCGTTCATGCCTACTTTTTTAAAAAGTCTATCGAGTCCCACATTTGATTAGGTGTTTCAAAAAGAAAAAAAAAAAACAAAGAAGGGTGAGAAAGAGCAAAAGTTTCACGCGAGACAATTTCCCACGAATTTGGCGTTATCAATCAAATCAAAAATTCGCGGCGAAACGTTTATTTTTTTTTCTCCGAGTTGAACATGTCGCGTGCCACACCAGATTTCATTGCATATTCAAAAATCTCTAACAACATTTTTTTTTCAACGAATTTCTTTTCTTTTCCGTTTGGCGCCTACTTTTGCGCAATTTTTATTGGCGCACTTTTTTTTGTGTGGTTGGTGTTTTTCGGACCTTGTGAAGCAGTTGTGGGTCCCTCGAGGACCCGTCCATCCGACCGACCGACGCCCACTCTTCCCATTATTCTATCGTATTGAATCGATTAGTATTATTATTATTATTATTCCTGTTGTCCAATTTTTCTTTTGGATGTCCACCATGGTTGTGTATGATTCATCGGTTGGTGTGCCGCCGCTGCCGTTGAATCGTCGCAAGACCGAGCCGAAACGGAAAACGGTTCGATTGCACACCACCGACGATGGCGGCCAGGCGATGAGAGATAGGGCGTTCTCAATGTATACGGTAGGGAATCACAATCAATTTTCGTCTGTCTTACTCTTATGGGTATGCGTCTTTAAACATGGTCTCGCAATGATTTGCAGATTCTCATTTTCCCCCGCAAGGTACATCCATCATTTGTTTTGGGATTCTGAAATCACCAAATTGGTGTTTTCTTTTTTCACAGTTTTGGTGTCCGTCAATAAACATTGTCTTTCTATCATCCAAATCAAGTTTTAAAGGCGCATGCCCGTAAATTTACCATCGGTAATTTTAAAAGATTCCTATATTTTAAAGATAATTGTCATAAATATATAAAACTTATTTTGATTGTATTGAAAAATTCTGTTGCCATATTCATAAAAAAATACTCCCTAGTTGATTAATGCTTGGATGATAATAGGCCTCTTCGATGATGAAAAAGAAAACAATTATCAGCGTAAAAAATTAGCGCATTGTTGTGTAATTGTGGACCATCGCCATTTTATCGACGCGGCAATTCAAATTTGAAATTAAACACTGGGAATTCTGGTTGCAATTCTGCACATTTTTTTTTGAATGTAATATTTTAAATATTTTTTATTTCAATTTCCTATGCACTGATGTTGAAGAATATTAGATTCGCATTAAAAAACACCGAGAGCCCGCGCGTCTGTCGCAGGTTTTCCAGAATACGGCCCCCAAATTCGCAATGTTTCAAATCAAATTTGAATTGCCGCCTCGAAATAGTGCAATGGTACACAATTTTCGCTGAATAGAGGTGGGGCTTTCACAAAATCAGTGTATACTGAAATTAGTTATTAACTGAATATTAAATATTCAAAAAATATTAGTCTCGCGGACTTCTCGTAGCTTCGAGACACATTGGCACGTAGCCAGTATTTTTTCAAATTTAGTTTGACGCCGACATTACGAAAAATTGCGTACAGTTGTCATCAAAGGCACACACGGAAAATTTCGAAATTTGCTCAAATTCGCGTCTGAGCTAGTCGGTTTTTTTTTAATTTTCGCTCCCCGGCTTTCGGACATAAACAACGGAGTGTCGTAAACGCCTTCGTCTTATTTCTACTTATTTTTTGATTCCATCCTTAGAATCAAATGTCGAAAGGCAATTTTCGTTGATCAAGCATATTCATACCTCAAACCGTAGTAGAATTGATTTAAACGGCTGAGAAGCTATTCATTCGCTATGAAATTGACAAACAATTATCTGTTTCAATTCTCAATTTAGTTCGAATGAAATTAATTTGTTTATAAAATTCACATTTTATTTTCACCGGCCGATGAATTGGCTTTTTTAAAAAGTAGGTTTGGTAAAACGTCGGTTCGGTGCCGAATTTGACAAGCCTGCCCTGGGCAATGAACTCCCCTAAATAGAAATCTCAATAGAGCGCACTTACACCATTGTTTTGTTTGCCAATTTTATAAGCATCTTCTTGAGTATTCATCATTTTTTCGATGAAACAATAAAGAATTAGGTTTATTTCAATGATTCTTAGATAAATATACCATGTGGACAATCATGAAAGGTTTTGTCAGTCAATGAAAATTGCATGTACTTAAATAAAAACGAAAACTGCGCTCTACTGACGTGAGAGTGCACTTGGGCCCTCAAATAAACTCGTGACAAGCGCAAATTGTCCCGTGCACCTTTAAAAATATCTGACGGAGTATACTGTAGAAATTTTTTTTGTATTTCTCGATATAGATCTGAGGAGATTGTCGATTGCTTTCGGTAAAAGGAACGTCGAGTTAAAAGCTTTCGCTCCAATGCTTTTTTGAAACTATATTTTCCTTCAAGAGACTACATATGATAATTTTCATCGAAAATAATTATATTTCGGCTTTCCCAGCAATTTGTCAAAATATTTTTTTATTCCATTTTATGAATATGCCAATAATTGGTCTTTTCGAGTTAACTAACTTTGAGCTAATCAAATTTCAATTATCAATTTATTTTAGTTTTCATATTATTACTATTATGCTAATTAGACTGATTCAATATCCGTTGCTATAATCACATTTCGAACATCAATTTTTTGAATGCGCACATAATCCCCTGACGAGCATTGGCGGAATGGAGAAAACAGAAACAAAGGGAAAAAAAACGAAGCGCACCAAATACGAGTAATATGAGACCGCGTTTTGATGATGGGAAAAAAATGAACAAAAAAATTGAATCAATTTGATTGAATGAAGAGAGTCGAATGGTGTAACGCGAATATGTTGATTTCAGGTGTCTTCCGACATTCTTCGGGTTTCCGGTTACACTCAACAATTTCGGAGTTTGTTGACGGCGCGATTCACACCACGACGCGAGTCGGTGCCGAATGTCTCGATCGATCGCGAGAACGAGAAGCTGACCGGTGAGAATTGATTTGTTTTCGACGCGAAACAATTGAATTTGAAAATTTCAATTTAAAATCAAGTCTAAAAAAAAGAAGGAGGAGCAGCTGTGCAGATTGTTTGGTCCACCAAGCTAAAAGAAAATTTTTTAAATCCGCGCGAGACCACTGCGCTCGTAAATCTACCCCAAATTTATTTACTTTGATTCCCTTGAAATATGCTGTATCCAGCTGACACAGCTAAAAACCAAGAAGTTCATATTGTTCCAAAATTTGCATGGTACTACCATTCGAACTCAAAGGGACATCATCACCCACTTATTTGGATTCGTGCAACGTGACCATTTCAAAATTCGCTTGCAGCAACACGTTCAACTTAATTAGAGCTTCAACAACATCTATTATTATGATTATATCTATTAGCAATTGCTCATTCAATTTTGCCTCTTTCTCTCGCCTATACCAGAAGAAGGGGTGGAAAAATCGAAAACAATTGGAGAAGAAGAAGCCGAGAAAATTGTTTCGGAGAATTGCTGACGCGAAATTGTTTCGGGTCGCTTTTTTTTGTTCACCCATTTTTGAAACATCATCATCCATATGTTGTTTTTTTTTCGAGATATATAACGTTCATTATTAATCCCGTCGAGACGAATTTTTTTGCTGCAATTCCATCCAATTATGGCGCTCTTTAATTTTCACTAGTAGCAAAAGAGACTCTCGGAATTTTGGAGGAGGCGAGGGGGGGGGGATATTGTTATCAGAACGACGGGCGGGGGGTATCAAGACATTCAAAATATCAAAAATAATCCGGTTAGCGTATTGCAAATCCCAGAGATTAGATTGAGTCAGTCGACGAGGCGCGCGAGACCGGAAATTTGTCCGCAGCGCACAATTTTGTTCTGTTGAGGCAAAATTCTCTACAGGTGCACGCCGAATTCAGCACGTTTTTCAAAGAATTGAAAAACTCAGGCTTCATTCTCGAAACAATAATAGGTTGCTTGAAACATTGTACTGTATGTATCACGCCATGAAATGATGGAATTAGTAGGCGACGAGCGGTGCCAAAAATGGGCGTGTCGCATCCCCCCCCGTATATGTCGTTTTCTTTTCGGAAGAGCCGCGACGGCAGAGTGAAATGAAGAGAGGAAGAAGTTGATATTCGAGACCGCTGCACCGCCGCCTCGCTTCGACTGCTGCCCCTCATTTTCGTTCGTCGCGCGTCGTCCCAGCTGCCAAAATAAAACACGAAAAAGAAGCGAACCACCGAACACTAAAATAAAACGCTTGGCGATTTTCAATCGATTTCGGACGGACGACGAATCGCGACTCTCTAGATTCTCGATATTTGATATTATTGATGGCCTGAACGCGTTCTATTTTGACGGCATCGTCGATGTCGCCGTGAGATGCGCCGCACCGCGAGTCGTCATCGTCGCAGCGTCACACTGCGCTCGATGTCGTCGGCGCCGTCGACGTCGAACGGCGCCGCCGCCGCCGTCAGACAACATCTGCGGCGTTCAACGTTGACGCCGAACTCGAGCGCGCTGATGGCGTTGTCGCAATTCGATCGCCGACGATTCAGCACCATCGATGGGCCGATTGCGCCGCGCAAAACGAGCATCACCAAATACAGCGATCCAAAGCAGATTATCCACATATTCAGCAACCCGTGTGAGTTTTTTTTCTCATTTATGGCGCCAACTTGTCATCCGATCTTCTGTGTGTTTTTCATTGCTTTCCCATTGAAATTCAATCCACAACTAATGGCTGGCACGTCACTGATAATCCACGATGTAACAAAAAGAAATTAGTGTGATCCTTGAGCAACCGTGACAAATTTGTTTTTAATCTCCACAATTTTTCATTTTGTGCCTCAAAAAGAAAACGAAGAAAACCAAAGCTTTATTAGTCTCGAATATCATGCTAAGAGTTTTAGGCGGCGAAAAACTCCTTCCAGAATTGCTCATCAAGCTTCACACCTCGCTTACTCTTTTTGGTGAACTCGAGAGAAGCGACGCGGTATTTGTCGTTGCTTCGAAGCGCCTAGAATCGAAAGAAAAAAAATGTTGAAAGCAATCTCGACCGCCTCGTTTACCTCGCGCTTCTGTTTGGTATTGGTGTTGAACTCGAGATCGAATGTGAATCCGCCCGGTGGTCCCTTCTCGCCCCACTCCATTTGCTCATAGAGATGGGACAAGAGTTCGCCAATGGTGAACGGGTTGTTCTCAATGGTGCCCTTGTCACTCTTCGATTTCGCCAAGAACAACACCTTGAGGAGGTCCTTGTTGGCGATCACTCGACTCTTTTCATCGAGACCATTCTAAAATACAATTTGGTTTTTTTTTAATTGATTTGTTGATTAGCGCGACTCACAAAAATTTCGAACGATTCCGGGAGGCTTTTGATTTCGGAGCCATCGGGCAATTCAATTGGGAATTCGGGAATCGTTATGTTGTCGTTATCTTCAATTTGGTTTCATATTGTCAAACGCACTCTTTTTGGTGCCAAACCTGCAGCGTTCACAATTATCACCAAAGCGGCGCAGAGGCAAAGAAGACGACTCATTTTGTCGTCCAGGAACTGACTCAATAGAGACGATCCGAGACTTTTTTTTATAAGAAGGGCCGCTGTTGATAAACATCGTCACGAGGGGGTCACGCAGGAAGTTCGCATTCGCTCCTTTTTCGTTTTATCTGATTCGAAATTAGTCCGCAGATGACGTTCTTATAGTCAAGGCCAAATGAATTTTTTTTGACCACGATTATCGGTGTCATTTGAATTGCCGCCTTGGGTCTCGTAGGGAAAACAACTATTAGCAGCGAGTTGTGCTTAATTAAACCATCATAATGTGAATATTTTTTTTTATTAAAGCATTTAAAATGTGTTTTGTCAAAGTTCCACGCATTTCACTATTCGAGACCCAATTAATTGGCAGCAATTAAATGATGCCTAATATGGTCAATTCCTATTCGCTCCGAGACCCAATCACTTTCATAATATTCAAACTTCGACGGATTCAATTTCTGAGATTTTATCGCGACGAGACGCAATGCGCCTTTAAATTGATTGCCAGTGGAGACACACATCAGAAATTCGTCACGAGAATTGATGCGAAATGAATAATTCGTGTTGATATACTCGGTGTTAGGCATCAGCATCGTTGCGTTCCGTGTCGTCAGGGGGTTTCTCTCTCTCTCTCTTTTTTTTTACAAAAAAAGGCGAAATGAAGGATTTCGGCAAAAAAAATGATTAGCCAGAGTCGGAATCCTGTCAAAAAAAAAATAATATTATAACAAAAAAAGAGACACGAAGATTTCATTATTTATAGGGATTCCACCTTTTTTTTACACCCACTAGATTTTTGAAAACATTCTGCTGGCATTCGTTCGAGCTTCTTCCTCACGTTGATTTATTGACCATGAAGCTTAACTACCGGGTAGTTGGGCCTTATTTGGAAGAGTAGTTGGCCTGATAAATAAATGGGACCTCAATTTTTTATAGGGGACCATGGACGATTTCATTGTGAAACCTTATATTTCGGTTCAATTAAATTCCAAAATTCCATCTAATTAAAAACTTAGACTTTTTTGAGGGAACACAGTTACCATGAACAGTGAAAGATTCTCCGAACCGCAAAAAAAGGTCTGCGAGAATTGATCGCTGCGAGACTCCGTTCCAATGACTGTTTTTAATTACCGTATCCGAACGATGTGTTAGGAAATTCCTTTGTCTTGAAAATCGGTGATTTCGCTTTTTGAATTTTTTTGATATTCGAATTTTAGGAAAGTTTTTTTTTTAATTCTGTGAAAATGCAAATTCAATAATAATTGATTGATTAAAGGTTCATCATATTGAAAAAGAGGGGAGCACAGATTTCGGTAGTCGCTATATATTTTTTTTCAGAAAACAGACTAGATAGAAATTGGGGGAGTCAATGCACTAAAAAAATATCGGCAGGTGATTGTGACAATTTTCGAGAAACTTATGGTTATCTAGAGATTTCGCAAAAAAAAATCCCGGTAAAATCCATTTAAAAAATCCTATGATGGTTGTGGAAAAAATCTTGTCTAACCAGTATTTTTTAAAGATTTTTTCTTCATAGTTCCATTATCACTGGGTACTTTAAAGAATAAAGCTTTGGAGGGTAGCCAAATTCGTCTGTCATCACCAGCTCGTATTGCGAAAGGGGTCTTTTAGCTTCAAATTCCGAGACATTTTTGAAGCGCGAGATTCTATTTGGGACCATAAAGAATTGAAGCTATTTTTACTTCGAAAAGTGCTCGACATCCAAACGTTTTTATATTATTATTATTTCCAGCCAAACATGACCTTTCTTTTAAGTTAAAATACTCTGACAATAAAGGGTACGAGAGACCTCTAGACAGAGATTAGCCTCGTTTTCGAATGGGCGGTGAAAAGGAAATGCATATGTGTTTGTTTTTATTACTAGGGAAACGTGAAAAACAAAGACTTCTGAATTTTAGAAACTCATTTCAGATTGCTGAAATTGCTTACAATCTTTAAAAATTCCAAAAAATTCACATGTCTGAAAGAGAGAGGAGGGGGTGGGAATTGATTGCCCTAGGGACCACTGAAACTTTTATTTTTAGCTTTTTTCATTTTTTTTCTAGCCAAAGATCATATTTTGGATTTGTACAGAAAAAAATTTATTGAATAAATCGTAACCGATAATTGGGTATTGAGGTTCTGCAATTATCAATTTCAAAACATCAAAATTTAAATAATTAAATTTTTAATTGGAAAATTGATAAAATATACTATTTTAGATACCGAAATGTGAAAAAATAAATATTAATTGAACGACTTTGGATCTCGCAGCGATTTAACATCAAACTGGTTTAAATTCAAAAATCACTATTCTTTGCGCGAAGAATTCCATTTGATTTATTTATTGAGATAAAAGCTGCTGCTTCGCTTGGTAATTAGCTAGCTAGTTGAGTCTCGCCGCGATTTCTGACATCACTCGAACCGCAAAACCCTACTATTAACATTATTTGGCAGTCCCGTGATTTTTCAGTTTCATTTTTTTTCCCGCCACCCCAACGACGCGTTTTTACATAGTAGTTTCATAATCGGCGCCTTAATCAAATTGCGATAATTGGGCGAAATTGTAAGGGGGGGGGCAAGTGCCAGAAACAATAATTGTGATTGGGTTTCGTCGTTCACATGGCAACACATTTGATTAGAATCGCCTCATTTTTATCGTTCTAATTTGTTTCCATTTTTTTTGTTTGCCTCGATGAACGCTGATTCCTGGGATCCGTCATTGGATTCGAAAACAGAAAATGTTTTAGCATTTGAAATGCGCAGGTGAAAATGTGGTGCAGCTCATGATCTAAATACCCTTCGACGTAATCATTCTCAAAAAATAGAAGTTTTGTTGTTTGTTGGGGGGTGCCTCGAAATTAAATTCGCCGCCAATTTATTGCCCCCCCCCCCTACCCATTTTTAGTTTTTCGGGTTTTCTCGACGCTTCTCAAAGGCAATTATGATGATGATGATGGCGGATACGAAAAAATTAGCATAGTTTGCTATTTCTTAATTATCTTCAAGGGCAACCCTATATTAGGATGATCAGGGGGAACATCATTCCTCGACACTTCCCCCCTCTAATTGCCGGTAGGTCCGCGTTTCTTAAAAATGGGTTGCAAGGAGTTAGAGGGGGGGGGGGGCGAACCAGATCAAACTCCGCCCCTCAATTCCAGCTCATGCGGGTCGACGCTGTCATGGAGAGCCTGAGTGAGGCGGAGTGAGCGGGAGAGAGAGGGGGGGTCGAGCAAAGAGCCGAACGAAAAAAAAAAGAGAATTTTGTCGCGCGCAGAACTTATTCGCCCGCACGCCCCCCTCGAGCAGCACACCAGCTGATATTCAGCGAGCAAATTCGCATTATTGCTATTACGGTAGCCATCAATGTTGCATTAGCCATGTATCGCCTATTGCAAACGGTATTTGATTGGTTCAACGCGGACGCGAAGATTCTTCTCGATGAAGGTTGGTTGGTCATTCTTTGGTGAGGGTGTGTGTGTGTGTGTGTGTTAATGCATTTTGAATGCCTCTTCGCTTTTTGCTCTCCCGCCGATTAAATCCGACGGATTAGATGAAACGCAATAAGAAGCGCACAGAGTATTTTTTTTGTTGGTTATTATTGCTGAAATATTATCGGGGTGGGAGACGTTTCTTCACGACTTCATCGTTTCGAATTCTTGGAAATATTTTGTTGAGAATGATTCGTCGATTTTTTTTAATGATTGAGGAGAACTCGGGATTATATACGTATATATGATTCTGTTAAACGATTCTGCTCAAGTTTGACAACAAAAAACATGAGCTTAATAAAATTTTGCGTAACGAGACCGATTGAATTTGAGTATAATATCAGTAATTATGAGAAACGAAGCTCGCAAATTCTGGCTAAGAATAGTTGACTGCTCAATTTTCGCTAGATTTTCTGAATATTGTTAACTAGTTTTTTTTTCTTTGAGTTTTTCCATCTTTCAATTTTTCAAATGTGGCCATGTTTGGTGCTGCAAATGCTCTTTCAAAGCAATGAATGAAGCTATGTCCATTTTCGGAAAACAAACTTAAATGACCGGTAGAATAATGTTTTTTTTTTCGCTTTCGGTTTTATAATTTTTTCCGGAATTCTGCATAGCACTATAAATTTCTAATTATGTCTCAAAAATCCTCTGAATGCTGAATATTCCATTCAAGACCTTTTCAATAAAAATCAGACATATGAATTATTTATCGTAGGTTATTATTACCCGTGCATTTGATCGGTAGTACAATGTTTAAAACATTTGAAAAAACACGATGGTCCACAAATGCTCAGGGTGCTCTTCTTTTGTTTTGCAATGATAATAAAATCTCGAAATATTCTGCTAAGACGATCTCATTTCGAATGGCTCGCTTGTGATCTATGGCACGATAATGAATCTTGAATTTCCGATTGATTGCGTGATTCGCATTCGACCTTTCAGACATGCCATCATTCCATATTCGCGCGCGCGAGTTGATAACAAGAAGTTCGACGAAGTCGACAATTCGATTTAGTTCACCGAACTTCCTTCATCGGGCGGTGTGAGAGGGGTGCTATTTAATTCCTCTCGGGGACATGATTCAGACCCTCAAAAATTGTTAGCTCGAATCGAAGGCGAACAACAATTATCGAATAAATCATTTTCATCATTCTCTTTCTTTTTTTGGAACTAATCAATACATCAGAGAAAATTGCAAATTTATTCGAACCTAGGGTTCTATTGTAGGGCTTGTTGAGCTCAATATCGAGAACGTTCTTAAAACAAATGCTTGAAAATTTTCAGACGAACGATATGTCAACGGCGGTATTCGATTCGACAGCGATGCTCTCGAGGAAGGCGACAATGCGCAATCGCCGTGCAAAGTGCCGGGAATTCGACGGCGTCAGAGCGGCTATGGAATAGCGATCTCAAGGTGAGCGCTTCAAGACCCAACGCTTTCAAACTTTGAATTTCCTTATACATATGTGATTAATTAGTTGTGCGTTTTTGCGTCGCGGTGTTTGCACAAATCTCATCCTATCATAATTTAGTGGTGTTTGGCGGCTTCTTCAAAAATATTCGCTGTAAGAATCTTGAGATGTTGCATTTAATGCTCCTTTAAATCAAGTGCTTCCGAAGAAGGCGTCAAGTCCAACACAATTTCGAATATTTTGCAACAAACAATATTTTTCGCGAGTTGAGTGGTATATTTAAAGGCGCATTCGAGTGTTTGAAACGCTTGTCGTATCATCGAAAATCGCGAATTTGTGTACATTTCGAGTATTTCCAAAATGATGCGAAACATCACCCAATTCATCACACTTAATGTTGGCTGCCTCGTCTTTTTTTTTTTGCTTGAGCGCCATAGTTTCTTCAATTTTTTCACGAAACAATCGTTCGAAAAGAGACGAGTGTCAGAAATCGAATAGGATTTGGCACAATCGGACAAGGGATGAGCAAATAAGGAAATTTCGGGTTTCCCCCCTTTTATTTCGTGCTAAAATTCGCTCGGAACGCGTTTTTCCTTTTGGAAATGCCGAACCTCGATAGTTGTCCGCAGCTCGACGAATTTTGAAACACAAAATTACTGTGTTCGGGAACCATTCAAATTTCATTCGGATCATTATCCCTTGAACTCTCACAAGGGCATTTCGAGTCTCAAGAGAGACGCTGGTGTCGGGTCGAGCCATAATTTTTTCTTCTGTTCGCCGGTCGTGTCACTTTTTCATTTTTGTGTTTCAATGAATGCATATCGAATCAGTGGACGTCAACAGGCAAATTCGTGTCGTAGGCGAAGCCGGAAATTGGACGAATTGTTGAGCTGGTGACACAACGCCCAACCCACAAAAAAATGATTTTTTTTCTGTCCGAGTGTGTTGAACACATGATTAATAGAAAAATAATTTCCGTCGAAATGGCTTCGTGGGATCTCATATCCGGTTTTTGACGTGTGGGAAAAAATAATTCGCCTAAAAAAGTTGACATCAGTCACATAAACTCAAAAATTTTGCGTTTTTCAAGCTTCTCCTCCGAACAGTCAAAAATTTTCGAAACCCCGAGGATTCTCAAAGTCTCTCTTTTTCCAACATCTGCCAACGCCAAAATCGGTTCTACAATCAAGCAAAAACTTCCGGGAGTCTGCTCATTTTCTTGAAATGACAATTTTCAATTTGGGGTGTTGGGTACTCAGAAGAGACGTTTTTGATTGAAACGAATCACAAACCATCATTTTGATTGACAATTCGAGATCATCCTTCCCCCCCCCCCTTCGCGCCACCACAGATGTTGTGGCATCTCGGAGTTATTGCGTTGAAATTGAGCAGGATACAAATATTGTATTCATTGGCGGGGGCGGAGTCTCGCCGCGCGCTTCTGCGTATGCGTATGTCGTCGTTCGCGCGCGGCTCAATAGCCAAGAAAAAAAAATCATCAACATCGCCGCCGCGCGAAAACGAAAAGCAACGAGAAGCCGAGAGTGTGAGAGGCAAAGTGTCCGCATTCTTCAATCATAACTTCGATTTGGGTTTCGCTTCGACTCGTGTGCTCGCGTCGACGCAATTTGATTCGAATCGACGGCATGGCAACGATGCCGCGAAACGTTTCGAGTATTGTCTACCGTATTCCGGCCGTCGTGATGCCGCTATGGTTTCTCAAACGCGAACTTCAAATGATACTGTAGGTTGTTTTTCCTCAATCGAGACCCCCCCTCCTGCTTAAACACACCAATTCATGTAGAAGTGTGCCTTTAAATATATTGTAGGAGGGGTGGCATTGAAGATTGTAATATTGAAAGCTCCCATCGCCCAAAGAAAACTCAATTGAAATTGAGCTGTGCCCGTAATGCCATATTAGGAATGGCGGACCATAAATCTCTTGAGAAGCCTTTTATCTCAAGTGGAAAATGATTGGTCATTGCCCCCAGATTAGTCAACCATTTGTATCATGTAGACGTATGTTCGCAAATCTATACACTTCATTCATTCGTTTTTTTTCTCCCCTCAGATAAATCCATGCATAACAACAAAAAGCGAGGGAGAAAAAAAAACTGATTAGATATCGGCCGACGACGTCAAGCTTTGACTGAAGCACATTATTCGCGTAATTGATTGGTAATAGTGAAGGGGGGAGGCAGGTGTTGATTCGAAAAAAGGGCCACTGAAACAACGGCGCGCAAAAGAATCGCGATGGTCGGCAACAAAATGAAATGCAATCGAGCGCTGAAGAGGCACCCCCAAAAACCAAATATGGAAGGCGGCGGCGTGTTGAGTAGGCATTGCGAGCTCCGACTTAAAAATAAGAATGGCGGTTGCTCAGTTTCTCGATGAATGGCGCAAAAATTACAACCGATTCGTTAGGTAAATTTTTTTTTTTCGCTTCGCAAAACCGCATAATTTGTACGTGGGGGTGGAATCGCCTACAAAAAATTTTGATATTTATTTTTTCTACATAATGACGCATTTAGAGCAGCTGCTCTTCAACCCCAACAACCATTTTTAACGATTTTCATTTTTTTCCCCAGCAAAGTCCAGTTCAGCATGCACCTTTAAAAATAGATTGAGACTCCGAATTCTTTTTATCTCATGTTTTTCCAGCGACAGCATTGCAAAAATGCGATGCCGATTGCGAAAGCAGTTATTCATACGAAGGAACAAGGTGAGATTCGAATCAAGCTTCTGATGACACGTGAAGCTTCAGGTTTGCGACATCTCGCTGTTCTTGGCGCTCGCCGGTCTTTTCTTCATCATTATCGATTCGGAGCTGACGGCGCTTCACGCCGTCGAGAAGGATTCTGGCATCTCGCTTGGACTTCGATCCGCCTGCGTCCTATCCACACTTTTACTTCTTATATGCCTTATCAACTATCATGCGATTGAGGTATTCGATTGGAATTTCTCTTTATTTTATGTACCTCATTCTCCTCATTCAGGTGAAAATCGCGCTGATCGACAGCGGGGCCGACGATTGGCGGGTGGCACTGAGTACGGATAGGCTCATCAAATTGCTCATCGAAATCTCAATATGCATTATTTGCCCGTTCCCAGGCTCCGGTGTAATGAGTATGCCGTATATCAATCCGGAATCAAGGCAAGTGAAAATGCGCGAAGTTTCCGTCGACGTGCTCCTATCGGTTCCAATGTTCCTCCGATCGTATCTCGTGTGTCGCTTTATGGTCCTTCACAGCAAACAATTTCAAGTAATTCAAAATGAAAATTTTGTGGACGCATGAAGAATGATGGGTGTTTAGGATGCCGCGACGCGTTCAATCGCCGCTCTCAATCGTATCTCGATGGACTTCCGGTTCGTCATCAAGACCATGATGGCCGACCATCCGCTTCGTGTGCTCATCGTCTTCACCCTCTCATATTGGATTTGTATGTCATGGATGTTCACACAATGTGAAAGGTTCGTGGGCGGAGCGAACTTGGATTAATTTTTTTCATTTTTTTTTCTATTTCTGGCAATCAGCTAATTTGTCATGCTCGTTATGATGATTAAGTAAAACCCCTGATGAGTATTTCCATACGAGACCCAAGGCGCCAATATAAATGATTTGTTTACGCCAAATGCAACAAAGTTCAAAACCATTAAACGTCTAGCTGCGGACATTCTCAATAATTGACTTTTATTTTTCCAGATACGACGGTGAGCTCGATGTTGAGCACTACTACTTGAACTCAATGTGGTTTATCATGGTGACGTTTATGTCAATTGGTTATGGTGACATTGTGCCCAACACATATTGCGGAAGGTGTCTTTCAATCACCACTGGAATAGTGGTAAGTGATTGTTGGGGGGGGGGGGAGCAGTTCGAATTGAACGCATTCGCCTTCTTCTAGGGCGCTGGCGTCTCATCGGCGTTGATTGCGATCATCTCGAGAAAGCTGGAGCTCTCGCGAGCCGAGAAGCACGTCAACAATTTCATGGCCGACTCGAAGCTCACGAATCAGCGGAAGAACGCGGCGGCCAGCGTTCTTCAGGAGACGTGGTTCATTCACAAATACAAGAAGGCGTTGCACAAGGGCGACGATTTGCGTTTGAGGCATCATCAGCGGCGATTCTTGCATTCGATCAACGAGTTTCGACGCATCAAATGGGATCAACGCAAATTGCAGGAGAAGGGCAACTCGCTGCTCGATGTCGGCAAATTGCACTCGGATATGCATGAGACTCTATGGGAGATGCATCGAACACAGGATCACTTCATCGCTCAGATCGACATCCTCACGCAGAAGATCGTCGAGCTTCAGAACACGCTGAACGGCAGACAATGCTGCACGAATATGAGCACGATTTGCGAGTCCGCCGAAATGGAGCAATCGTTGGCGCCGTTGCCGACGCAGAGTCCGCTTCTCAACTCGTCGCAATCGCATCGCGAACCGCTTCAAGCCGCCGCCGCCGCCGTCGAATCGACAAGCCAAATTCCAGCGAGCGCTTCGATCCCGCGAATCTCGGTGGCGTCGGAGAAGACGCCGTCATCGGGTGCCTCATCGACCAACGGAAGTTTGTCGCAGTGCACCGTTGATCAAATCTCCAATTGTCCGTCAGGCGGACGATATGCTACCGTAACCACACCGCTGATAACGAGATACGAAGAAGTCTAACAAGAATTTCCATATTGGAATACCCGCCCAATTAATTTATTCGCTATTCAAGAAAAAATAATAATCAAGCACACAATTTCCTGTAAAAGGTATCGTTTCTCTGTGATCTTCATGTTCTTCGACTTCAAATAAGAACACCAATGAGACAAAAATCTCCCCCTCCTCCCGCGTGATCTATCACTAACTATATTTGTTATCGATTACGGGCCTTTCCCTTATTCGAGATAACCAAACCACTAAATTCAACCATATAATTTAATAATCACACCCATAAATGGCAATATATCAAATTGTGATCACCTGTCGATTTCTCTCCAATTCTTGCACCATTTTTGCACATATCTCCGTTTCTTCATTTTCCGACCAAACCGTCCATAATAAATGAATATTCAATTCAAATACCGAATTCATTAACAATTCTCATAAGTACTATACACACAAAGGATCCAATTATTAAAATCATCATAATAATAATTAGGGGTATTGAGATGGGCTTGGTGGGTTGACGGTATACGGTAGCCAAAAAAAGTGAAAAAGGAGAAGGAAATCGTTTGAAAAAACAACCAAAAATTGGGGAAAATGCAGTAGAGCCGAAAAATGAAACCGAAAGAGTCATTGTTAATGAATGAATGAATTTGAAGAAATATAAAACAATAAAATATTGAATAAAAAAAGGTATTGGAAACAAAACGTGATTATAATAACTGTGAGAGCTGGGAACAAGTTTAGGGAGGCTTACGAGCGGAGAACAAGTAGCGTGTCGTTTATAGCATTCAGCCACGAATTCATATGGTCCGCCGATTCGGTAGCAAGGAGAACTCTGAAAACACAAAACGGCACCAACAACTGATAAAGTCGTTGTCGAAATCCCATTACCTTCTCTTCTCCAACAACGCCGGCGTCTGATCAATCAGCAGCTCAACCGAAAACAAATGCTGTTTTCCATGAATCGTGTTCTTCATCGGCTCAATCGTATCATTCGTGCATTTCGTCAAATCAATCTGCGAGAGCGGTATCTGTTCAGTCTTCTCGTCTTCCGGCTTCTTCCAGAAAAAGATTATTCCGCGATTCAGCATCGCCCAAAACTTCTCCCACACAGATTCACCGCTCAACGATTCTTCATTGTACATATACTAGAAAGAGGAATTGACAGCAAATGTTCAATTTCCGGTTGAAAAGCTTACCAAAAATCCGCGATATTCAACATCTATTGCTTCCGGCAGCGACGAGCAATGAGAAACAAGCTTAACAGTGCCTTCAAGCGGATAAGTGACATCATCGAGATAAAAATTCCCATCACCGGCCGAGTCTCGGTCAAGCGTCAATTTTCCGCAGAAGCCAAAGTCGCATTTCGGCGCGTTTTGGCGTGAAATCGTCGAATCATTACGGCTTCTTGGCCTCGTTTTACGCTGGGCTGAAATATGCAAAACTTCTACATACATATATGAAGAATTATTTACCTGCGCTAGGAACTAATAAATTTTTACATTTCGTCGCCAACACTGCGGCGCACGTCTTCTTCGGCTCACGATATTCAGGAATTTTCTGGAAGATAGTAATTTCTAAAAAATAATCAAAAATCTGCTTTCTTCATACCATCATGTATACTTCCATAGTGATCACAAAATCAACAGGTAAATTCGAAAAGTGCAGATGTTCGGCAAAATGAATCACATTCAATCGGGTTTGGTAATGCGCGAGGAGCGTCACAACGCCAGTAGCCTCAATCTCAGTGCGACACTTAAGAGCTACAATAAATGCAAACGAGCCACCTAAATAAAAAATTACTTTCTAAAAATAAACTTAAACACATAATACGAACGCAAATTGAAATTCTTGTTGAGGTACACAGAAATATTCGAGATCACCATCGTCGACTTGAAATACCGATTCAACGGCGGAGGCGGATGGCGGACCACAGAAAGAGCTTGAAGTCGCTTCACCTCGTCGAGTTGAAGCTTCAGCCGTTCGCGGGTAACGAGCAAAACACGTTGAGCTGAGAGTTCCTGAACGACGAGATGACTCTTTTTCGCATCAATGAGCGCGGTTTCAGCAAGTTCAATATGTCGGCGAGTTTTCTCCGTCATATCGATGAGCTTCTGCAATAACAAAAAAATCAAACCTAAATCAACAGATTGAATATCGCGAAATCTACCGAAATTTGCCGCCTCAATTCATTCGTCTTATCCGCCGTCGACATGTTGCTAATCGAGCTGACGAACGAATCCTCTTGCATATTATTCATATAACCTGAAGCTTTAGAAAAAAAAAAACAATTGAAAAACGATAGTAGTTTAGCTTAAACCTCTTCTCTGCGCCAATGTCCCAAGTGGTGTCGATGTCGCCAACGCCGATGGTGTCATCGATTTATTCACCACAATCTTCTCCGTTTTGGCGTGTCCCTCACGCTCGCTCACCCGATATTCCGTCACCGATTGTCCAGCATGCGGCGTCATTAGTGTCGGCGAGCGCGTGAATTGTGGAGCATTTCCGCTATTAGTAGAAGCTGTGAAACCCGTTCCGTCATTTTCAAAATGTTCCACATATCGGGTATTCTAAATCAAAGCATTAAAATAGAGTTAATTTCTGTAAAAATACCGATTTTTCGAGCTCGAGCTCCTGATAGGTGTGATTCGACATGTTCATTTGTCTTTTATGATAGTTGGTGGCATTAGACCTATTATCAATCGAAACATATCCATCCGTTCTTTCAAGAGTTTTATCTCCGATATCACACGTCTTCTGCTAAACATTTTATCAAATTAATATAAAAATTGAACTTTAAAAAAACCATACCTCAACAAAATCAAACATCTCGTCTATTTTATCATCAGTTCGTTCTTCAGGAATATCGGAAAACGGGAGCGACTGTCTCATAAGCTTGCTGCTCATTCGCGGCAACGAATCATTGAGATCATTGTACTTTCGTGGTATGGTGTAAAAGTCCTCCTGATCCTGACAACCTTCCTCTTGAGCTCGTTCTCGCTGCTCAAGCATATTGTAGTAATCCTAAAGAAGACAACTATAAATGAAGTATCAATTAAGAAAGGATTACATGGTCATTATCTTCAGGTTTATAGCCAAGACTGCTAATTCCCATTCTCACATTATTCCGAGTTTGTCTGTTGTCAGATGAATCATCCAGAACGTTACTATTCTCGTCGTAGTTCTTTTCGGCATTTCGGCGAAGCTCGGCAATTTCAGCAGCCGCGTCAATTTTACGATGGAAGCCGAGATCAGAGTTTTCAAGACTTTCTGCCATCGATCTGAAGACAACAATTATTTGGGAAAATTTCAAACAAAAAACAGCCATACTTAACAGTTCCCGTCGGCTTTGGTAACGGCGCCTTGAATTTCTTCTCAGACTTGGGCGAATCAATCTCAAACTTTGGGACAACAATAGCCTGCGTTCCACGGCGTTCTCGACGCATCGATGGTGAAGCTTTGATCGATTCTTCATTTCCAAAATATTTGGAAGCCTCATCTAATCAAAATTCATTGAAATTTTATTGAATTTCTCTATGATACCTGGACATTTCAAGTTTTGCGGTGTGGACGTAACAAATCCCGAGAATCGTTTATTCGCCTCATTCATTTTCGCCTCCCGTTCAATTAGATTGAACCGAGTGCTACTGAAATATTTAATTTTCGTTTATTTTGAAATGAAAATTGGCGTTTTTCTCACGTAATCGAGGGCCGTCGAGGCGTGATATCAATAATCGACGATGATCGAGCTTCGCTATTATTGTGACTTTGAAAATTGTTATTATCGCCGCCATCGCCAATAATATGGTGCACATAGGATGTGACACAACGGTGGCTCGATTCCATGTAACTTGGTTGCTGATGCTGCTGATGTTGAGCAGTCGTCATTTGATAATAAGCTTCATCTTTTGCGTGCGGCGAGTCCACATAATCTTCAAACACTTCACGACGTCGGTCTTCTTCTTCGTATCCTTCCATCATTGAATCGTCTATAAAAATACAACATTTTGAATAAAAAATATATATAATACCAAGAAAATTCGTTTCGACTAATATCTTCTCATCTTTATCGTAATTTGGCTCGCTAATTCGTCGAATGCGCCGCGACTGCTTGAGTTCCTCCGATTTATCAGCGACTTCAACCTGGGCAATATTATCAAATAATGCGGCTATATTGCGAATACGACCGCGAGGAACATTTTTTCTAAAAAAAAAACTTCATTTTTTTTTCATTTATCGAACATTTACCTCCAAGTGTCCCCACGTGAGGGCGAAAGCCAGCTGATATCCGCTTTTTTCTTTTCCGGCGTCTGATCGACAACGAAACTATCACAATTCGCTGCTGTCATTGATGTCCATTTGTACGACTGAAATTTTAAAATTTACGTTTTTTTCCCAAACATTAATATTTATTTCTTACTCGATTATTTGATGGTGTGGAAGGCGGCGGAGTGTGAAGAATTGGTGGTGCAACGCTAGGGCGTCTATTCATGCTAGAATACATTTTAACTGTTTCATGAAATGTTTTTGAATGCGCGAATGTGAAAAGAAAACATAACGTGATCAAAATTGGTTTTTATTTATTTGTAAAATCGAAAGGTTAAGCATTTTATTGTGAATTTCCGATTAAAATGATTTAATAATGATAATAAAAAAAGAAACTGTACAAATTGCAGTTTTTATTACTTTTAAAAAGCATTTTTGAATGAGAAAAAAACCATTATTATAACTACCGTAACGAAGCAATTTTCGTGGCAAGAATTTTAGTATTTAATACAGAACGCACCTTCAGCTACAGTAGAAATATTTATCTGATTTCTTTTTCATCTCTTGTCAGTTTTTACAATTTTCCATGGAAATGACGTTTATTAGCATTAATAAAACTTTAAAAATTAATGTATTCATATTTTTCCAACGGTCAGGAACGCTCCTCTCAAGTGCCAATGAATTTCGGGAAGTTGCGATTGAATTATTAAATGTGCCACACGATCCTTGGTTTTTGGGCAGATTATCGGCAAACATTTTTGGTTTCCAGTTCCAATCATTTTTCGACATTTCAGAACCACGGAAATCAACTGAGGATTAATAGTTTGAGTTTCCTGAAGTGAATTCCATTAATAATGTATGTTATTAAAATTTCTCACAATTATTTCCCCATGTGACAATTGCGCATAAAATAAACTGCAATTTTTTAAATTAACAGATTTTCCAGCAGTCGCCTGCGGAGTTTTCGATTCTTTCACTTCGCCAATAACCTCAATCTAAAAAAAATAAAATTAATATATTTAGAAAAAAAACCACCTCTGATGTATTAATTTTGTGCTCTAAAGCAAACTCAATTTTAAAAGTTGAGATAATCTTCTCCAAATCTTCGATTTCTCTTCCATCAATTCCTTCAACTGATGGTGATTTCGACTCGACTTTTGGGCTAAAAATCAATTTTTTTTACGAATTGCCTCAATAATCAATTTTACTGCTTCTTGGCCAAATTTTGCTTTCGATAATTCTCAAAATCCTTATCGAATAAGCTTCGCATTTTCATCAAAACAAGTTTCTCGTGAGCTGCTTGAAGACCACGTGAAATTCTCGAATTCAAACCGCAAAGAATGATGTCATCGTGAGATTGTGCAAAGTGAGCAAAATCGTCCTAGGCAAAATAATTTCGAATATTTCAGATTTCAAATATTTACAAAATTGCAAGCATCATCTTTTAGAATTTTCTTCAATGATGTGTCAGCAGGAACGGAAATATTTCCCTAGAAGATTATCATTATTATTACTATGTATTTCAAAGCATAAAACCTCAAGTATCCATTGAGTCATCGCGTACGCAATATTCCTGTACACCTTATTATAACTCTTTGAAAAGTATATCGGCTCAATCACATTTTTTCTGAGAGTGTTGTAATCTTGTTTCTCATTTGGCAGTTCATTCAAGTTACGGACTTGCTGAAACAGTATTTTGAAAATTCAGGAATACATTTTATTAGTGAAACCTGGAACAATTTCATCGCCGCTAACAAGTCGGCATCATCGATTCGAGCATGGAAGTGAGGATCCAATCGACTCCTTTTCAAAAATCCATAATGTAGGCAGATTATTCGAATTACTTGATGTCTCAAACGCTCCTAAAACGCATATTTCTAGATTTTTCCGATAAAGGACGTCGAATACATCAGCTTTATCATAGGAAGTTCTCAAGGAGAAGTTGGCGAATAGCCTTCTAAAAATTTGTGCAAGGGAATCTGGAGCCGAAAAATAAAATCTATTGTTGGAAAGCTCATTGATCTGTAATTTTTTTGTTGTTTTCAATCGATTTAGTTCTAATTATACCGAATTCTTATATGGAATCTCTTCAGAAATCGCGGCAATAATTCGAAAAGCAGGATGAACATTTGGGATTTCGGCAAGTTTCGCAAGTATCTTTTTGATTTTATCAATGGTTTCGTAATCGATTTGATATAAATTCATTAAAAGCCATGTATTCTCATCGCTTATTTTTTCCAGTTTCCTAAATCAATGTTAAAAAGAATATTGTTGTATTTATAATTAAAATATAAATAAATAGTTACGGTAAAATATGATCCAAAATCGAGACGACTTTCCAGTTAATATTCCGCGAAACTTGTCCAAATTGTATAATTGAGGTGTAAACTTCAGAATCATATTTTAATAAGACCAATTTTCTGAAAATATTTGAAGATATATAATTAGATATTCGAAGATTGATAAACCTGAATCCAGATTTTTGGACAAAACTTGCAAAGTTCGAAAAACTGTCAATGCTATTCTTTTCTTGAGGCTCCAATACTATTCGGTCGACTTGATAGCTAAAATCTCTTTTGGAAATTATTTTTAAAGGTGCATCATACTTCATATTAGAAAATAGTAGATGGTGCACTATGTGTTTATCATCCCACGCCAAATAATCAGAGATGCGCTTCCAGAAAATGTTGGAAATTTGCCGATTCACCAGCTTGAAGTCAACGCTGTCAAGGCTCTTCACAAGCTTCTTAAGTGATTCGAGAAAATGAGTTATTTCAGAGAAAAAAATGCTCACAACATTCAACACGTCAAGCAAAAAGCTTAAAGGCATTCGGTAAAATTCTTGAAATTTCGATAGCGAATAGCACATTTTGACGATTTTCGCAGACCATTCAATACAGGGAGCCATTCGATTTTCGATTATTCTCAAGGAACGCTCCATCTGAAAGAAAAAAGAGGAGCAGGTACCTTATAAGTACTATACAGTGCGTTTCACATTTATAAAGCCACCCCTGTTTTTGGGTGTAACTTTGTCAATTGTGAACATTTTAAAATTTTGTTTTCAAAATTGAATTCATGGCTAAAAAATGCATATGTGTACCAATTTTCAAAATGATGTATAGTCCAGTAATAATTACCTCGTCTATCTGATTCCCTTTTGCTGTAATTGAGGCTTGTAGATTTCGCGCTTCTGCGAGAAGATCGATTGCCTTCTCATCATCAAGATCCTTGGATCTACCTAATAAATCAAGCATCTCATCTTCAGTTTCTGTAATTTAAGAATTATGGATTAATTTCGAGAAATTTCGCCACTTTCTAAAGTGTCGGCATCAATTCGTTTCAATTTCACCATTTCATTATAATCATGCAATGTTTGAGGCCAATTGGCATTTCCCAAACGCTCACAAATTTCATGTCTCAATTCCGAATCACTGAAATCAATCGATTGGCTCAAAGTTCAACGAATGAAAATGATAACGTGTAAGCATTATTAATAATAATCGTGTTTTCCAATTGAGCATCATTGTCGTGAGTTCTTATAAATATTCGAAAGTCGCGATTAACTTCATACTCATTTCCAGAAACTTCGAATATCTGAAATTGCCATTGGCTTGAAATATGTGTCAAGGAAATCCTCACGGTCGAATCATTAAGAGTTTTGACATAAAACATGCCATTTTCCAAACATTCGAAATGATCATTGCGATTTGAATCATAATCGAGAAGCACTACGCATTTAGCCTCGACTAGAAGACTCTTATCGACGTTTGAGAAATCATCAGCTTTGATAATCTTGTTATATCTGCTGCGAAGCTCATTAAAGGCTCGATCTGAATGCATTTTGAAGCTAGCAATATTAGAAGTCTAACCAACCATCATCATTAACAAAACACATCGGCTCTTCAACGAGCCCAACGATTGATTTGAGGTCGCAGGGGATAGTGACTTCAAGGTTTGGGAATAATATTCGCATGGTTTTACGAAGCTCAATCTGACAAAAAATCAATAAAACCATTAGACTAAGCATTATACTTCTCTCTGATCGATTGGCAATTTTCCAAAAACGTGAAGAGCTAGAGCAGAACCAACTGCATGAGGAACACATAGAGAATCTTCATGAGCAATGTCGGTCATTTTAGCTTGCCATTTGTCTTTTTCACCGCCTGAAATCGAAATCATTGAAGATTAATAGAAAATATTTTCAGATTACTCAAAGCTTGCACAAGCCGCTCAGCTCTTTCCATTCGTGTCTCACAGCTTGATATTTGAGATTCGAGCTCCTGCTTCCTTTGGCACATCTGACTAAATTGATCCGAGAGGCCTTGCAGCTTATCAGTGACTTTCTAAAAGCGGCAAAATTTGTTTGCGATTCTGAAATGGTCCCACCAAAAGAGCTTTGCGTTTGACTTCCAATTGCTTCAAATGTTGCTTCACCAATGTTTCAGCTTTTCTCAATCGCTCCCTTTTCGGCTCAACAATCTTGCTGATCTGATTGTACATATCGACGGCGAGCACCCATCGGCACAATCCTTCAGCGGCCAATGAGCACTGCTTCACTTTTTCCGGATCGAATTCCTCTTTCGACAAATACTTCTCGCGAATCAATTTCATTGTTCGTCGACTCGTCGAGTCTCTCGCAAATGTTCGAATTCGCGCCAGAAAATGAATGTCGGAGAGAAGCTTCTGGCCAGACACCCAATAATCATTCACAACCTCGCCATTTTCATTGGTGACTTTCGCGGGCTTCACACCAAGTAGAATGCAAACAGCTTCCATGCAAAGGCGCACAGCATATGGAGGGAATCTGAAATTGCAACAAAAAAAAACTAGAAATCATCAAAAAATCGATTCAACCTCATGGTTTTCAACGAGGACACATCACTTTGGGTCATGGTTTCTAGCGCTTCCACTGCTGCTTCTAATGCTGGAATTGCAGAAGCCAATTCAGCTTCTGATTCAGCCTTCAATGCCTGCACCTTGGTTGCAGCTTCATTAGCCTTGTTCTCATTGGCAGCGACAACTTCTCTCGCGTTCTCCACTTCGATCGTCTCCTTCTCAATGGTACTCATCAGAAAACTGAAACACTTGCCATTTTCGGCCATTTTCAATGCTCTCAACCTCGTCTCAATCGATGTTCTGAGTAGTTGCGGCTGCAATCGGAGGAGTTCGCCTTGCATTCCGGCCACCTGCTCTTCGGCGCGCTTCATTTTCTCCATTCCTTTCTCATATTTTTGCATGGTTTTTTCAACAATTCTCCGCTTTTTTCTTGACAACTTCACAATTGTTGAAACGATTCTCAATTTGTGCGCGTTGTCCGTCAGAATGCTCATCTGCTCAAGCTTCTCGATCACTTCGATTATGGTGGACATCTAAAATTTCAATCGATTCAAATGCCCTAATCAAATGCGATCGTGCCTGATTGCCATTGAACAGCCCTGAAGCTTTCATCTCCTCTCGAATCTCCTCAACAATCTCATTCTTGCTATACTGCCCATGCCAGTTGACTATCAAACGCCCAAGAAGTTGCTTCTGATTGTCATGGAACCATGAGAAGTGCTCCGGCTTCAAGATAACAACGACCTTCAATAATGCAAGCTTCGCCGCCATCGTCTGCCAAATGCCTTTTCCTTCCAACGTGTGCTTTTCACCAAACTCGGTGATCATTAAACGGGAAAGATATCGCGGTGGGACAATGCTGTGACAGCATATCGAGATGCAGTCAGCGAGAATCGCGGACATCAATGCCGAAGGCTTCGAGGACACCGAAATGCAAATCACAGATTCCTTTCCATCGATTAGGCATTCTTGAAGGGTCTGCAATCTCATCAATTTAATATCGATGGTTCACCGAATCAACCTTGTTCATCAGCTTCCTCCATTCGTCAACATTCGAGACCCCAAAATCCGTACTGCATTGCTGTTTGTTCAAATCGCAGGCCAACTGCACGGAATGCACAATTCGCGGCTTGCTACTTCCTAATATCTTAAATTTACAACTATTTTTCAAAGAGTTGACTACCAACTATAAGAACGCTGTTCTTTGCTAAGACACTCTCCAGTAAACTGATATTTCTAGCATCGGCTTTTCGAATCTCAAATGGCTCTCGCTTCAACTTCCGCTCTTTCGTTTGCTTGGCAGTATCCTCTCTGAACATCAATCAATGTTAATTTTGCTGGAATTATGAATAGACTTCTGATAGATGTCTTGAAGTTCGTTGATCTCAATAAAAGCTTGACTGCGAACAAGTCTTGACTCTTCTGAAATTTTCAGCTCGCAAACCCTAAATTGGAAATGTTTGAGATGCCCAAAAAATGTGTCCAACTTCTCATAATTTTTGAGAATCACTGCATCAGACAAGCCTTCAATTAGTTGATTTATAATCGCATTTCTCACTTCTTCATTTTTCACTTTTTCCGTTATCAAATTAATCACTTTTTCATAAGTGGCCAATGGATATTCTTTTGGCTGAAATTAATTGCACATTTTTTGTTGTCAAAAACCTAGAAGAAATCTTAAAAGCTTATACCCTAATTTGGGTTAATTCCATCCAGTTAATGGAAAATAGGAATTTTTGAATTCTCATTGGATAGTGGGTTTTATCGTATTTGGATAGCCAAATCATTTTCTGAAAAAAAAAACATTAATTTTTGGAATATCGGGAAAAAATAAGAATCTACCATAATTTTATTTTTTTCGAAATTATTCCGAAGCCAATCGATCACTTCAATTTTTGCGCTCTCGATTCCACGAATTAGGAGGAAGTTTGAGCCTTCTCGAGCTTCATCAACCTCAGTAACTTCATGGCTTCCACTGGAAAAAATGGAAATGCAATTACATAAATTCCAAATATAATCATACAACATGATTGTGCAATTATCGACAAATTGCTTCAGCTCTTCAATTGTGGTTTCAGAATCGATTGATGTGGTGATAGCGTACCAGCTGAAATCCTGAATAGCTCCAAATAAATGGCGATAAGAAAAAACCCCAAATTGTCGAGATTCTGCTGAATTTGCGCAATAAAATTTGAGAACTCCAAACATGGCATTGAATGGATCAAAGGGATCAACTCAGTTCCAAGAATCAAGTTGGCAACATGGATAATGTAGAATTCCTGAAAAGGCTCTTTCATGATGACAACAACGAATGATAAATTACACTAGCTGGTATATGAGCCTCATTCTCGTTATTATAATTATACCAGCCTTGAGAGTGTGGGACTTTTGTGAAGAAATTTTGAAGATCTTCATCCTAAACATTAGAAATAGGTTTAGAAGAATAATATATTTAAAGGACCTCTTTGAATATGGACCCGATTAATTTTTGCGAATCCGTCAAACTAATAATTGACGTATAAAGACAGTTAATGAATAACTCTTGATTTGACAATGTCATAGACTTTCTAAAATTGCCTATTTGAAAAATTTAGCAAACTATTTAATGCCAACTTGATCTTCCCAATGATTCGGATCACATCCTGGAAGAACTCCTCGATGTTGGCTTTCTGTAGAACTTCTTCAATCAATAAGCGCTCGTTATCCGTTACATCACTTTCCGTGGAAAAATCCTGAAGAAGCTTGAACTTGAAATTTGATAAATCATTAGAATGCTTACAACAATGCCATCCAATTGAACTATTGGAAAATTGGAAAATTCGGGCTCGACGTGCTCAACCTCAATTATAATTCTTTCGGATGGAGCAACCAACTCAAACTCTTTGTGGTAAAGCTAAAATATTAATCATCTTTAAATCATCGATTAGCATGGTCCTTGCCAATGCGGAATATTCCTTCCTCAGTAGCGCCTTTCGACTCTTCTCATCCAGCATTCCATCAATCACAATCCATTTATTTTTCTTGCCGTACAATTTCGCCTAAACCAGCTTCCCTGAATTTCAGAAAAAAAAAACAAATTCATCCCCTACGTGTTCCGTATAATCCTCAAGTTCCTGCCAAATGCCTCGATGAAAGTGAACATCGGCGCATTGAATTTCGGCAGCTTTTGCGATGATTCGAGTTTTTCCCGTGAGCCTCGCGCCACAAACAATCACCAACAAATGGGTCTCAAGGAGTTTGATTAGCTGAAATTGACAGTTCACTATATTCAATTCATTTTCAGATACCTGTTGAATCTTCCTCGCCAAATAGGGAATCGCTTCATTTTGTAGTATCACTTGCGGAATGTCGGTGATCTGCAGCAATTTTCTCAACAAATCAACGTGCTGAAATCAATTTTCGACATTTTCAAACTACCGCGCTTAATTGCCTGCTCGTTTAAACAGCACGCGAAATTCTCGAATATCTCTTTCTCGGCCATCAAATTCTGCTCATCGCTTTCATGATTTCGAATAATGCAATTCACTGTGTTCGGCAAATAATTCCAATACAAATTACGATAATCGCCAAGGATTTGGATATGTTCGATTATGTCGAATTTTTTTGAGACCCTGCGAAAAAAAAAAGAATTTTCAGTTAAAAAAAAAAGTGGTCCCAATACGCTTCTCGATTGGGTATCATGTTAAGCGAAAACAGCTGATCAACCGCCCATCGATGCCTCTTTTGTGGATGGCCAATCTGTCGAGCTGTGTTGAAAGTATCGCTCCTTTAAGAGAAATAAGAAATGGCAAAAAAATGAGATTTGAAAATTACAAAAATATCATTGTTGAGGTGTTGATGGTAATTTCCGTCTCAAACGTGTACTTCAAATTTCCAAGGCAATGCGATGTGTAGACATCCTTTTCAAGAAGTTGGCCCAATTTGAACGCGCTCTTCTCTTTTATATAGACAATCGCTCCGAATAGCATTGAACCGTCTAGAAGCATTCTGCACTCGCTGAAATCCATCCCCTATTCTTCTTCATTATTCAATTCGCTTCCGAATTACGCTTCATCGGCCGCATCGCAAATCACTAGTGGTCTTCCCATCGCAATCGCAACTTGCCGCGCCATATCGATCGACTCGACGCCCATCCGACCGCCGAATCCAAAATGATTCATGAATATGAAATTTTTGAGGGCGGTTTCAATGAAATGAGGATCCGGCAAATCGTCGAAATGATTGATTTCATAGTCATAGCGAATTGAGACCGTTCCGACGCGTATGAACACATTCTCCATATGCCAATAATAGCGAACCTACAAGCAATAATTCATTGAAATTTGAGAATGATGGGAACATGAGAAGTCCAGCGATAATCATCAAGGAATACGACTTGATCAGTGATGAAGCTGCTGACTAATGTTGAAGCTGAATAGAAGAGCATTAATGGTTGATTGGAAGCTTGAAACAAATTCCGACCATTTCTCAATACTTGATAGGTGTGAAGCAAGAAATTTCGGCGGCTATGTTTATGAATAACCGCGTGTTGGCATTCGCGAAGAGCATTCTTCAATGTGCTCCCAAGAGCCTCAAATCATCATCAATTATTGGCAGATCAATGAGCTTTACCATCAAATTATTAAGCTTGAACGCATTTTCGATTTGGAATGTCACCGCAATTTTTGTATACATCACTCCGACTTGAATTGGCTCACTCAGAATGGTTTCGATTGGTGAGAATGCGTAATTGAGACGATCAATAAGACTTCGGATTTTCGATTTGATTGTGTGCTTCAATTGAACATCCAACTCGTGCATCCATTTCTCGACGTGACGCTGAAAGTTGATGGTTCTGATGGCGGACTAGCGGATTGCAGGCAACCTTTGACAAATTCACATTCACTGGCTTGGTGAGCATTATCGTTTCCGATTTGGTTTTTACCAGAATGATTTCTTTTTTCGTGTTCTGCTCAAATCCCAAAATTGATGGGAATAGGAGTGGGATATAAGCATTGCAATTGATCGGTTCTCGACTGTCGCAGATCAATGAGAGCACGAGCTCGTCGGACAATGCGAAGAGTCGCGGAAAGACAGCCCTCTTCTTCCGCAGGTACGCATGAAATCCGTTTTCCATTTTGCCGAACAGAATTTCGAGCTCAGCTAGCTCAATATTCAATTTTTTGATGAGATCGATTTGCTCAAGAATTGGGCGCTCCTCAGTCTGAAAATTACTATATCAGATACAATTAATCGCATAGTTCATACAATCTGATTGTTGGCATGAAGCCAACGAAGAGAAATCTTCTTAAACGTTCGAAATTCGTGCGGCATTTGATAAGCGATGTCTTCTGTCGAAAATACGCCTTCAATCATTTTCCAGCGAGTGTCGCACTAGAAAACAATTGTGAATGAAGCTTGAATTCTGGAAATCAGTCAAAAAAAATGAATATTGACCTGCTTATACAAATTCACAAAAGTGTTCACATTCATCAATGTGTCCAGCCAATGCTTAATCTGATCGAGAATCGAGAACGCATGAGGCGATGACAAAATGGTTTGACATCTTGCCAAATGCGCTTGCATTTGAATGGCGAGCTCGCCGGTGAGCAGCTCTCCGGCATTCGTGTGCGTCGAAAACGTCGCACCCTTCCATTGCTGCTTCATTGTTTCTATCGACTTCTCCAAGACGCGCTCCTTTTCAGCTTGCATTCCCACCTAGAATCGATGTGAAGCTCGATATCATTGCTACGCTTTACCTGCTCAAACTTTTCAGCTTTCTCGATAAACTTCATTTCAAGCAATTCGCTCACCAAGGGGTTGCCTTCAACCTTCACACTGCTCTCAGTGTCTTGCAGAATCTGGAGATCGCTGCGATGTTTTTAATAGCGATTCTGATGCTCACCTGTTGCCAATGGCGATCTTTCATTGCCTGACATGAAATCGCTCCGAGAACCGGGAGAAGCTTCTCGAACTCATTCAGAATTGCTTGAATCTTATTCAAAGCCTCTTTCGATGTGTTGGAATGCTCCTAGAAAATTTATATTGATTTTTTGGAATGACTCTACTATGTAGATCATAAGCCAAGCCAACATTGATCGTCGCCGCTTCCTGCTCGATCTCATCCATGGCTAGACGAAGCTTCTCCGTTTCGTCGACGAGAACGGTATGATCGACGTCGGCGATTCTCACTTCAAATTTTAAAAAAATTTTCTATGAATGATAAAGCTCTCGAAACTTCTTAAACAAGCTTCATGGTGCAATAATGTGTTGTAATGAAGGGTGGCGAGTTTCGAGAAAAATTGGCACATTTTTGCGATTCTCACACAATCAATTGGAGAAGCCGGAAGGCCGAGAAGTGACCTTTGACCTATGAGCTTCTGCAACATGCAATTGATTAGTTTCAAAAAAATTGGACTTTTTAAACATCATCTCTTTCTTGAAGTAGTGCGCTTTTCTCGCTGAGATGAACCATTTTGATTTGGACTTTTTGGACCTCATTGATCCTTGAAGCAGTTCGGTATTTCTTCAGGCAATCGAGCCACTCTTTTTCAATCATCTCACATTCATAATAGTTTTTGGAAGTGCTTTCAGATACCTGAAATAAGCGCGAAATAAATGAACGAGTTGAAATTATGTCGCCAACTTGTTTGGTGATCCATTGCCTTTCATGGTGTATTCGGTCCCAAACGAAATTGACAAGCTGCTCCAATTTGTGCCCGAGACGCGATATTTCGTAATATTGCCTTATATCATAATCTAAATTTTAAGAATTCAAACAATTTGGAAAAATATTAAGGAACCTGGCATGACAAAAATGTTCATGTAAATGTCGTAGGCTTCGTGAATTTCCATGATTTGAGCTTTTATTTTAGGAAGCTCATTTTGAACCTGAAAATGAGCAATTTTTTGAATGGTAGATCGAATTGCTCAAAAAGCACTTCTTCAATGTTTCTGAGCTGAGTTATGACGTCATTTCGAAAAAGCTTCGCTGAGCAATTTGAAAATTTCGCGCGGATTCTGAAAAAAAAATGGAATTCCGGCGGCAAAAATTGACAGATAATTTATTACTCATTATTCCTCGATGAGAGATATAAAAGAATTGATGATTTGAGCTTCTCCTCAAGATCCGTCACTCGTCGAAGCTCGCTTTTCTTGATTTGCCCACAATCATAAATGATGAAATCCTGCAATATTTTGCCCGGTTTCCGTAGAATCTCATCACGAATTGCTAATAAGCGAGTGGCGATCTAAACGAAAATCATTGAATTCAATGAAAACCGCAGTTTCTCAGACATTCTCCCATGCTTTATATTGTTTCGGATCGTCTTCATACTCTTTCAATTTTGCATTGAGCACCTCAATTTCATCGTTCAATTTTCGAAACGGCTGGGGCAGCGGTGAAAATACAATGCTCAATGAGGAAAACCAATTCCTAAAATTCATTTGAAGCCTTGAAATTGGTGGAAATTGAATACCTGATGTCGATAAAAGCCTCTTTGAACATTTTCGGGTAAATCTTATGATCAACGCGTGGCACTAAACATCCCATCTTCATGATTTTTGTTTTGGAAAATCCTACCTCGAGAAAGTTCCAATAAAACATTCACCCTCTTCCAATAGTCGAATGATTCATCACCTTCATTGAGCACAATTATGAGTCGAGCTTCATCCTCCTGCTCAAACACCGTTCGAACGCGATTTATGTTCTCCTGGAGAAGATCGTATAGAAGTCTGAACCATTGAGAAGAATTGTCGAAACTTTAATGAAACCGAAGAATCAACCTCGCCATTGTGGCGGCAACCGCGTTGAACACCGTGTGAGCTGTGGATGTCACCAGGAGTGGAATCCATGATTCGCCTTCATCGAGCATCAAATGAGCTACGTCCATCGGCCATTCAAACGTTAATATTCGTTTTGTTGCTTTCACGAAATCTTCGAGCTGCTTCTCGAGCTCGCCGACAGTCCTTCCATTCTCGCTGACGAGAAAACTGCAGTCGAGCAAGGCGCGATCACGGAACTGCCAAAAATCTTTATTGAATACCATTCTAAAGAAACAATTAAACCTTTTCAAAGAACATTGAAATGATCTTGGTGTTGAGTCGCAATTGATCGGCAATTTTTCCACTGCTCCGAACAATGCTATCCTTCCATGGGACTCGACCCTTATATGGAACAACGATCTCCTCCTTTCTCAAGTAAGCTTTCGCGGCTTCTCTTGTCCACACTTTCCAAGCATTCTCAATTTCGGAAAGAATGCTTGACATATCGTTGCTCCCAACTTTCTTTTGAAGATCTTTAATAAAATGTCTGCTATTTCCAAATCCATAGAGAATCTCTCACTATTGGCTTGTTCGTTCCATCCTGGGAATGAGGGAAGACTCTCATCATGAACAACATCCGAGAATTTTGGAGCACTCGACGTCTTGATTCTAAGCTTCAAATTGAGATATTGACACTGTTAAGCATTTCCATACTTTTTGGCTATTGGGGACCCCAGCCTTGGGACTTTGATGGAAGTTCCTTGCACTATAGAGCCTTTCAGAAACACAACTTTCCCATTTCTCAGTGCTGTTCGACGGCCTTGATGGTTGTGATGAACTAATTCAATATAGGATATAGAATCTTGAAACGCACGAAATTCATACCTGACTTTCGATTGTCGTATTCAAGATCTTTTGGAATATCGCGACACGATATTGATAGGGTTGTTGGATGGAATATATTGCCAAATCCATCGTCGTACATTTTTACGAATTTCAGAAAATTGGCATATGGTCGAGGTGCAATATGACTTCATGCAACACTGCCCAATTAGGAAATACACATTTGGGTGTTGATGTTGTTCGAATGGCTTCTATTTTACATTCATCATACGCATGAGACAACAAGTTCACGCCCACCGGCATATCCAGAATATCATTTTTTGCAAAAAAAAAGCGGAAATTTGATTAGAAAATAAATTGATTATCATTTAGGAATTCTAGTGAAGATCGTTGAACTTTGATTGCGAGCGATTATTGAATTTTGTTTCTTTTAATGAAACTCTCAAAATTTTTTGATCAAAACTGCTAGTGGAATTTTGAAAAGTAACATGGAATTTTTCAAAAAAGAATATTTATGGTTGTCAATAACAGTCCCGAGTCTCGAGAAAGTCTCGAAACTCCCGAGTCTCGGGAACTTTCCCTAAATTGCAAACCGGTTGAACTGAAATTAAATGAACATGTAAGAATAATCAGTAGATAAATTAAACTACCATGATGCTAATACCACACATATTTTTCCAGACTTTCTTTAGTTTTTCATATTTTTCTTCTTCCATAAGAAAATAATAGACGTCGATTCCGTTCTTTGCATTTTTCACAATACTATCAACGGAGCTCTAAAGTAATAATGGAAAGTTAACATTTTATCACTACATTAATACCTTGAGATGGTCATATGGGAGAAGGCTGGCAGGCTGTGGGCCTCCTTGATATAAAAGACGGTCGACGAGCTGCTCAGGATTAAGATAACCAGCAGAAATAAGAGGAATTTTTTAACATTTCCAAGTAACCTTCTGTTTATCATTTTGTATTGGAACCGGAACTTCTCCAGATTCAACTTTGCGGTTTTGAAGAATTAGACGGTGAGGTGCAATTGGTCGATCATTGTCTTTCATTTTCATTTGAAAACATTCTCTCGTTTTCACTCTCTGCACACATCATTGAGAACACACAGAACAAAAAGAAGTAGGATACAGTACCGCTCAAAAGTCTATCAACCTTTGGTTTTTTGAGGATAACTTTTTTTAAAGATGCGGTATCGATCCAAAATTTTTCCCATTATTTTTTGGAGTGGTTTAACGTGTTTTGGCCAGCTGATTTGACACCTGCTTAAATTTTAAAAAAATTATTGAAAAAAAAATAGAATTTTCGAAAAATACCGATTTTTTGGGGTTTTCAATAAACAGTTTTGGTTTAACAAAAAACAAAGTTTATAAACAAAAAACAGTAACAAACATAATTTAAAGCTCAATATCGAGTCGCAAAGCCCTTAGCTTCAATGACTGCTTGACATCTTCTCGACATGGAGTCGATCAAGGTGTCGATGGTCGACATGGGGATCTTATTCCATTCAGACTGCAGTTGAGCAAACTTCTCATTGCAATTTTTGGCTCTTTTGTTGGCACAACGTCTTTCCAACTCTTCCCATAGATGTTCAATTGGGTTTAAGTCAGGAGACTGACTCGGCCACTCGATGACGTCGACCCGACGGCTTGCGAACCAATCCTGAAATTCATTGTGATGCTGTTTACTTATCAATTTTCTCACCTTAACAAACAAAGAAGTGTGTTTTGGGTCATTGTCTTGTTGGAAAACACTTCCACGACCCATTCTCTTCAAGTGCGGAAGCATCTGATTCTGGAGAATGTCTTTGTAGACATTCTTGTCCATGATCCCATTCACGCGATGAAGCGGTCCAATACCATTTCCAGAGAACGCACCCCATACCATACACGAACCACCGCCATGCTTCACAGTGGGTAATTGATACTTAGGATCATACCTGGACCCAATTGGTCTACGAATCCACTGAATTCCATCACTTCCGAAAAGCAGAAACTTGCTTTCGTCGGACCACAAAATCTTATCCCAGTCTTGTCTTGTCCAGTCGACGTGTTCCTTTGCCCACTTCACTCTGGCCATTCTATTCTTCTCAGAAATTAATGGTTTTTTCACTGGACGTCTTCCCATAATCCCAGCAGCACAGAGACGACGTTTCACAGTCGAAACGGATGGTGGAGAAGGAGAATTCACGAAAACTTCCCGTCTGATTGCAGGGGCAGGGAGTCTAGGATTGTTTCTGGACGTCCGCAAAATATTTCTATCTTCACTACGATCAGTAATTCGTGGTCTCCCGGAGCGATGAGGCACAGAAAAATTTTTTTGAACTTCCCAGCGTTTACAGAGTTTGGAAATACATCCTTTCGTTCGATTGAACATTCCGGCAAGCGTTTTCAAAGTAAGTCCACTTTGACGACCAGCCACGATGTCTTTTTTCTCGTTATCCGTCAAGTCTTTGTTCCCAAAAGCTCTAGGCATTTCTGAAAACATGAATAAGAACATATGAACGGATAACTACTCTAGAAAAATTAAAAAAATTAAAATTTAAAAAAAACTTGAAAAACGCAAAAAACCTGAAAATGTGTAAAATCGCGTCATGGACTTTGCGGATATGTGTTTGTGTACCGAATGACATGAATTATGTTTTAAACCCCATTTCACATTATCTCTGAAAGATTCATGTTGATCGGTGCAGTACTCTTTGAGAAATAAAGAAAAAACCAAAGGTTGATAGACTTTTGAGCGGTACTGTATATGAAGCTTACTGAAAAAATACCATCTTCGAAATTTTCATTTTCAATTCCATCGGCTTCAACAGGATTTTCTTCATCATTTACCATTCTTGACATTCGCTGTTGTTTCAATGGTTTCTGCAAAATATGTAGTTTTACCGATAATTAGATTTTTCTAGTTACTTCCGAGTATGGATTCATTTCGTACGATCTCTCAAATATCTAAATTATCAATAAATTAGAAGGATTTACTTCAAATAGTTGAGGATAAAGTAATTATAATCAGATATAATTAGGTACAACATGTTGTAAATTGTTTATTAGTTATGCATTTCAACGCGGTCAATCACAAAAAAATAAACTTGTGGCTTCTAACTTTATTTCGTATCCGGCACCATAGAGAGAATTGGCATCAACACAATCAATCTTCCCACTGAATACTCCTTCAACAACATATCGATTTTTACTGTAATAGTAAACTGTTAAATTATAATATTCATATTTGGTAATTATTACCGTAATATCATCAGAAGGTTTGGATATTCTGAATTATTAATCCAAGCGAAGCTTTGTTCCACATGACCCATCAATCATGTGGCATCCTCTGGCGCGTCACAACACTGATTACGATATACCGAAGGCCATGCTCTAATCAAGTCGTTTGACGCCGACAATAGAGGAGCATGAGCGGTTTCAAATTAATACCAAAACTTATTCAACACATAACATTCGAAAATTAATTATCGCTGTTCCATTCTTCCGAATCGATTCTTGATAACTTCTTTCAGACGCTTCATATAGGCGTCGACGGTGGCACGCAGGTATTTGGCTTCCAATTTGTCCATTCCTTCAGAAGGGCGGCTTTCAATGAGTTCACATTTGGGTGTGGGAAAGCTGACACCTTCTCTTGCAAGACGCCCCAGACAGAATAGTCCATGGGGTTCCGGTCGGGCGAGGAAGCGGGCAAATCCGTTGACTTGATGAAGGATGGAAAATGGCTGCCGCACTTGTCTTGAACGATATTGGCTCGCTGTGCAGGCGCTCCGTCTTGTTGAAAAGTCCACGACCGATTTACGAAGTGAGATTGGGACCAAGGAAAGACATTTTGGGACATGATCATTCCGACACCATTCTTCCCTTCGAATGTTTTATATTTAGCAATCAAAAATTAGAAAGTCTTTGAGAATGCTAAGTGTTTTTATATCATTGAATAACATTGTATATTTTGTTCAAGTTTTCATAGGAAAGCTTTTAGCATTACTCCAATAAATGCCATGAACAGCTGAATTTCATTGGCCATGTTTCGTTGGCCGATGGTTATATTTCGCTTTTCGGACGCACTATCAATATCGAGATTGCAATAATCCCAATCACATATGTAATAATCCAGTTCTGCAAGTCGAAAATAACCAGAATGAAGCCGAAAATCGCCTTGTTCGTTGGCTGATATGCATCCTTTGTAATACAATATCTCTTCAACACCTCCGTTTTTGGTATACGAAATTTGAGGAATTAGAGAAATGAAGCAAAAATGACCCGAGCAGACACATGAAATGCAAAATGTTTTGATAATTGACATTAAATTTGTTTGCCTACCATCTGATCCAGTTTCATTTCTCAAAGTTATGTCTTGAAGTGTGTAGTTTAATGTGTATGCATTAATTGCAACTCCATTCGTAAAACATTTGACAGTCGGATTACTAATTGGAAATGGCAAATCAGCAGCGATAGGATTATTACAATCAGTATAAAATTATACATATTTACATGCTAAAATTATTATTTCGAACAGCTTACCGTATTGCATTTGCAATGTATATGATAGTGCGTTGACTCGCTTAATGTGACATTGTAACACGCGTTTGCAAAAAATGATTCAGCAATCACGTCGTACGATGGAGTAGAATACTGCTTGAATATGATCTGAAATAGGTTTATTAATGGCCCTACATATTCATGCAATGAAAAAAATAATAAAAAAAATCAATTTTTCATTGAAAATTACAAAAAATTGACGTGATATATCGTAATATTCCGCTATTTATTTTTAAAGGCGCACGCGAAAATATGCGCGGATCACGTCGCGAAGTCGTTACTGTATTTTTTATTTTTCATTTTGTGTGCTAGTTCTTTGTATTTTTCAAAAGTTTCGAAGAGAAATTGACTAACGGATTTAAGAACGAGTAAAAACAATTATTGTTGGTATAATTACACCTAATTCCACAATATAAATCTATTTTTCGTCATTTAGATACTAATTCTCATGAAAAATAGTGATATTTGTGTTGATTTGATGTAGACTTCGCTCGATGACGCTTCTGATGAACCTTCAGCGTTTATTAAATAAAATACTTCTACAGATTTCCAAAAATAAGTTTTAAACGCTCAACAAATAAAAAATTCGAATAAAAACAGCCATTAAAAAATTACAGTACCGACTTCGCGACGTGACCCGCGCAACTTTTCGCATGCGCCTTTGAAAATAAATAGCGGAGAATATCGCCTCAATTTTTTGTAATTTTCGACGTGCGTGCATAGAGAATTCAAATGAAAAAAATTGATTTTTTAAAAATTTTTTTCATTGCATGAATAGGTCCATAAGTAATTAATATCTACAGGGTGTCATTTAAGTTCCCGCACAACTTTGTAGACGTACATTTCTGAAACTAAAAGTCCAAATCAAACGAGACTCGAAATATTTTTTATCTATAGTATAACAAATATTTATCTATTAACTCTTTTTGATTCGGCCTCTTTTCGCAGCTATGACTTCACGGAGACGCTTCGGGTAGGATGTGACTGTGGTACGCAGGTATTCGATGGAAAGATTGTCCCATTCCGCCAGTAATGTCTTCTTCAGAGTCTCTACACTTGAGTGGGGTTTTGCGTTGACCTTCTCCTGCAAGACCCCATCACGGAAAAGTCAAGCGGGTTCAGGTCTGGGGAGCAATCAGGCCATTCGGATGACTTGATAAAGTCGGGAAAATGGGTCTGGCACCACTCCTGAGTAGTTTTGGCAGTGTATGCGGGTGCTCCGTCCTGTTGAAAGACCCATTTCTGCCCACCGAAATGCGTTTGGGTCCAGGGCATCACATGCTTCTCCAAAATGTCCCGAACGTAGACTTCTTTGTTCATTTTCACCATCTGATCCACGAAAACCAGGTAGCACTTCCCGGTTGAGCAGATGGCACCGAAAGCCATCACACTGGCAGGATGTGAGGCTGGATGATATGTTCTTCCTTTCTCAGAAGCTTGCTGGGATGTTTGGCCAAGTACTCAATGGTTTTGTGAGTTGAATGCCGCCTCCACACTGAACAGCTTCTCGTCGGAGAAGACAGTGACGAGGTATTCTCCAGACCGCGTGCGAGCAAGAAGTCGTTTTGCTTTTTCGAAGCGTCTCTGCTTGTTGACGGCCGATAGAATTGCCGCTTTTTGGACACGATATGGGGTCAGTACAAGCTTTGTTTTGACGATTTGTTCCATAGCAAAGATGCTCATTCCCATGTCTGACGCCATCTTTCTCATGCTCCTGTGTGGGTTTCGCCTGATCCTCGATTTAACGGCGTTGATCTTCTGAGGAGTGGTTACTGAGACGAGTCTTCCTTGTCTGGGACGGACACTGGTCGTATTTAGCTATTTGAATCGTTTGATGGTGTCGCAAACCGTTCTACGAAGCACACCGACCCGTTGAATGATGTCTCTCGGGCTCACATTTTGCTTATGAAGTTCGATAATGGAAGCGCGATGGATGTTAGCCTTCGCCATTTCTCGGAAACACATCCGAATGAGGTGAAACTTGGGAAATAAGTAAAATACACCTTATTTAACAAAAATAAATTGTATTGGTGCACAAAAAGTGCGACAGTCAATCTCTTCATGGCGTCAAACTTTTGTGCGGGAACTTAAATGACACCCTGTAGCTAAAATTAAAAAGAAGTACCGGTGCATTGGTTTGATCAGCAGCCTTTCCAATCGTTTCGCTTGGTGGGGAAACGTCCATTTTTCCAGTGAACAAATCCATGTACAAATTGTTTTTTCGAATCAATTCGCAATTGTTGCCAATGCTCGATCTAATCGTTTTAAACAACGCCGATTTGCATTCGACAGATGCCATTTGAACTATCTTTTGGCTCATGTACATATCGCGAACATTGCACAAATCGCTCCTAAAGTGATTGCTGAGAGCGTCACAAATGTGTCTAAATATAGGTATACTGGCAATAGCAGAAGATCTGATCATAGTAATCAAGCAAACAACCTTCGTCAATTTTTTCAACTCCAGAGACGCACGTCTACAAAAATAGAAAATCGTTGTTTTGGAACATGAATCACCTGCATGATTTCGTATGAAGAAAATCTCGAATATCTCGAAATAACACAAATATCGCCAGTACATGTTTCGCTAAATTCATGAAACATTTTGACAATATTAATTACGAATTTTAATGCTCCACTTCTTGCTCAAAAAAAAACATTTGAAAGTAAATTTTAAATCACTCTCCTAGATGACCGATATCACTCACTTTTCTACAATTTTTGAAAACATTTGCGAACCACTCAAATGGCAAGTCAACGAAAAAACAATTTGGAATAGAGAAGCGAAAATGATCAGCATAGTGTATGAATAAGAAAGTGATTGAATGCGACATTCGAGAACTCATTTCAGCTGTTGATTGAAAAAAAAACGCAATATACATTCATAATTTTAAAAAAGTTTTCGGAAAAAAAGAATCTGCGAGAAATTTTTTAGTGATTTCGATCGAGTCTTCTAAACTGGAAATTTTCATTGCATTTGACGCTTCGAGAACATCCGAATATAATTCAGTCGAGCTGAAAATAAAAAATTGCATACTTGTCGAACGAACATATTTGAAAAACTCATACAAAATAATTCTCGGCGAAATTATTTACAGTGGTGACAATCAATTTCTCCTTGTTCTCGGGACGCTTGGCGAGCTACAATTGAATTTAAATGAGAATTATTTGACTTTGTTCGCCTACTTCAATCGCTGCAGCCACATTTACTCCCGAAAAGACTACTCCTAGAATCGCTTCTTCATTTGCTAAACGTCTCGCCATTTCAATTGCATCATCCGATTTTATTCGAACCACTTCATCAACATACTGTTTATTTCTTTGGGGTTGAAAATTGGGGGTTGATGGCAATGGGCCCAAATCTCAGTAATTTTTGGAAAGTCTCGAGAGTCTCGAAGACATTCTCGAGGAAATTCTCTCGATACCGGTTAATTTTCTCGATTTTTCTCGAGAATTTTTTCCCGATAGTACACCCTGATTGTCATTTCTGCGAAATTTGCATCATTACGGATTCACTATGAATCGAAACAGCGGGCCAACCATAATTTTTCAAATTAGGGATTTTATCAAGACTTTCGCAAGCAGATTTTAGAGAGATGAAAAAAAAAGTTTTTATTTTCGAAATCTACATAGGATTCCGCTTTAAACAACATTGGCGATTGTTCTCAATATTGGTTCACATAATCTACAAAAACTCTTGAAATCCCCCGATCTGTGCAAATATATTTTTCGTAGTTAATTTGAGGAAAAATCGTTATCGCAAAAATGTTTTCCTTTTTTTCTACAAAATATTGTATAAACAGCATAGAAGTTTTTAAAAAAAATGTGAGGTCGAGTAAGCAAAAAATCTACCCAATTTCGGCATTCAAGACGTTTAAGACCGTCTTGCTTTAGCTGTAATACATTTTGAACATTGAAACCATTTGCTAAAATAACATTTTTATGAACATTCGATCAGATTTATGCCTTTTCAAATTCCCATTATCTTCCGAGCGTTTTACATTTTTAACGTTGTCGGGTCGAATTACTGTAAGATTACGGTACCTACCGAACAACGAAAAATTTTGAAATGAGCCGATTGATTCCAAACATGGTGTACTGTAGAAATATCTAAGCGATTGCATGTGGATTACGGTAGATACAGTACTCCAAGCTGGAAAATTTGCTATTTTTAGAGTGTATTTGCGCCAGTTAAATTGGTGGGAGGTTTGGTCAATTCGAATAATATTAAGGGTACTAAAGGGTGCTCAATTCGAAAAATACTAAGGATACTATAACATAGCAGAGCCAGAATTATCGATTGATTCGGAATACGGTAGAAATAGATCAACGAAATATTGTCTGCGCCTCTCACTTTTCACATTATTTCGCCTCTTTTAGCTGAAATCAAATTGTTGATAGTAGAAATATTGTTGAAATATGGTTGAAAATCGTTTCGAATGAAAACGAATAATTTAAAATAATAAAGGGAGGATGTCGGCGTCTCACACCAGGGCTGTGTGGCAATGGAATTGCCGATTGCCGAAATTGCCGATTTTTCAAATTGCCGAAATTGCCGATTTTTCAAATTGCCGAATTGCCGAATTGCCGAAATTTCCGATTGCCGCACAGCCCTGTCTCACACATAAAAACACTATCTCATAATGGACAATTCAAGAATTTTCGATAAAATATGCCGGAAGTCAGGCTAGTTCGGTACTATTTCTTTAACAATACCCAAATTCATCCAATTATGTTCGATTCGTACATTTTCACCTGCGAATCTCGTGTTGACGTAAAACTCGCCAACATTATTGAGCAACATTTTCAAATTTAAAAAATTTTGACAATACGATTCGAAATGAGTATTTCCATATTCGAAAATACAACCGAACTCGCTGAATGGTACGAATTCTATAACATTATCAAACATGACCCAATGGCAATTACAATTTACACAAGTATTTTAATTGTTGCTGTAATTTATGTAACTATGCTTTGCATAATATTTCCAATATATGTTTGGATGTTCCAAACCAACCAGGAAAAAGATAAAAAGGTACCAATTCAATATTTATCTTCGAAATATTTAAATTTCCTTCTATAGAGTTTGGTGTATCCCTTGGTATTTCATTTATATAAAATTGTGTTCTTCAATCAATCGTGCTTACTCCTTCTATGGTTGTACCTAATTATTTGCCATGTGTTCAGCTTGTTCCAAACTCTTCAATCGACAACACAGATTATTTTAGTGATTTATTTATGTTTTATTTTATTGTCAGCACCAGTCGTTTACGTTGCTCAAAATTTATGCGTATTTCTTTTGTCTCTCCAACGACTTATTATGTATTTCTTTCCGAAATCGCGTCATTTTTTGAATTTCCCAAAGTAAGTCGTTTTCTTTTAAATTTTATAGAATAAAATCATCCAAAGAATTTGACAAGACTTGATAAAAATTGAGGACAAATGAGTTTTGACTGTCATTACTGTAGTATTTGAATTGGCGCAATGGGTCTCGTATGAAAAAAGGAGTTTTGCTCAATTAAACCAACATGAAAAAAAGAGCATATGAATTTTAAGTGTGAAATAACACGGACCAATTAATCCTGGAGGCCGCGCAATTCAATTTCAGCAAATTCGTCTGTCCTTGAAAATACCTAGTCTGTTTCCCAAAAAAAAGAAGCGGCTACTGTAATCATTTAATGTCGCCAGACGCGTTGCGGTTCGCGAGCGGTCCCGCCTATTTTTTTCAGAAATATTTATGCAGACGTGAATTGCAAAAAAAAAAGAAAATTGTGTGATTGCACAATTTCATATTTAAAAATTTTTTCGATCTCTAAAATATCTAAACATTTTTTCTGATCTTTTCAATATCAAAATTTAAAAAAAATCAAAATCAAAGACCAAAAATCAATGGGGACGAACAATTCATTTATTGCCGAAGATGACACGAATTTGACAAATTTGAGTGATCAAACGCGTTAGGGGGGGGCAATGTCTCTTAGGGGTCAACAGATTTATTCTCTTAAGCATGACGTCGTGTTCATCTTCTAGTTTTTGCTTGTTGGGCAAGAATCATTCATAGGGTGCATTGATATCATTGATCCATATTTCTGTCCTGTTTTTCCGTGTTTTCTACTTTGGGTACCATTAGATAAAACCACCTCACAAAATGCTCACTGAAACAACACATACCGGCCTGTGTAATTGGAGTGTCGTACTGGCAGGGTAAAAAAGTTTTGGAGCAAGCCGCTTAAGCTTTTGGGAACCCCGATGCTTAAACCAAAACCAACAAGGGTTCACCCTTTTCGAAATATTTGCAAGAAAATCCAAAAAATCAGCGCAAGTCCGCAAACACCACTGTTTTTGGCGGCAATTCAAAAACCGTTGAATTCTTTAGAGCCGTCATCAATAATACATTTCTACTGTGCTATATCACAATTTTCGGGTTCAACGTTTATTCAAAAGGTTTTCGCCGATTATTGTTTTTTTACTAACCAATAATTTCTAGTCGAAATATTATCAAATACCTACTATTATACTCATTTTAGTAAATTCGATGTGATCTTCTATTCGATATATTCATCAATATATTTTTCTGTATGTTTGACACCAATTATTTATTATGCGATAGTAATTAGTGTCAAATTCTCTTCAAAACAAATGACGAAGAGAGCAGATAAGCCGGAGAAATATATCATATATCAAACTATTATTATAACTGTGGCGAAACTTGTGAGAATTCTTCACATCTTAAATAAAATTCCAGATTTTCAGCTCACCGTTCCAATTGTTGTCTTCATTTTTCTTATTTTTCTCAATGATAATTCCGAAAACAAAGAGTTTTTCATTCTGTTGGTGAGTAACTCGAACAAAGAAATCGAACATCCAAAATTTCAGTCATCGTTTGTCTTAATCATTGTCGATGCAATCATCACCTCGTTTATCATCCAATTGTCATATATCTGCGGCTCGCAGTCCAATTTCAGACGGCTCTTGTCGATGGAGCTGCTAGTCATCAAAAATTTTGTATCGGAAAAACAATTGAAACTATCTCATATTTTCAATAACAATCGAGTAGATCCCGTCGGGTCCATTAATTGCTAATAAATCAAACGAAAACTTTAAAAATATCATCTTAATTATTAAGAAATTAAAAAAAAAGTTCTATGTTATTTTGGTTGATGAATTAACGATATTTGAATTTGCGGCAAATAAAATGCACAGTCCGCAATGACATCAATTTTGTTTTTTATTACTTTCAATATCTCAACTTTGTTAATTTATTCTTTTCAAACTTGAAACATCAAAAATTGAAAATCGAAAATGGTGAATATTGCTCGTTTTGAAATAGTCATTAGGTGTAAACACGCGGTCTCTTCATTTACGGAAATTCGTGCTTCAATTTCTGTGTTATATGCGGACCGATAGACTCCGCCCATCTCCGATGGCGCAACTGGACGAAGATGGGACCAACATTCATTTGACCACTTCCCTTTACAGATGGAGTAGGTTCGCAGGCCCACTATCATTTTCTTACCATATTTTTATAATGTATTCTATGACTTTATAGAGAAGATAATGATAGCAGGGGCTGTGAGTTACTATTAAGATCCACAGTAATCTCCTCCCTCGACATCTGATTTTTCACCTATCTAAAATATTCAGTCCTGTAATGTAAAGAAGAAAACAGACAGAGAAAACGTGAAATTTCGAAAAAAAGAAAATGTGTTGCGAGTTTATCATCTCGTTCACGTAAAATCAATAAACTGTTTCCCTTCAATCGATAAATATTGGTTAACTATGGGTAGACGATATAAGCGGTTTGTTGCACAAATTTCTAACGCCCCCGTATGCTTCATATGAGAACAATTTTCTATAAAATTTTTTACCCTTTATTCGCAATATGAATCACTAATTTTGACGGTATTTATGGTATTTCATGAAATTGAATAATTTTTCACAAAAATTTGAGATTCAATTACGAAATTGAAGGTTCTTAAAAAATATTTCGATCACCAAAAAAAAAACATTTAAACGTTTGAAACGCTCAAGAAATAAAATAAATTCGAAAAAAAAATCAGCCATTTAAAAATTACAGTACCAACTTCGCGTCGTGACCCGCGCAACATTTCGCGTGCGCCTTTGAAAATAAATAGTAAATACCACCCAAACTTGAAAATTTTCATGCAATGAGAAAATCATTTAAATTACCGTTCAATTTGAAAAAAATCAAACACTCTTGTCCTCCAAGTTCATACAATTATGTTCATTTTCACCTGCGAATCTCGTGTTGACGTAAAACTCGCCAACATTATTGAGCAACCTTTTCAAATTGTATAAATACAGCGGAATTGGCAATTTTTTGTCAATACAATTCGAAATGAATAATAGTGAATCCTCGGCAAATCTCGATCTCTACGAATCGTATTCTTCAATAACAGAGTCATTGGCGCTCAGCTTATTCGCAAGTGTTCTGATTGTTGCTGTCATTTATGTATTAATGATATTTTTCATATTTCCAACGTATGTTTGATTATATAACGCAAATAAGGAAAAAGACAAAAAGGTACATTTTTGGTCCATGTTTTTTGACTCCTTCTTTTTGGCTTCCCTTTCTATCAATTTTTAAATTTTAGCCCCATTGTTTAATTTCAAAGTTGAATTTCCGCCTCGAAAAATTTTAATGGTCCAAAATAATTAAAAGCACTCAGTTTTTTTTTTCCATTGTAATAGTCTGGAATTGTTTCACCTCTGACTAAAATAGAAGCTTATCTAATATGGCCCCAGCCGAAGCTTCGACAAAAAATGGAAGCATTGAGAATCAAATGTTTGAATCAAAATGTAGTAGCTAAAAAATATAAAAATCGGAGCCAAGTCAAAAAATAAGATTTCATACCTACTCACTTTAATATGATTATACTATTTAGAGTTTGGTGTATCCTTTAATTCACCATCTATACAAAATAGTATTGTACAATCAATCATATATGTTGGTGCTTTGGATTTCTTTGATAATTGCCAGTGTGTTCAAATTATTTCAAATTTTCGAATCGGCGACGACTCTTATAATATCTGTATATTTGTTAATTTTTTTCCTGTTCGCACCAGTGGTTGGCACTGTACAAAACATATGCATATTTCTTCTTTCTCTACAACGACTCATTTTTTATTTTTTTCCCAAAACGAAGAGTCATTTGAATTTTTCAAAGTGAGTTATTTATTTTCACTCAGAGTTGTTTCGGTTTTGGCCGGCCGTGATGACAACTGTTTTCTGGTCAACTATTTTCCGATAGTCTTAGCGCGACGCACTTACCGCGACGCATACGCAACGCGACCGACGATCGCCGCGAATTTAAGCGTCTCGATCTTAAAACAACAAGCCTGTTCTTACTTAATAAATGCACTGACAAGCTTAATACTTATCGGACCACCGTTTAGAACATTTTCAATTCAAGACATTTTCAGTGATACCATTAAAAGAATGCTTTCATTCTGTTATATAATTATGTTTGGCTTCAATATTTTCTTAAAAGGTTTTCCCTTATTACAATCATTTCTAGTAAAAATAATTTCAGGTCGAATACTTTTTCAAAAAGATCTTTTAAATCGTTTTGACATGTTCGATGTGATTTTCTATTCGCTATTCTATTCAGCGAATTTTTCTGTATGTTTGACACCAATTATTTATTTTGCGATCGTAATTAGTATCAAATGCGCTTCAAAAGAAATGAAACGAAGGCAAGACAAACCGGAAAACTATATCATATATCAAACTATTATTATAATTATTTCGAAATTGGTTAGTGATTTTACAATTGTTATTATTATTATTATTATTTGCGTGGAATTTTTAGATCATTGTTCCGTTCGTTTGTTCTGTGCTGTTCCTTTTTTCATCAGAGGAGTACATCTACTTTATATTGGTTGAGAACGTTTTTCAATTTTCTTTTCGCAAAAATCAATATTTTCAGACATCGTTCATGGTCATTTTAGAGGATATTATCGTCACAGCACTTATCATCCAATTATCATATATCTGCGGATCGCAATCCAACTTGAAACGCGTCTTATCGATGAAGATTGCCGACGTTCGATCTGCTGTATCGAAAAATTACATCGAATCCGTTCAATTGTCCTACGATCATCAGTTGGCAAAACCCAGTTAATTGTGAATTTTTTTTTAACAATGAAATTTTTAACCAATAAAAAAAATAAATATAGAAAATAAATAAATAGAAATGAAATAAAAAACAATAAAGTTTTTAATCAATAAAACATCGATTAATCAAAAGTTAATTTTTTAAATATGGAAACAATAATTTAGAGAATCTATTGGCGATATTAAACGAACAAAATTTACGAAAATATTGGCTTTTTGCCAGGTGTATCGAGGAAAAGCGACGTTCGTGTGTTTGCGTACTTTGCATTTTAGCGTTCGCGCAGTTAATATTTTCCGCGCGTAAATTTACAATTTCGTAAATCGCCACTGATTTTGCAAAATTGAATTTCCCGCCACCGTTTGGTCATTTGGCGCCGATAATAAAACATTTTCAAGGTTGATGTTTCGCATAGTCCGTCGATTGCTCTTCGCGGATAGAATCGTTTTATTCTTTTAACACATATGACCGCTTATTTTATTATAATCAACTGTTTGTATTTTTCTTGTTGTTAATTTTTAGCGTCATTGAATCTTGAATATTCCCAAAAGTTACGGTATGCGTCTTTGAAAAAAAAAAACAAAAAAAAGAAAAAAAAATGAATGTTGTCGGTTTCAAAAAAGCGATTTGTGGTGCGAACATCAATTCCGTGAAATCAATATAGATTTAAACTGAACGTTGACTGAGTATTAAATGTTAAAATGCAGTCTCACGAACTTCCCTTGGTTTCAAGACCCATTGGCGCCTAGCCTATTTCTTCAGAGGGTTTCGAATTTCTTGAAACTTCTTCTTTTTTGGTACTTTTTGAAGCTATTGCATAGTATATTCGATACTATTTGTGGGCAAAATTAGAAAAAATTCTAAACTCTTGGGCAAAAACACTTTCCTTGTTTGTCGAAATCCACCTGCTTAGAATACTTGACGTAGAAATTGCCAAAGAAAAAGACGCAATTGTTCGTTTCTATTCAAACTAATATCAATAAAAAAAAGAAGTTCTTCAATTTTATCGAAATTAGCGATGAACGTCTCAATTTTTGGAGAGACCTTCGAGTTCGCTTCTGTGGAACAGCTATACAACGAGATGGTTAATGACGCTTTGGTCATAAGTGTTTTTTCATCTTTTCTTTTTTGTGCCCTATTTTATGTGCTTACATTATGCGTCACATTTCCAGCATATGTTTGGCTGTTTAATTTAAATTATAAAAGAGATCAAGAGGTATTTTCAAACAAAAAAAAACGGAAATTCATAGACATTTGCACTTTCAGATATTGGTATTCCCATTAGTCAATCATCTATATTGAATTGTATTTTTTTCTCAGTTCACTTCTCTCATATTTTTCATGTATTTGGCTATTTGTAAACTGTTTCATTTATTCGAGCAATTTAAAATAATTACATTTTTTACATGCCTATTCTATGCAATTTTTACTTATCTTGGCTCATCAGTTATTTGCATGGTACAGAATACATGCGTTTTTCTATTATCACTGCAACGACTTCTTTTTTTCTTCTTCCCGAAATCTCGCCATCTTTTTAACATTTCAAAGTAAGTAGAAAATGTAGTTTTTTTAAGGTTTTGTTAGCTTTGGTAAAATGGACGGACTAATTGTCGTCGTGGCCGCGCTGCCAAACCTCGTCCATCTTTTTTTAGAGCCAATGAATTGGTGGTTCCCAAGAGTAGAACTCGTTTTTTGATAGAGAACGTCCAAAATACATATTTAAGGTTAAAAAGAGGAGTGATCGGTTAAAAATATACTAATGATAGGAAATTGTTAAAAGTCGTTAGAAAAAATAAACCAACACGACCCTTTTCGTTTTAATTATAAATTTATCCATTATTTGAGGGATTCTTCTAATTTTTTTTGTAATTCAACACAAACGCAACTTTAAAAATAATTTGTGTGCCACTATTTATCATGCTTTCAGCGACTGCTATACTCGGGTAGATTTACGCGCATGCGCCTTGAAAAGGTCTCGCCACGTGTGAACATTTATTTTGCTGTTTTCACGTGAACGATTTATTTTTTCTTGATGAGTTTGGCATTTCTTACAATTTCTAACGTCGTTCGATTTAAAAATCATCGCACCGACCAATTAAACGCAAAACAACAAGTTAGTCCGCGCGAGACCAAAAGTAAGACGCGTCCTCGTAAATCTACAGCAGACGCACCGGACTATATGTCTTTTATCACCTTCAAAATGAAGCGTCGCAACTTATAACCGAGTTCTATTACGATGAGTTCCATTCCAGCGAGTTCTAATCCGAGAAACCAATTAACTCACTAATGTCGACGATATATTTTATAAACATTTCAGTTCATATCTCAAAAAGGCTCTTCAATTCTATTATGCATCGCTTTTTGCTTTAAGCGTCTACACAAAAGGTATTAGAGCGCATACTCTGAAGCAAAACTGCGATATCGCAGTGGATGACCAACTATATCATTTCACAATGAGTATACCTAGTCGACGTCCGACGACTGCACGCGGGTAGATTTACGGGAGTGCTCCTTTCATTTTATGGGTCGGATCGATAATTTTCAAATCGAACGACGTTAGAAATTTCAAGACAGTCGGCGTTACGATTGCTGTACGCGGGTAGATTTACGTGCATGCGCCTTGAAAAGGTCTCGCCGCGCGTGAACGCTTATTTTGCTGTTTTCACGTGAACGGTTAATTTTTCTTGATGAGTTTGGAATTTCTTACAATTTATAACGATATTCGATTATAAAATTAACGAACCGGCCCATAAAATTTGAAATAACCTGCTAGTCCTTGCGAGACCATTACGAAAGACGCATTCCCGTAAATCTACCCGCGTATAGCAGTCGCCGGACGCCGACAATACCATGGTTTAATATTTAAGTAAATTTATAATTTTTGTCACAAATCCAATAATTTCAGTACGAATATTGTTTAATTTAAAATATTTTAATTATTTTGACATATTCGATGTGATCTATTACTCGATTTATCATTTCACCTATTTTTCCGTATGTTTGACACCAATTATTTATTTTGCCATAGTGATTAGTATCAAATTAACCGCAAAACATATGACAACGAGACAGGACAAACCGGAAAACTATATCATATATCAAACTATTATTATAATTGCTGCGAAACTTGTAAGTCACATTTATCAAGACTTCAAACCTCGATATGAGATACATTTTAAGTTTTCGCTTCCATTAATGCTATTTGGTGTGTTATTTTTTATGTCGGGAGATGCTGATGACGCCCAATCTTTCGCATTCGCTATGGTTAGTATAGCATTCGAAAAAAAAAACAAAATGAGCGCCCTACGCCGATTTACTGGGAATTTGATTCGTAGGTTATCGAGAATACATGCGTTTGCCGAATTCCCATTGTTTAAAATCAAATTTCAATTGCAATTTTTTTTCTCAATTAAAAATCGACAATTGTTATATTTTCAGTTTTCGACGTTTTTAATAGCGCAAGATGTTATAATCACTCCTCTCATCATTCAATGGTCCTACATTTTTGGATCTCGGTCAAATTTACATCAACTTTTATGGCTAATTTCCTTGAAGTTTTTGAAATTTGACCAATTATCGCGTAATAATCAAGTCGGAACCGATAGTTAATTGATTATACTGATTTCTTATAAATTAAACAAAATAAATTTGTTCCCTGAATATTCGCTACAATTCATTATATGAATTATTCGGCATCTCATACGAATTATGATATGCAGAATCATTGGAAAATCAAAATTTGGTTAATTAATAAATTATTTTTGATTCGCCTTTTTGATCCACAAGTTTACAATCTGGAGACGTCGTCAAGTGTGAGCTTATTATAGTCGGCGTCCGGCGACTGCTGTACGCGGGTAGATTTACGGGAATGCGTCTTTCGTAATGGTCTCGCAAGGACTAGCAGGTTATTTCAAATTTTATGGGCCGGTTCGTTAATTTTATAATCGAATATCGTTATAAATTGTAAGAATCCCGTAAATTGCACCACTTTAATACCGAATTTATTAAATCATCGGTAGAAATCCGTCTATGGGGTCAAAATGACGCCACCGGGCTCGCAAACGGGGACCTGAAACTATGGAGGTCCACCGTTGTCATTTCTGCCAGTAAAAAACGTAGAATATGGCAAAGGGTACGCTAACATTAATGTACACGCAGGTGGTTTTGAATAAAAGAAAGTTAGGCAGCATAAATGCTGCACTAGAAATTATTCTCTCAATGCTCAACGATAACACGAAAAAAACGGAACTTTCGATGTCCACAACGATTGAAGTGGTCGAGAAGCTTGAGAAGACCAACAATTTCACAGCCTCGCCAACATTGTCTTCAAAATTGTCATTCCTCAAACCGTGATGATATCGCTGAAGAAAAAGTGTTCTAACATGTTGTAAGTCACTCACTTCAAATGTGCTAGAGTAGGTTGTAGAACATATGTAATAGACCTAGGCATATCTTAAAATCATTCGCATATTTTTGAAATTAAGCCATCTTGAACACATATCACTTCGTACCACTCTCACCGATGCTCTAGCGACACTGAATCTCGAAGCGATTTTTGACGAGTATGCGGTGGGGCAAACAGCCATGAGAATTGTCCCAGTTCATTGGTCGCAATCCACGTCATCCTTCCTTCATTTCGCATTCAGCGTCCATGAAATAAATTAAAATTACAATGGGCAATCCAATAGTTACTTTTCAAATTTCATCTAAAATTTTAAATATTTAATTTTATTTATTACGATTTCATTAAAATAAATATGTTTTTAGAAATGATTGCTAATTTGGCAGTCCCACGATCGAAATGGTCCGACGCCACTCCCCCCGTGTGCGCCTAGACTTCCCCAGGCATTTCCCTCCTGGGTCGGACCCTTTGGGTCACCGAAGCGGGGCGTTCGCCCGCGTCTCGTGGCACGAGAAGCGCGGCGCCCGTGCGGGCTCTCTCAGATCCGACTCAACGAATATTCTCGAGACACGCTCACGAAGGTTCGGAACATTCGATTTAGGGACAATGAGAAAGTGTCACGAAAAAAAACATTTTTTTCTTTAAAAATTTGCCGAAAGTAAATAAAAGAAGAAATTATAGCGAATACTTACACGACAATGGATAGAGAAGAAATAATATCGGGCCGTGTAAAATCTGGTCCCTCCTTTGTCCGCCTACTTACTTAAAAATTGATAAATATAAATATATCAAGAATTATTCTTTACAGCGAAATTTGCTTAAAAATGAAACATTAAATGCAAAGTGTGACTACTGTAAACATCAGATAATTTGAAAATTTTGCCTGCATTTTTCTCCTGCGTGTACACACATATTGCATTTAATATCACGATCTATTCTAAAATTTCTAAATATCTAGCCATTTTTTTTTTCGTTTTTCATTTGCTGATCTAGCTTTTTTCTTTCAAAAATGCTGAAAAAATGTTCGCGATTTAAAATTATTAATGTTTAGTTTTTATTACTTCTCAAACATCTTTTCTACTCGTTTGTAAACAACTTACATTTTTCGTTTTGTCAGCCATTTTCAGAATTTCGAATAGAACACGATGCGATCATGATATCATCAACGGTTTGATATTTTAATAATAACCGAATGAACTTTAATTTTTTGACGCGTTTCGGTTCGCAGGCGGTCACGTTTTTTTTTGCATTTTTTTGTAAATGTTCGAGATTTTTCCACTCGACCTGCAATAATTTCAGAAAATTATGGCACAGAGTACATCCTGATTAACTGCAGTGACTTCATATTGCATTGAAGCTCGCTGAATTAGAAAATGTGCTGTTGCAAAAAAATTTTTGTGACAGCTCGCGAACCGCAACGCGTATGAGGACATAGAATGCCACTTTCTTTCAAAAGCATATTACATCCATTCTTATATATTGTTTTCAAGAATTAACAATTTCTTCCACTGAATTCAAATGATCCTATCCGAATGATGTAGGCATTTTCACCGCATCATGTTGAATTCGCGAATTAGAATTCTATAAATGTAAAAAAAAAACGTTTAACGTCCAAAAAAGGCTAGGTGGCACCCGGAGTTGAACCGGGGACCTCTCGATCTGCAGTCGAATGCTCTGCCACTGAGCTATCACAGATAAACGGCGGCATAGGCACAATGGAAGCATAGTGGAACGGCTGTGGATATCATAGGAATCTTATATGCAAGTTATATGGAAGCATAATGGAAGCATTTTTTTGCGGAACCGCGTGTTTCGTATATGGAATGAGCCGTATGCCTTCCATATGGGAAAATAAGAAAACAATTTGATTGCTGTATTCAAAATTTATTTCATATTAACACATTTATTTAATTTAAAATAAAAAAAACAACAATGAAATGAATTTCAATTAAGATATAATCAAACCATTAGTTACTGGCAACTGCCGAACTATTCGAATCATTGTCAGTACTGACATCGAGCGGGACGCTGTAATAAGTAGATTATAATGGGCCTATTAATTTGAAAAACTTGTAAACCATTGTTACGTAAACTAAATTTTTCGAGAAAATACAATCAGTTTTTTTACATCAATAATTTTCTTAAAAATAAAAATAATTTATTTTTATTGCATTTTTGGAAACCCTTTAGTGCACAAAATAAAAAGTGAATTGGCGGAAGAAAGAACAACTCCAAAATTTGAAGCAAAAAGGCATTTTGGTTAAAATTTCAAAGACATATGAATACTCACATCTGAGGGTTGCTGGTAGAATCAAGCAGCTTCCTTAATTGCGCCGCGAGCGCTTCCGGCGCTACACCAAATTTCCTTTGAAGTCGTTGGCGCATTCTATCGCTTAATCAAATAAATAAATTAATAGTCATAGTTCAAAATCTTACAGAAGATTATCCATGACTTCTCGAACCATGCGTAATGCTTTCGCTTTGAAGTCATTTGCCGGTTGTTGCCCAAAGCCATGGATAAGAGCATCTGTAATATAGATATTTGCAATAAAGTATAGGATCTTTATATAGTCGGCGTCTGGCGACTTCTGTACTAGAGCCCCACTTAAAAAGATAAATGCCACTGAATGATATTGGTACGAAGGCTGTACGGCAATCGGAAATTTCGGCGATTCGGCTAATGGCAAATTACCGATCGAAATTTTCTTCGGCAATTTGAAAAACCGGCAATTTCGGCAATCGGCAATTCCATTGCCGCACAGCCCTGATTGGAACCAAATAATCAACAAGCTTTAAACTTAGGAAGTACTTTATAAAGACTTCATTGCGCATATTTTTCTAATTGAAACCATTTCTGAGTCGAACAGGCCAATTTTTGATGATAACAACTTACAAATTGGGCGTACGAAGGTTTAGGAATTGGCGTTGATTTTGTTGTTTGTGAGGACTGTGGAGAAAAATTTTTTTGCTGAGTTGGCGAGTAAATTGGACTATCTGGATCTGAAGTGTCGAGCGAATTTGGTTCCATGTTAGGGACTTCTGGTTCTTTGTTATTGACTTCTAGAGCAGTTTCAGTTATATCTGACAACACTCTCGATCTTGTCTTCATCTGTAAAAATTTCAAAACATTATGTTTTATTAAAAGAAAAAAGCGAGCGATAATAAAAAATATGTTAAAGTAAATAAAAATAAAACGGATTCGATGAGAAATTAAACACAATTCGATTGAGAAAATATTTAAATTCGATTTTAAAAGTGTCGGAAACGATTTGAAAACATCGTATCGATTTTAAAATTTTCGAATGCTATCAATTTATTTTTGGTTTCGATTTTGATGATAAATATGAAAATTTTTCCTTTATTTTTTAAAAACATTTTTCCTTTAATTTTGAAAAAAATTCTTTAATTTTTGAAAAAAAAAACACAAAAATCTTGAAAATTCATTGAGAAAAAGCAAAAGGACAAAAATTTTGAAAACGAATTTCGAAAATGTGAGGCGTGGCCGCATTGTGCAAAGCGGCGCACGGTTTTGCAATGCTGCGGCACGCCTCTTCTACGCGCGTCTGCTACCAGTTTGGAGCAAATTGTGAGTAGTTTGCGATGCCAATTTCGGAAAAACCGGCAAAAATATATTAATACGACTAAATTGTAGTTGGCAATCTTTAAACAAAGTGAGGAACAGTTGACTGAATTAACATAAATCTGAGTAACATAAGTCATTAAATGGTAGAAGCTAAATTTCGTCCGTTGTGTATCATGTAATTTTCAAATTTTCATTGTTTATATGATAGCATAAGTTTTTTGTATTGATTTTTCTAGAAATTGTCTTGGTCTGCCGTCCAGACGCCAATTGTATAATGTTTATTGACATATGATTATTTTATCCATATTCCATCCATATTTGTTCCACGGCTCGCAAACACCGGAAGCATATTCATCCCGTTTTCATTCCATCCATATTCGTCCCATAATTCTTCCACAGCCACTAAGAATTACATTATGCTTCCTATATGGAAGCATTATGCTTCCGTTCCACAGATTTCCCACAATGCTTCCATTATGCTTGCGTCGCGCTTAATCAGTGATACCCCCGATGGTCTTTCGTAGATGACAGGCTGTGATGAATGTAGCATTACGGGAGAGAACGCGCTTCCTCCTCGCCTGCGTTCTCTTATATTTGGAAGTTTCTCGGCGACAGGCACAAACAATGAGTGAATCAAAAAACCGGCGAAACCTGTACAAACACGCCGACGTTTCCATAATTTATTACAACTTCCATGAGTAGATCATAAAAATTAGTTTATTTCAAAAGAACACATCAGATAACGCTTTCCGCATTTTCAGTTGGCTCGTTTTCGCCGGCTGTTTCGCCAACTTTTTGCTGTAAATTGTCAAAAATTGAGGAAATCACTGAAAATTGTCTAAAATACCTCATCTCTCGGACTATTATCCGCCGAGTTATTAACGGATATCGCGCTGAGATCGAGCGGCTCGATCCCATGCTTCTCACGATCGAGTCTCGCACTGTTCACATCAGAGCCACCAATCTGGAAAAATTCAAACCACTGTATGCGATAATGTAGATTTTAGAGGGAAAAAATTCAGAAATTGCGGAAAAAAACATCTATTTGAACCAGTTTTCTACAAAAATCTGCGCAATTGTCAAAATATCGAATTTTGAAAGGCAACAATTTTTTTTTGCTTATTAATTTTGTGCGAAATTACATCTTCTCTTTGAATCATTTTAAGCCCCCATGGCTCGATGACACCATTACCTCATCATTCTCAACGGGTCGAGTAAGAACGGTCATCGCATCCGGATCAAACCATGAATATGTTCTCGGAAAATGTTTGCCAACCAGCTCAGAGGCGGCAATTCCACGCTCGCGCAAGTCGCGCTCTCGTCGATATTCCGAGCCCGTCAAATTTGGGATTCGCGTTTTCGGCGACGCCTCCGAGTTGGTTATGCTCGTTGGTCGTTGACCGCTACCCAAAAGCATGATTTGCTCTCTCAATGCCTCGTGCACTGAAGCGTCCCAAGGTGTAAATCTGGAAAAAAAAACACAAATGAATACAAAAAAGAAAAAAAAAAATATATATATATATATAATTTAGCACAATGAAAAGAAAAATACGAATTTCTCCCCACTCCTCGGAAAGAAATGGTTTTGTTGTTCACTATAAGCGTCGAGGCTTTTTTGGCGATTTTCCAAATAAAAGAAACCCAACAATATTGTGCATTTTTTTGGGCGTCGAGCTGTTTTTACACGAAAAAATATGAGTACCGACCAATTTTTTCGAATACTACAGGGTGTCATTTAAGTTCCCGCACAACTTTGAAGACGTATATTTCTGAAACTAAAAGTCCAAATCAAACGAGACTCAAAATATTTTTTATCTATAGTATAACAAATATTTATCTATTAACTCTTTTTGATTCGGCCTCCTTTCGCAGCTATGACTTCACGGAAACGCTTCGGGTAGGATGCGACTGTGGTACGCAGGTATTCGATGGAAAGATTGTCCCATTCCGCCAGTAATGTCTTCTTCAGAGCCTCTACACTTGAATGGGGTTTTGCGTTGACCTTCTCCTGCAAGACCCCATCACGGGAAAGTCAAGCGGGTTCAGGTCTGGGGAGCAATCAGGCCATTCGGATGACTTGATGAAGTCGGGAAAATGGGTCTGGCACCACTCCTGAGTAGTTTTGGCAGTGTGCGCGGCTGCTCCGTCATGTTGAAAGACCCATTTCTGCCCACCGAAATGCGTTTGGGTCCAGGGCATCACATGCTTCTCCAAAATGTCCCGAACGTAGACTTCTTTGTTCACTTTCACCCCCTGATCCGCGAAAACCAGGGGGCACTTCCCGGTTGAGCAGATGGCAACGAAAACCATCATGCTGGCAGGATGTGAGGCTGGATGATATGTTCTTCTTTTCTCAGAAGCTTGCTGGGATGTCTGGGCAAGTACTCAATGGTTTTGTGAGTTGAATGCCGTCTCCACAGTGAACAGCTTCTCGTCGGAGAAGACAGTGACGAGGTGTTGTCCAGACCGCGTGCGAGCAAGAAGTCGTTTTGCTTTTTCGAAGCGTCTCTGCTTGCTGACGGCCGATAGAATTGCCGCTTTTTGGACACGATATGGGGTCAGTCCAAGCTTCGTTTTGACAATTTGTTCCATAGCGAAGATGCTCATTCCCATGTCTAACGCCATCTTTCTCATGCTCCTGTGGGGGTTTCGCCTGATCCTCGATTTGACGGCGTTGATCTTCTGAGGAGTGGTTACTGAGACGAGTCTTCCTTGTCTGGGACGGTCACTGGTCGTATTTAGCTCCTTGAAACGTTTGATGGTGTCGCAAACCGTTCTACGAGGCACACCGACCCGTTGAATGATGTCTCTCGAGCTCACATTTTGCTTATGAAGTTCGATAATGGAAGCGCAATGGATGTTAGCCTTCGCCATTTCTCGGAAACACATCCGAATGAGGTGAAACTTGGAAAGTAAGTAAAATATACCTTATTTAACAAAAATAAATTGTATTGGTGCACGAAAAGTGCGACAGCCAAGCTCTTCATGGCGTCAAACTTTTGTGCGGGAACTTAAATGACACCCTGTAAATAATTCCAAGCAACTTTTTGAACTCTCGTTCTATTTTTTGAATGAAGCTGCAGACAAAAATAAATAAATAATTCATTTTTGAAAATATTAATACATAAAGTACACCAAACGCCCATTTTCCGCTCATTTTGGCATTCTTTTTGTCGACAAAAAGTGCATTTTAAACGTTCTTCACAGCTTGAAGTTCAAAAAACCAGCAAAATGTGTTTGGAACAAAAATTTGAGGTTAGAATGGAATATCTTAGCAAAAATGAGTGTTATATAATCCGAAAGCTCCAAGTATTTTAAGCACGTTGATCGGCTTAATCGTCAAAATCTCTGTTTTGAATTTAAAAAAAATAGTACGTCCCACAATGCTTTTTCAAAAACTTGCAAAAATAAAACGGACATGGTGAGCGACTTCAGTCATTCAAAATTCACTACGCAATTTTGAACCGTGAACCGCAAATTTCAAAGTTCAAACCAAACCTTATCGAGTTCGGATCGTCATTATTCTTGGGATCATCATAGACTTGGGCGCGGCTCGTCTCCACCACATCCTTGGCCATTTCTCTACAAAACCATCAAAAAATTGCTTGTTTTTATTAGTTCGCTTAATTTCAGGGTCCGATGCAAATAGATAATGGGCATGAACCTTGTGCGCAAAAACAGCTTAAAATCGGCTGTCGTAAACAATTTTTGTGGAAAAAATTGTCACGAAATGTTATTTTTGCCACCAAATTTGAGGAAAGAAACACATAAAAAGAATTACTAGTAATATATTATGGTAGTATGCAGATTTCGCGAAAAAAAAACTCAAAAACCCGGTTCAACAAACTTCATAAAAAAAATCCCTGAAAACCTTAATGCATTTTTCTACATAGCGCCATAATGGTGTTAAATAATCTCACATGGTAGTTAAAAAAACAGTTTTCTGAAATTCTTCTGAAATATGACAAAAAATACTACGCGTAATTTACAAATAATGGCAATATCTTAATTCTCTCGATTTCCGATGTTGGTCATTGTCGATGTACGAATTAGGGAAATTCAAATTTTGCATTTAATTGGTTTCGAAAAAAAAAAACAAAATTTGCGCATACTCATAGTTTCTCGGATAACCAAACTAAGATAAATTCGTTGTAAGAAATTGCTCTAAAAAATCTTACAATTCTACAATTTCAACGGAAAAATTCACTTTTCTAATAACTTTAAAACAAATTTCTTTCGGCTCCTAATGACTGTCACTTTAAACGTAATTTATTCTTTAATTTTTGATTTCCGAGAAAACTTACTTAAATTTTTCCTTATGCTCTTTGTACAATATTGCAGCTTCTGGATTTATACATTTATCACAGTCAAACTCGTAGGAGAAAAAAATTCGCTGAAATTCATTATTGCCCGTTTCATTTTTTGATAAAATAATTCCTCACTTGTACAACAATCAATACCCGTAGAAGATTATGCTTTTCGCGTTTCCATCCATCTGGAAATGAGCGACTCAGGTCCAATTGTCGAGTTTTCAAATCGATGAGTGGATGGAAGAGAGCATTATCGAAGGTAACCGTCTAAATTCAGAATTCCAAGAACGCTTGCCAGATTTTGAGCATACAGGGAGTTCAGAAGTTTCGGGAAAATCACTTGGAATGTCAAATGTGAATCGAAAAATGCCTCCACCGAAAATCCCTTTCCTTATAAAGACGACTCCGAACCACTGAAATGGATTCAAGGCGCTCGGTGACACGAATATCCCGTCTACCGGATTCCGGCACACGTTTGAGCTGAACACAATTTCGATGACAATTGTTTCTAACAGAAAGGCTTTACAATTCACTGGCTAATGCGTGCCTAATAAGGGTGTCTTTGGGAATTTCTAGTTTTTCCAAGCATCTGCTATCATCGACAACATGACATCCTTCAGCTTGTTCTGTTGTGCCAGGATGCGTCATACGCTGTAGTCATTTATTTTTCTCTAATTAAGGATCAATGAATCGAAAGAGATAACATTTCGTTGGATATTAAGGATCCATAATTAAAAAGATAAAGAATTTCGCAACACACTGAATGGATCTCAATCAAGTTTATCTCTAAAAATAGTATTCTACAAACAGAATGCTCGAATAGATATATTGCTTAGGATCCTGGAGCCTTGACGTGGCTGAGTGGTGGAAGTGGCTTTCCGTAAGCCAACGAGAGCAAGTTGTAGAGTCCAATGGCGAAGGAAGTGTAAGCTAAAAAAAAGGAAATTATTCAATATTTTTAAAATATCCGCAAAATGAAACAATTCTTTTCTCACAGTATAACCCTTAAATATTTCTTTCTTGTCTATCGACCTCGCATAAACAACAGAAATATTAATTTTGAAAAGGTGTTTTTATTAAAAATCCTTTTCAATCGATCCAACTCACCAAGAGCCTTAGCGATGTTGGAAACAGCTCTGTCGAATGGTCCAGCCTCCTCAGATTTCTTTCCTTCAAGAAGGGCAGTCTGGAAATTTTATAAATAGTATGTTCAATTTTCTCATTCATTAATAAACTCAAAAAAAAAACTTACGGCGTAGGTGTTCACACGCTTGCGAAGCACTGGGTCGTAGAGTCCATACTTTCCCATGACAAGCTTTCCACACTTAGTTCCTTCTGGAAGGCGAGGAAGGATCTTTCCTCCAGCCTAAAACACTTCATTTAGTTATTAATTTGAATAATAAAAACGTACTCCGAGTTGCCACTCTCCTGGGTTCAATGGGTCGAACTGCTCAAGAGTTGGTGGGGTCTGGAAGCGATTTATGAGAGAACAAACAGCATTATATTCATTACCTTTCCGGCATTGGTTGGGACAGCCTGGAAGCTGGCGCAGCGCATCGGCACACGGGCAAATCCAAGAGTTCTAGCGGCCAACATGGTTCACCTGTAAGTATGACAAAAATAATCAACCAAACATTTGTGTCATAGAGATTGCGATTTTGCAGTAATATAAAAAATAATATAATATTCCGACTATAGCACCGATTTTTTTAAATGAAGACATGAATTAACCACAAAAATGCTTAAAGCCTGAAAAAAAGAGTACATGTCGAATAACAAACAATTTACTGCATTAAATTCGATGAAACACCACTCTGAAGTCTATTAAACAACTTTAATAAACTTAACAAACTATAATTCCAGAAAAAAACGTTGGTGCGTCTCTATTTATAGACGGCGAAATACGTGCGCTGGGCAAATTACACAGCTGACGTGCTGCTATCGTACACCAGTCGTAATGAGACCCCGTGTAAATTTACGAGATTTTTTCGTATAACCATCTGCTGTCTCATTATTTCCGTGCACTATATTCGTATTTTTTTTCGTGTAAATATTATAGGCACTTACAAGCTTGTTAGAAGCCATTTCTAAGTTCTTAAGCTTTCCTCCGGAATATAAAATAAAAATTTCATTGTATTTGAAAGATTGAAAAATTAGAGAATGAAATATAACTTTTGGATTAAAAAAAAAACAATTTAATTAAATCTTTTCGGTGAAAACTGAGAAATGTCGATTGACGGTTCTTTTCCAGCTGCTAGCTCGGATAGAACTCTACCAATTGCTGGTGCAACCTTAAATCCAGAGCCAGAGCCGCAGCCACCAACAATTAAATTTGGATGGTTATCAGAAACTGGCCCTAGAACATAGCCATGATCCGGTGACATCTGAAAAGAAGCAGCTTTTAGAAAATCGATATATCTTGAATATACGGTATATTTGCAAAGATCAATGTGTTTTGGCTTCGAACTATCGGCTAATGGAACATGCTCCTTTAAGAATTCACCCGGCCAGGAGATATATTGCTAAACAAAATTAATCGAATAACCTAAATATAAAAAAAATTAATGAACCTCAGGCGTTTTCTCTGGATGATTCAATTCGGCATCCAACGGAGCTCCCGTATGATAGCAGCATTTAAAAGTTCCTGGATAATCCTCGCCGGGAAGCCCATAACTGGAGCGCTGATTGATCTCATCTCGAGCAATAAATGCTGGAAGTTTATCATCGGAGAACAGATGAGCGTTTGCTTTGTCTTTTGGCTGCCAGAAGCAAGCAGCAATGCTGAGAGGCTGGCAACTATTTATATTGATGCACTAACAGACATTTAAATACCTCAATTTTAAAATTAATATTTGGAAGAAGTTTAGCCAGCCATGGTCCCACTGTGAATACAACCTTCTTCGTTTTGTATGCTCCTTTATTTGTAATAATTGCTACTAAATCCGCGCTGTCATCATAACTCTTAACTTCTTCAAGATCTTGAAGTTTTCCGCCTTGATTTTTGAATTCGGTCTTAAATTGTTTTCAATAAAATATTATTTTTAATAGAATCTTTTCGAAACACCTGAAACGCGTTCAGCCATTTGTTCGCATAAATCACTCCACCCATTGGATCAATAAGCGCCTTCCATTCCGAGTTGAATTTAAATTGCGGATATCGGTTTTCAATCTGAAGCAAAATTTATAGCAAACCAGCAATTTCAAAATTACCTTTTCGCCATCAATAATTTCATGATTAATTTTGAAATCTTTTAGAATTTTCGAGATATTTTCAAGCTGATTTCCAGTGGCCGCCCATAAAAGACCGGTATTCTTCCACAACTTCTCATTTCTCTGTTTTTCGAGCTCGGCAATTTGCGAATAAGTGTCATCAACGAGAGGAAGGCACTCTTTCTCAGCATGAGCGTAACGAATTATTCTAGTCATTCCATGGGAGCTTCCGTTCGAATGTCCAACCTTGAATTGCTCCAGAAGAAGGGTTTTCAATCCAGATTTTTGGCAATGGAACGCCGTGCATGAGCCGAAAATGCCAGCACCGACGACGATTACGTCATAGATTTTTTGAGTCATTTTTCCTGAAATTTTTATTGTTATAAAAGCTGATTTGAAGAATTGATCTAATAAATAGAAAATTGCTGGGTTTTTTATACCTGATTTATATGACGTTTAATTAGCTTATCAAGTCACAAAGGCACAACTTAATGTGGTCTTACACATATTGCAATACAACGAGATAATAATAATAATTTTCGAAAAATACAGTGAGTACCTGCTAGCGATGGGACCATTCCGACTGTCAGTTGCTGCACAAAGCTGAATGCTATCTCGCCGAAGAGGATCAGAGATGCAGAGAAAATTATTTTATCTCTTACTGTTCATGTTTCAGTGAAATAATGAGGTATATTGAACCGTATTTCTACTTGAAAGTGACTCGAAAAGTATCCGAGATCTTAGCTTTAGATTGTTTACCGCATCATTCCTATCAATAACAACAAATTGTTTTCTAAACTTGTTTTCCTACTATAATCTAGTACCTTGTTTATTCCATATTTTTTTTCGAAACAGGAATCGATGATAACGTGCCTAAAATATCACAACATTGTGAAAATAAAAGAAAATTGTGAACATGCAGTACACATAATTTTTGTAGAATTCGATTGCCGCACTTTCGAAATGAAATTTTCCGTTGTTTATCCAATGAGACTGAGTCCATTATTAAACTTGAAAATCATCGCTTTTTCGCGCACTCGGTCAATAATATGAAATATCGTGGACTCGTTGCCGTCGCAAAAATGAATCATTATCAGTCAAACATTTTTCTTGCTTCAGGGAGATCGTGCTTGGTCGTTTTGCGTTTCGCTATGCATGCAAATCATGGGCGGTATGAGAATTGTGTCTTTGGAGCAGCTTTTCGAAGGAACCATGCAAATGTCGTTGAGCGGATATCTCGGAAAAGTGTTTGATGGATTCTCGAGAAAACGCGCGATCCTTACTGTCGTGCCAATCAACAACTTCACGATTTGCCTGGCGGCTGGACTGATTTTAAGTAGACAATCTAGCTGAAAAAAATCAAACACATTCTTTAAATTTTGCAGCATGCCTTTCTATTGATCCAGGATCCCCTTTGTTCATAGTATGTTTGGTATTAAGTATGGTCACGTGTGCCGTCAATCGATTATTTCTAAACGCCGAAAAATTTATTGTGAGCAAAGATTGGATAGTGGTTCTTGGAGATGACTCCACTTTATCAAGTATTTATAGACTTCAAAACCAATTACTTAAAAAAATTCTAGATATGAACGCTATTTTTACTTCGCTGGATCAATTTGCTAACGTGATTTCACCACTGGTCACTGGAGTAATTAAATAATTTTTTAAATTGCAATACCTAGAATTGTTAAGGCGCTTGTGACATTACTTGACATTCGAATGACAGTGTTAATTTTTGGAATTGGTTCTTTAGTCTCCCTGGCCTCAAAATCGTTTTTCCTGTACAGTATCTACAAATAATAACGAGTGCCTTCATACGAAAAAGCGGGATGAAGAAAAAGGTGAACTTAAATTACTATTTAAGTCTAACTTATATTCAGACGAATTCTTAAAATCGTCTACTGAGGATACGTCAAATCAAGGAGTTATCTCAACATACTGGCGTCAATCCGTGTTCCCCGCTGCCGTTGGAATGGCGCTTTTATTCATGACGGTTCTAGGATTTGATGGGGTTTGGGGGACATTCGATTGCTAGTCGATTCTTCGGATCTTTAGCTTGCTGTTGGCTATGGATCATCCGCAGGCCTTCCAGAGTATCTGATTGGAGCCTTCCGATCTTACGGATCAGTCGCTGGCATTCTCGGAGCCTTCTCTTATGCATTCTTCGAGAAACGCTATAGTGTCGCCACTTCAGGAGTATTAGGCTTAATCGTACAGCAGATCTTCATTATTCTCGCGGTTGTCTCAATCTGGCTCCCAGGATCACCGATGAATCTCTCTGGATATTTTGGGAATTTCACAATTCAAGTATATTATAACGAATATGGCTTGTAAGGATAGTATTTAGGGCTGGTGGCACGACATGGCTCATGCATTTGATGGTCAGAACACTACCAATACGAATCCCAATATTGATTGGAAGCATTTCACTTCTGATGGCGTCAGCTTGGACAGTATTTTTGTATTCCTCATAGCTATTGCTAGCGCCAGATATGGTAGCCAGTCTTCGGCAGAATATTTTAAATTGCATCCTTATTTTTAGGGCTGTGGTGCCTCGATCTTGCGATCACTCACCTCATGCAGGTCAACGTGCCCGAGAAGCAAAGAAACACGGTGTTTGGTGTTCACAACGCACTGTGCCAAACATTTTCAGTGCTCAAAGATCTTCTTGTGATTATTCTTCCGCTTCCAGCCACATTTGGACTATGCATTATGATTTCCTATGGATTTGTAACTGTTGGTCACGCATTCTTCATCTTCTACCTCTTCAAATCCAAATTAATCAGTACGGTTGGAAGGAGGCTCTCAAAATTGAGCATGGATTCTTAAATTGATGAATTCGAGAACAAAAAATAATAGTTATATTTTAAATATGTATATAAAAGTGCATAAATGAAAAATTTGTTAAAATGCGAATGCTTGACAGTATTGATCATTCTTCTTGATGCTACAGAATGCGGTGGAATTGTGTGTAGCGAAGTTGAATGGATCCTGAAATTCGAAATGATCGATCCATGAATGGAATTTGGCAAAACCTTGGAGCAGACAACAACGAATCTTGACTGGAATTGTTGTTCCAAAGCGGATTGGAGAGATTTCGAAGAATCGATTTGATTCGGATGCATATTCTAAATTTCGAAGAGTATTTGAATATCAATTTTTGGCATTCTTACAAAATCAAGAGTCTCTCGAAGCTCTTCAGCATTGCAAAGTGGATTTTCAGTAGATCTGATATTAAAATTCGATAGAATTTTCTAGAAATGGAAGCGAAACCTCTTCTTACGACCACCGCCAAAGATGGAAGAAGCCCCTCCTCCACATCCACAGCTTGGCGGTGGTGGTGGCTGACATCCACACGAGCTTCCTCCTCCAAGTCCTCCGAATAATCCAGGGCAAGCGTAGATGAAGGAGATCAAGGCGAACAAGACGATGATTGAATAGTTTGACATTTCCAGATGATTTCCAGAAGCCAGCTATTCCTTTTATATGGCAACATCTCGTAAAAATACTTTAGGGGGAGATCTGCGATAAATATCTCAAAGGTACCAAACTGCGTTGAAGATAAAATATTTATAACAAAAAATATTGAACCGTAGTAATTATTTCCCATTGACATATTCCTGGTCTTTCGCATGTTTCGCCCGTCTATTCAATGTTCGCCGTGGCGTATCCGTCGTATTCATATATCGATTATCTTCGGCACGGAAGAATGTTTGAGCACCTGGAAAATTTGCTAATAATAATAAAAATGAATTTAAAAAAAATTGGTGCAAACCTAAATGTTGCGCCAATATGGGTATTTGGCAGTGGCATTCATCGGTTGAGTCGTTTAATGGGACCAATTGATGGGGGCATTGGAAGAACGCTTGGAGGTCCTCCCCCGCTTTAGCCTCAATGTCACATCCGTTTTGATGGCAACGATCACAGCCAATTTGTTTTCTGGATTCATGATGAGCTCACAGTGAAAATATTTGCGAGACAAAAAAAAAACCTGCATGGATCACAATGCACTTTGACACGCATGCCGTCTCTCATCCGCTGACATTTCGGACATTTGTCAAGATCGACGGTGAAATGATCCATTCGGTGAATTGTGCGGAATACTTGAACCGCTTTGTCATAGGTGCCGCGTAGTTTTGCGGTTAGCAGCTCCGAGTAAATGCGCTCGGTGAGCATGTGTCGATGACGCTCCAACGCGTTCAATGATAATCGAGCGACCGATGGTAATAAGGAGGCCTGCGTCTGAAAATGGCACAGTTTTTTTTTTCTTCAGACATTTCAAATCTAACCTGTGCATCGAATTGATGCTTGAGAGCACAATTGAGCCAACAAAGAGCAACAATAGGCTGTCTAGTGCAGGACTAAAAAATAGGAAATTGATTTGAAAAAAGAAATTTTCAACATTACATTTTCTATAATAAATTTCGAGCATCTCAGCTCTAATCCTCGGGCGCTAAATCGTTTAGATAATCGCATGCAAGTCTCAAGGGTCTCATCTAAATTACTCATCATTATTCTTATAATTGTTATGCATCAATATTATTTATTAGATATTTGATTAGCTCCACTTGTCATCGGTGGCAATTTGCCGAACAACTGTCAAATCAAAACGATTTATGATTACGTCATCGCGAAATTCGGACGAAACACGGCGGCAAAAATACGCGAATTTGATAGCGATGAACTACGGAATCGAGAGAAAATTTTGGAGTAAAGATCGAATGTTTGGCAAAGGAGTTTTGATAGCTCATTGAGAATCAATTACCTGAGATGTCCTTTAATGCCGGACATGGAATGCAGGATTCGACGAACCATCGAAATTGAGTTGACGGCGATGGGTCTGACATACTTGAAACGCTAACCTGAAAATGAAAGGAAACGAATTTTTATATTTTGGCTATTTTTTTTTGGTTTTCAGAATCCCCTTGATCAATGAAAAATTCAATGATTCCACTTGTTCGCGGTGTCTGCTCGAACATTGCTGGACCTCATTAATCACTAACAAGCCAATTATCTCGTGTTTCAAATGTCTATCTATTCAACATTGCAATTGATAAGAATGTTGTGGTTGGTTGATGCGATTCAAAACTCACATAAACATCTTCATTGCTTCGATGCTCTTGCAGTAGATCCTTGAAATAATCGGAAGCATGACAAAGTTGATGGCGACATAACAAAAATCGGGTTGACTGAATGCCAAAATTATGAAATATCTTGAAATAATTGAAAAAAAATGACTCACGTGAACAACAATATTCGTCGAGCAGCCTTCTAAATGACACTGCGAATTCAAATAATCTAGTTGGTTTATCACAGTTCGATGCTTCTTTTGCGGAGATTTTGATTTACTAAACAATTATTTTTAGAATTCATAAAATGAAATCAATTTTATATGTAATTGAATCGCACAAAAATTGCAGGGTATCCGCAGTTTGATGGTCCACAATTAATCATGCTCCAAAAATTCAAGCGACGGACACATGCAACATGAAAACAGCAATATATTTACACACTGAAATTAAATGATCCTGAGGCAATCTCGTTTCTATAGCCCGACGATTGAATTTTGTTTTTTAATCTTTCAAATTTTCACGGAATGAAATTATTGATCTTTTTTTTTAAATCGAATTAGTGTATTAGAAGATTGCAAAAGAGTTTAATCTTTTTTAAGATTGAATTTTGCCTATAAATGATAATAATAAAAATTACATCAAACTTTGAAGAAAAAATATTTCGAAAGAAATAATTAATCATTTGAAGTAATTAATATTTTGCTGAAATTAATCTTCTAAAAAACCTGCGTTTACTCTGCAACCACGTGATTTCTACGTAAAACTGCACCTTTTAATCTTCTGCCCGCTATCATCTCGTTTCGGCTTCCTCGGCGAATGCGATCGGGCTCTAATTAGCGGCCCGGGACCACTAATGTCGTCTTTGATTTGATAGAAAATATCGTCGCTATCGCGTGGCTCGGTGTTCCAGCTGTGCACACCGAACGAGTCCTAGAAACCCGAATGAGAACGACGAGTGCGAATGATTGACATGTTTTATACATTTGAGTGATTACTACCATTCCGATTGCTTTGACCGGACCCCGAACGCGTTGGCATCGGCGAGTTTGAGGGTCGCGGTAGTGGTGACGGCGGGAGTGGAAGATAGCACACCGGCGCCAACGGCACATTTGCATAAGGTTCGAGCTGAAACACAATATTCGATTATGGTCCTTTAAATATGACACTGACATATGGATGAGGGAAATTGGAACGCGAATTGGTCCCGTTTGGTGCACTCCGTTTTGTCGGCGATTTTGAGCGATGCTCGACGAGCTTTTTGAGAAACGATGTCATCTGAAGTTCATCGAAATTGAAAGATTAGAAAAAAAGAACAACAACATCAACAAAAACAACGGCGAATACTACCAATGTGTGCACGCGGGTGGAATCGACGAGCCAGCAAAAACGCAAAACAGTTGCGGACGCAGCTTTTATCTTTTTTCCTCAATCACTTCTTGGTGGGGGGAGAAATGACAACGACGAGGATTTATTTTTAACAACCCTGCTTTCGTCTCATCTCCTCCTTCTTGTCATGCTCAACACGTCAAAACCGAGCCCCGCATCATGCACATTCGTCGCATTCGCTTAATGATTCAACTAGGATCCACAACAAAACTGTAATAAGTGAAAACCATGCTTGACGAGATATTGATCTTAGATTCTTGAAAAAATAGCACTTTATAAGGAATAGCTGGCTTCTGGAAATCATCTTGAAATGTCAAACTATTCAATCATCGTCTTGTTCGCCTTGATCTCCTTCATCTACGCTTGCCCTGGATTATTCGGAGGACTTGGAGGAGGAAGCTCGTGTGGATGTCAGCCACCACCACCGCCAAGCTGTGGATGTGGAGGAGGGGCTTCTTCCATCTTTGGCGGTGGTCGTAAGAAGAGGTTTTGCTTCAATTTCTAGAAAATTCTATTTAATTTTAATATCAGATCTACTGAAAATCCACTTTGCAATGCTGAAGAGCTTCGAGAGACTCTTGATTTTGTAAGAATGCCAAAAATTGATATTCAAATACTCTTCGAAATTTAGAATATGCATCCGAATCAAATCGATTCTTCGAAATCTCTCCAATCCGCTTTGGAACAACAATTCCAGTCAAGATTCGTTGTTGTCTGCTCCAAGGTTTTGCCAAATTCCATTCATGGATCGATCATTTCGAATTTCAGGATCCATTCAACTTTGCTACACACAATTCCACCGCATTCTGTAGCATCAAGAAGAATGATCAATACTGTCAAGCATTCGCATTTTAACAAATTTTTCATTTATGCACTTTTATTTGTAAATAAAGAATCTTCTGAGTAAAATTTTTCTAAATGCCACCTCATTGAAGAGCGAATTACTTGAAATCTCATTTTTGCGAAAAGTGAAATTTAAAACAAGATTGCAGTACCAAAATAATATTATTACTTTATTATATATACAACATATGTATATGTATATTATTCGAGGGAAGATATTCAAAAATTTCTAATTTGAGGAAATTCATGGAATCTGAAGTTCCCTGTAACAAGAATGGATTTGTAGATAAGAATCACTGTAAAATTTCAGAAACCCTGCAAGTCTCTAAAAAATGATAATAAAGTAAAGTCGGCGTTCTTCTCAAAATATTTCTTTTGACATTTTTATTTTATCCTTAGTTTGATATTTTTATGAATTTCTAATTTTATCAAAATTAATTATTATGGTAATGAGCTCTACGTAGAATTCAGCGAGACCATTCTCGCAGTAACCTCACGTCGACTGTATTAATTATGTAAAAAAAAGTAGTCATCGCCACACATTTTTGTTGCAATTTTTGACTCACCCAATAAGGAATCAATGATCGTACACCTCGAACTCGAATTTCCGCCAATTTTACAACTGATTTCGATGTGGCCTAGATTCGACATGCATGTACGCCACCTTATTATGTCCGCAGATGGAAAATGAAATAATTGTTTAAGTTGCCAAAAAAACAATCCACCTTGTTTTTTCCAACTTTAATATTACAATGGAGAATTCGTCACTTTGCAGAATCATGTGTATGTAATTCTTGTCTTCATTAGACACAAAGAAACAACTTCTGCAAATCCGAATGCTTGGATCACTGATCCTTCACCTAGACACTCGCATTTCCTTAATTGTCGCCCACCAAATGGCCATAGCCGGTTAGAATAATTGATGAGGAACAAGTCGATCGAGCGCATCGAAACATCGTATTTTCATTAGCAGTAATGTAACTGGAAATCCGATATAACTATAAAAACTGAGTAAAACACATACTGGTATCTTTGTCATTATGAATACCATGATTCTGCTGCTGGCATTTGTCTGCGTTGTCCATTCTTGCGGATTCCTGGCACCTATGATGAGCGGCTGTGGTGGTGGATGTGCACCACCGCCACCATTTTGCGGGTGTGGAAGAAAGAAGCGCTCGATAGCAAAGCCTGTATTCTACGGAATCGTTGGCAAAGACGATGATGTTCTCTGCAACCATCCAGAGCTAAAGAAGCTTATTCGAGATGTTAGAATCTATCTTAGATGGAAAATTCTTAACACTATTATTCTAGAACATGCATCAAGAAATGGAGAACTCTTCAAAAGCTCTACAAACTGCTTTGGAGCAAAAGAATGCTCAGCGTTATGTGGTAGTATGCACGGAGGTAGGTTGTTTTGATTCCTCAACGATTCTTGAACGATGTTTCAGACGTCATTCGTTTATTCGATCCGACCAGATTTAATCTATTGCGGGGCCAAAAATCACAACCATTATTGTCACATCTTTGCCATATAACGTATTCCGCGAATAAAACAACACTCTATTTGAAGAAGGGCGTAATGTGTTAATTGTTGGTAGATGACGTCAGTCAGCCGCCATGTTTTTGCACAATGTTGAAAGCGAAAATCATAGCCGCGACGCGCGCAAAGAAACAAGACGCGAACCGCTTTTTCAGCGATCCCATCGAATTCTATAAAAGGCGTCAGCGATGTATCAGCAAACATCACACCCGCTGGAAATGAACTCGACCATCTTGTGCCTTCTCGCTCTTGCTGCTGTCTGCTCGGCGTGCCCTGGACTATTCGGAATGGGCGGCGGTGGTGGTTGTGGATGCGCGCCACCACCACCACCGCCACCATCGCCATGCGGATGCGGCGGAAGAAAGAAGCGATCGCTTCCATCGAAGCCTGAAGAGTTCTTCGGAATTGCCAGCAATGATGGCGATGTTCTCTGCAACACGCCGAAGCTGAAGAAAATTATTGTCGAGGTACATCAGAAGTGGCTCGTCTAGATTATTGATGATTTCAGAACATGCATCCAAACGCCGTCGACTCGTCGAAGTCCCTTCAAACCGCTTTGGAAGCCGAGACCCTTCAGCGTTACGTTGTCGTGTGCACTGAGGTTCGAAGACCACCACTTCAATTCAATCCCCTTATTTCAGACCACCTTTGTGTACACTGTCCGCGCCAATACTGCCTACTGTGGAGCTCATAAGAACGGCCATTATTGCCACGTCTTCGCTCTCTAAAATTCTACCAAACCATTTTTTGTATGTATATATGATATGAAGCATTTATTTAAACAATTCAAACATGGTATGACGCCTTCTTGCACACATAGGCTCGCATGATGGTGTTGCATGGCTCGTTGTTCCAGTTCTCATACCATTTGTCGTGGGAGACGTCCGGAGCAGTCTAGAAATTCACTTTAACGCGTTCTTCGCTAGTGCAGATGATTCACCTCAACGCAATTTTCTTTTCCCGGATTATCTGGCTGCTTTGGAGCCCAGTTGAAGTAATCCGATCGGGTTCCATCAGTCCACACCCAGTCTTGTCCAACCTTGTGCATTCCGATCCATGCTAGTTCGTTCGTCTTTCCCTCTTTGATTCCGCAAGCGGCGAGGTCTGAAATTGGTATCCATACAGATACGAGGCAAGAAGCTTACTGTTCACAAAGGTGTTCTCAATTTCTGAATGGATTGAAGCCAAATGTCCTCCAAGAAGAACACAAGCCGCTTCAGCGTCATCCCACATGGCCAAATGGTAGACATGATAGCAGAAGTCAGTCGGCTGGAAGTAAGTCCATCCTTGATCGCAAGATGGGACGCAGGTCTTGGTTGGGCATGGCGGAGGAGTTGGGCAAGTGGTTGCTGAAACACGAATTGCTTGAAATGATTCATTAAAATGCATTCTCACGTTTTGGAGTCGTCTGTGGTGGGCACGTGGATGCTATGATTGGCGGCGTCGCGCACACATACGGCAAGTACACTTGGCAGTCATTGGTCTTCCATTTCAATGATCCCTTGCTCTTCAAAGCGCAATCTCCGCCGATCGGCTCACCAGCATCCCACAAATTGTAATTGAAAATCGAACCATCGGTCCATTGCCATTTTCCAGGTGTGGAGAGATCATTGGCGCCAATCCAGTAATCGGTGTAGTTCGACTTTACCAATTGGACGTCAGCGTTGCTCGACACAAGAGCATTCTCTTCGCCGTTTACCACGCTCACAAGATGACCTCCAAGTGAGATGCACTGCTCCTCAGCGTCCTCGAATTGAGTGGGAGCCGAGAAGAATTGATAGCATCTGCAATTTTGTTCGAATCAGATTACTATCAGCGTCAGAATCGGATCCGCCATGAGAAGAACATTTCTTATCATACACGAAGGACCAATTATAGTTTTATCATCATTGTGACTTTCTGACAATTGCAAACATTGGAAATAATCTTCGTACCTCGAGATTTGATCTCATGGTATGATAAAGCATCAAAACTTGTAGGTTGAAAACTATTCGATGCCTGATGCATCGATGGCATAAGATCGCAATAAGGAAAGCCTATATCAGCGTTTTGAGATTCTTGCGAATAAGAAGGATCCCAAGGTCATCCTCACATTTCCGCTCTCTGCTCTAGAGTTCCTTACTTGTTGAATTTGGAGCTGTAGATGCCGCCGATATTGCACGATTGTGCGGCAACGCATGAAATGCCGACGGCGAGCAGTACGAGTGTCTTGAGCATTTCGACCAAGAATGACCACGTTTATCAGACGGTTTCCGCACAAAACCAACCATAGTTCCGATAATTTTTACGATAAAAGAGGCGTGATTGGAAGTCAATAAAAGTTCATTGATAGGGTTTTATGCATACTACTAATTAGATGGCAAACGCTTGACAGAAATGATTCTTGTTCCGCGAACTGCAGTAGGCGGTGTCGATTCGAACAGCGTACACGAATGGCGCCTGAAAATATTGTTTTTTATTGAGTGAGCAAATCTTATTTTTTATTGAAGGATTATTTTATTGCCTACCATTGACTCAAAGCGGTCTATTATCTTCTTTATTTGAGAGTAATGGTAGCTTCATTAGGAAGGGTTGATGATAGATAAAGAACAAAGCGATCGGACAACTTTAGCATCCATTAAAATTGTTAAATCATTTTTAGAAAGAATGAGGCATGCAAATAATCAGTTCAGCATTGATTATGGAAGTCTGCTCAATCAAAATGGTCAGAATTCCAGGATTATTTCTAAAGATGGTAAGACGACCCTGGGAAGGGGTCAATCTTGAGTATGATGTCTTAATTACGACTAATAAAAAATAATTTGGAATCGGAATCGCTCTACATAGACCCGTATTGAATATTCCATCGTGATGGAGCTCAACACATCCCCTTTTTTTCAGGGTTCTTCACAGCGCTTCTGAATGAACCGCTTATGAATCCGATCGACTACGGGAACATTTGAGCCAGAAAGAGGCCGTTGAAATTATTGAATGTTCCCCTTCTATGATTATAAGCATTTTTAAATAATTTTACAAAAAATTCTCTCTTTTTTTTAAAGCGAACCTTATTTTTTAACACAGTCTAATAAAATTTTTTTTCTGGAGCTCCAAAAACAACAAAATTGAATTGATCATCATTGATGTTTTATCGTTTGGTTTTGGAAAAGAAAACGTCATGGAAATTTCGGGCAGCATCAAAGTTAATTTGAAATCTCAAATGATGCAATATACGGCATTGCGGGAAAACCTTTGGATTTCAAAAAGAAATAGTAAGATTTGATTTTTTGAACCTTAAATCGAAAACTAAAAATGTATAGCTATTATAATAATCCGTGCACAATAAATAGTAGTAATGTAGAATTTTCAGTTTTTGAGATTCAGTCAAATTTACAAAAAATGAAGAGTGATGAAGAAAAATCGAAATGAGTGCGTGTACACGCCGACGTAAACTTGCACACATTTTATCTTCCCTCAATCGAATTCAAAATAGACTACCAGAATTGTCCGCTGCAAGACCTACGTAGTTCGATGCGCTTACCTTTTCGATTTTTTCAGAAGCAGATCAAAAATAAAAATTATTACAAATGAAACAATTGTCATAAATTGGAATTATCTAAAAAAAAATCGAAAATTTTCACATGCGCCTTTAATTTACGTATTGTGTACATACTGTAATTTTGAATATTTTGGATACTCAGGCAACGAAAAAAATTATTGTGTTGTATGTTTTCGGCAATATTTCAAAACGAAATTCACACTACATGCCAATCAAATTTTGAGACCAAAAACGTTTTGAGCCATACCTCTGAGCAAACGACGACGTATCTAAACAATCCATGCTCCTCTAAAGCTGTCTGAATCGCTTTGCTCGAGTCCACCGGCGACGGCCTCATCGCAATATTCATCGTCTTCCGCATTTCCGGACTATTGCAGAGCATGTCTTCTTGGCTGCTGGCGATTCCAAAAAACTCTTCGCTACCTTGAATCGACCGCTTCCTTCGTCCGCAACCGCCGCCACAGCCGCCACTGCCGCCGCCACATCCGCCGAGCCCACCGAAGAGTCCAGGACACGCCGAAATCGAGCAAATTGTCAGAATCAGAATAACGAGAATTGAGTTCATAATTGGATGAGGTTGTTGCTTGCTTGTTTGCTTGGTTGTCCTTCATCTTTTATTGTGTCGTCAGGTAATTAAACCGGCGACCTATTCGCAGAGTCTCGACCTCCGATTCAATTATGCGTCTCCGGGATGTGTTCCCTTTTACTCGACAATTTCCGGATGAACTGTTCCTTGAATTGAAGAATGCTTGTCAATTGAAAAAAAAATGTGGGCAAAGATTGATTACATTGAAGCGGAGACAATGTGGAGACTTCGAAATTTGCAAACTGCGGATATTCTGCCGACACAGCCTTTGATCTTTTGAAACCGAAAACAGTCGAATGAATAATTTGTGTGGGTGTACTTGGTCAGATTACCAATTCATATAAAACGCAAAAATGCGCAACGCAAAAATCGACGTCCCCCCCCCTGTAGAAAATTGTTCAAAAAAAAATGTCGAACGACACACTCGCCGATCTTTTTCCGTACGTTTATAAGCATTTGGATGATCGAATTCACAAGTACGATTCCACTGGTTGGGATGTGATATTCGAGCCAACCTATACGTCGACGCATCACTCGGATCGCCTCATTTTGGAATGGTCCATTGACACACTATCAATGGTCATCGATTTCTATTTCTGCATTTTTCTTTGGAATCGAAAACAGCTAATGATCCTCTATGCGGTAAGAAGATTCGAAAAAAACAAATTATGGACATATGAGAATCTAGGATACTGTGACATTTGTGACATTTGCAAGTTTCTCTCTATACCTGCCATTTTACTTGCTGTCCACGTGGCAGACAATGTACCTACTAGTCGGCAAGCCTCCCGAGTACTCGACGATTCTACATTGCACCGTCATTCGGCACATGGTGTTGGCGTGCTTTCAATCAGCTCAGCTAATTGTCATGGTCTCGAAAAATTAGGCTGACGTGAATTTCAACATCTTCCTCTTTAGCCAGTCGCTGTCAACCAAATCGCAATGGTCATCCGAAAGAAGGCGATGGGATTCAGCAATATGGTCTTCTTGCAGATCGGAATCACATTTCTTGAGGTTCGACACCTTCGTGATTCCGATTGAGTGGCTTTTGGTTCAAGTTTAGATGACCCGATTGCTCGGACATATAGCGATGGGAGATGTGATGATAAGCGATATGTGCACCAGATGGATCTTCTCGAAAACGGTATTCCTAGCATATGTGAGTTCACGCGTTTTGTGAGAATTATAAAATTCAAATTTTCAGCTCATAATTAGTCATTTATTGCGAATATTCACAGTGCTCATTTCCATTTTCAATGTGTTTTACTGGTTTCGTAAAGCTCAAGGTAAGAATGCGCTTTATAATGCTGTCTATCTAATCCCCAACAGTTCAGATAACCGATTGAAACGTCGCTCGAAGCACAAATCGGTGGTGGTTTTGATTCAAAGCCTAATTCCTTTGCTTCTTCCCTTCCCACTAGTCATCCGCCAGATTTACGTGATCATCGAAGGCCATCAAGTGAACAACTTTGTGTCCCAATATGGCTACATGGTAGCAATGACCAGCGTATTTGTGCTGCCATTGATAAGCATGATGTGTCACAAGAAATTACGGACGGAATTCCGAAAAGCGATATTTTGCCTGAAAAAGCCGGTAGTAGCTTCGAATCAATCCAGCGGGATTCATTTAAACGATGTTGATTAGACGACTCAATTAATATTCGGTAGAATGTTGAATAAGATTATAAAATAAAATAATGTCTTATTCGTTTTGAGACCCATATATAGAGGCTTTGGCGGGAATTCGATCAAATGATGAACATCCCCCCCTCTCCCCCTAATCCTTCTAGTTTCCGTCGCTCGACACCTGTATTACCCACATGAATGTATATCAATCACCAACATGCCTCAAATGTCTGTATTATTCTCGCTATTCATTATTGTTTGTGTTCAACTTGAGTATATTCAATCGATAAAATGTTTCGGTGGAACAGTGAACGTCGGCAAAGAAGGTTTCGAGAACCCCTCACCTCTCCAAATTTCGAGGCAATCGACTGGATTTCAGATGAGCTTGTTGATCACATATGCCCTTCATTGAATGCGTGCTTCGCTTATTATTACGCGGAGAATGTCACCGAGACCGATACGAAGTTGTTCACATCGAAGGGTTGCTTAGAGCACGCTATGGAGGAATCCTATGAAAATGCGGTGAGATTTTCAACAGTATATTTTTTTGGCTAGGAAATTCCAAAAAAATTGAATGGGAGGTCTTGACGCGATGCGCCTTTAATCGATCCTTCTATAAATCTAGACAATCGGTGTTTTGCCAACACTAACAATATCTATTTTTTATTTTTAAAAGAGCATCACAATAAATCTAATTTCAGCCACCATGCGAAACTGTTGATTTTGAGAAGCTCGATCTCAGCGAAGAGCAAATGATGTCGGGCTTCAAGTGTGTCTGCAAAAAAGTGAGACGTCTCCTCCCGAACTTTCCCCTCTCAATGCATTTCTCTCTAGGATTTCTGCAATGGTCATTTCTCAGCGAATTTCGATGTCAATCGCCACCAACTACAATTCGTTCAGCTTTTCCTCATCGCATTAGCAATTTATTTAAATCAATGATACATCATCATAAGTGTCGTCGAAGCTGAAACCATGCAAATAGCGAGATTCGCCTGAAATTTCAATCGAGTAATGTAATGGAATAAATTTTCTTTTTTTTTTGAGCCGAGTGACCTTGGAATTTCTTTCGACTATCAATCATGTCGAAATCGATGTCGGGTTCGAACGCCATCGTGTTCTTGCGAGTGACGACGAATTGGGACGAGTCGGAAGCACGAGAAGCTTTTTCCGAGATTTCCATTATGATGTCTTGCTCTATCGCATTCTCATCTTTCATCTCATTCATCTGAAATAATTTTATTGGGGCGGAGGAATAGTTAAAATCGGGAAAGGCCAAATATTGGTGCACAATTTTAAAGGAGCATACGGGTCTATTAAAATATCTCGACGCGAAAATGCATTTCATGCCTTCAAATTTCATTGAAAGAACATCGGCCCATCATAGGGGGGGGGACCATTTTCAAACGCGTCTGCGAATCCTTGAATAACTCACATTCATTATCATTCCCATTCTAGCGAATGCGCCAAGCTGGGCCATTCCGAGCCCCAAACCTCGATTGATATTAATTTTTTGAGCCATCTGAAAAAAAATGAATGAATCATCGTCAAAATATGTGCGTGCACTTTAGTTATTCAACAACATCAGCAATTTCTGATTGCTCTCCTCTATTTGGCTATAAAATGAGAGCATTGGAATTTTCAAAAAGAAAGAGAGTAATTTTCAAAATCAAAATGAATTCCATTGTTCTCGTCGTTCTGTGTTTTCCCATATTAGTTGAGGCTCAGAATTTCTCCGACAACTCCAATTCGACAAAAAATGTTGGTGTTGTTTGCGATCTGTGTCGCAGTGGATTTAATTTGATTGTGGACAACCTAAGCGTACTGGAGCATATAACCGAAAACGACTTGGGTGCTCTGGCAGATGTAAGCTCCCATCTGGAGACAATTGCTAAACACATATTTCAGGCTCTCTGTAGTTTGGCCCCTCGGCAGCTACCAATTGTCGATGCACTCTGTGTAGTGCTCCGTGACAACATTATCGGAGCTCTTGTGAAACTGATTCAGGGTTTAGAAGCGCAATCCGATCCTAATCTACTGTGCAATAAAATGTTTATATGCAAAAAATAAATAATTAAATTACATGGAGGAATGTTAGTGTTCAATTATGGCAGCTCGGAGCCTATGAAGAAAAAAAAGTATTGTGCATGTAGTTTACGAGAACATCCGGATTTCATTTTAAATCATTTTAAAACAATTTTAGGCATATTTTTCACCTGGATGACATTTCTTAACATAAATACATTCGGTTTATCAAAGAGAAAACCCTTTCTAGATTTTTATTTAAGCATGATTATCAAGAATAGTAAATTCCTTCTAGATATTGTAGAGAGCTAATTTTTCGGTAAATCGCCCTCCCTCAGCCATTTTTTTTGTTAAAAATCTGAATTCTACTTTTTCAATGCCCGCTGTCATATTTTCAACAATGCGTAAATCGACACTCATGTTGCGAGACCCAACTCTACAATAGACCGCGTATATACAGTATCTAACGTGAACATTAAGTGGTGAATATGTATTTCAACAAAATCTTTTTACAGAAATCTCGTTCTCCATTTTTTTTATTATATTGATGTATTTGAAAAAAAAAACAGTTGGAAACGAAAAAGTCCAGGTTTAAAAAGAAAAAAGAAAAAGTTAGCATAATTCTCACGGTGAATTTGCTGGAATCACGAGGTTCGATGTCGAGCAGACTCTCGAAAAAATGATGCATTCGAAGCATCTTGTCTCAATTCTCATTCTTATCACATTTCCCACAATTTTCTCAATTAGCCAAAATCAATTGTGTGGTGCTTGCAAGCAAATTCACGAGCGAGCTTTCAAAGTGTTCTCGGATGAGAATGGCGGGCTCAATAGACGAGCAAAAATTGAAAAAATTATTGTAAGTTGAAAATGGATTTTTATTTGGCCGCAACGCTTCTTTTTTTTTCAGCACGACGTCTGCGATCAAGATGAAAACAAAGAGATCCCATGCAGAGATTTGGCTCTTGATTTCGTCACAATGATGGACGCAAATATGACGGTCGAAGAGAATTGTGTACTACAGAGAATGTGTTAAACTCTTGAATAAAATTCGGAATTGTTCGTTAAATTTTTTTGTTTTAAAGGAAATTCCTTAAATATTTCTTTTGCATCATATTGAAAGAGGTGGCTGGAAAAGAACCATTGGGGCAACGCAAAAAATAAAAATATTTTTTTATTTTCTCCGCATTGAACCTTTAAATTGTATCCCAGGCATTTTTTTATTGTTTTTTTTTTCGAAACCATCAACAATTAATTGTTGCACCATTGATAACAAAACGCATAAAAGTCGTGCTGAAAACATTAGCGATCAACGTCAAGAAGACATGAAATTCGCGGCGGTGATTTTGATTCATTTCTCGATTCTTTTTCATAATTTATTCGCGAATGAAGGAGAATGCAAGCAATGCGAATTCATCGCCTCGGCGATATCGAACGGAGCGAATAATCTCAAGAATATCACAGATGCCGATATCATCGCTCTCGTAAATGTAAGAAATCTTCAAATAAAAAAAAATAACAACAATATTCTAGCGTGTTTGCGATTCGGCTTCCAGCGCTTCAATCATTGAAAGCGCTTGCGAAGTCGTCAAGAGGAACGTCGTAGAGGAGATTCATCGAGTAATTGATCTAGTGGAGAAGAATGCTGATCCATTGACGATTTGCAAACAATTAATGATGTGTTAATTATAAATGATTTTTTGAGTACTACGCTCACTCCATAATATTTTTAGGTTTTGTCCGCAAAGCACACGAACCATTTAAATAGTCATGACGCATCTAAAAACGGAAAACATGACAATAAAAAGTGCAATAAACTGTATAAAATGAGCTATTCTGAAGGCTACCCCCTATACCCATTATGAAATTCTATATCATTCTAATTGGTTTCATTATTCTTTTTGAACCGGTGATTGAATTCAAAAATTGTTTCCGTTTAAGATATTGTTAAGGTGAATTCTGAAGATTTGCAAGTTCGCCAAGATGCTTGTCATGTATGCCATCAGTTAGTTGGCACCGTTCAAACCAATCTGGTTAGTCTTGAACAAATAGTAAGCACGGATCTGATACGAGTTGTAGATGTAAGTGAACGTGGCCGCGGCCGCGGCCGCTAATTTCACGGCCATCTCTACATTTTTCATTTCTTAATTTCAGAGTGTTTGCCACAACATTCCCAGGAGCTCAATAGGCAACACAATCTGCACCATAGTGCGACGGGACCTCATAGGCGGCGTGTTGCGAGTCATACGGGCACTCGAGCGCCAAATCTCTCCCAACAACATTTGCCGGCTCATTTGTTAAGCCTTTTGTACCTTCTCCGTACGATAAAAACACGCTTCAAACGCGTCATTGATAACAAAATCGCATTGCGTCAAAACAAAATATAAAATAAGGGGTTTTTTTGTGTGGGGGCGAGTATGGTGTTGTTGGAGATTGTTGCAATCATCATGATTGATAGACGACTCGCTGCTATTCTTTTGCTATTTGGCTCGTGCGCCGCAGCAGCCAAGACGACACCGCCCAAGGTTAGTCGGCGAATGCTCACATTATGTGAAATCGAGTGATTTTGTAGGGCGATGAGCCGAATCTGCTCTGCGGCGGCTGCCAAATGGCTGTCAAGCTCATCGAGTCAAGGCTCAACTCGTTCGAGAATCTCACCAAAAACGATTTGACGCGATTCGCCAAGACAATTTGCGCCAACGCGCCTCAATCGGAAATTTTCAAAACGCTTTGCACATCGGTTCGCGACGACATTATCGACGTGGCGATTCAGATAATTGAAGCGATTGAACGACAAATTGGTGCTGAGCACACTTGCAAAATGATTCATGTATGTTAGAGAGTATGTCTGTAATAAAATGTCTATAACTCACTGTGATCATCTTGTCGGCGATTAGTCGCGCTTTTCCCATCTGCCGGCCCATGTAGTGAAATATGGTGGATGATGTTGGCGGCGACGACGTCGACTGAAACTGACAACTCGTGACGACACCTTTTTAAAGGCGCACACAACCTGCAATTGTGACTAGTGAGACGCCAATGACTGTGAATATCACAACGAGATATCCAGGAATATCGGGACTGCAATTGCAATACGAATAGAATTATTTTCGAAATTTTGACGCACCTCATATCCCCGTAGCCAATTGTGAAAATTGTGATCGTGCTGAAGTAGATGCCCTCGATCATCGTCATGCCGACACCTTTGGCGATAATCATCCCGCCAACAATTGAATAGGCAAATAGTAGGATGATTAAGACTGACATGAAGGCAGTTACGTTCTATAAAATGGGCTTTAACTAGCTGGTAGAATTCTAGCTGACATCATTGAATAGCTTGACGAAAGAATCGCAGAAGAATTTTCCGATATCCGACATCATCACAAGTGCCAACGGAATTCCGAATCCGGCGTAGACGCACAGCAGAATTCGGCCAATATTTGTCAGCGGCGCAATAAATCCATAGCCCAAATATGAATGTATATAGATTTTTTGCAAAATTTCGAAGAAAGAATAATACCAACTGGAATAATTGTTGTCGCCGTGAACAGAAGCGACGATTCCATTTTCCACATTGGCGTGTAGTTTGAGTTGGAGTAGAACATGCAATCAAACATGTTCGCTGGAACCTGAACAATCAATGCGCCTTTAATTGGGTCTCGCGGCGACGAACCGGGGATGAGAATAAATGCATTAGTTGTTTTGAATAGTCATCAATGATCAACTCAAGACTTTCATTGAGAACAGAAGAATGCGCTGGAAATTTGATATTGAGATTCGAGAGGGCCGGTCATCACCTTGATGAGAATTCTTCGCAATTTCAACATTCCTCATAAAATTGCTTCTCAACATCTCAAACTTGATCTCGACCTCTTTTCGCAGCTTCTCCTCTTCGGGCATTTCGATCGACATGAACAACATTGCACCGAAGTAGGCATATAAAATGCACACGATGATGAGGCCGACGTGCAATCCGCCTTGTCTTGTGAGCAACTTCAATCGCCAGAATACGGTGCGCTTCTTCTTGACGACCACCGGCCTACCGGCCATCATCGCGGCGAGACCCGCACCTTTCGGCGCCATTTTTCGCCGCTTCTGGCTGGTCGAGCAACGTCGAACGAAACAGTGGATGTCGCCATTTTCTATGCATTGAATGGTTGCTCTTTTTTATGTGGCACTGTTTTTTTTATGGCGCCGAATGAATGCATTATTAATTACCATTCTCGAGTTTGTGGCACTAACTATTCGAATAGTTAATTTTAAAATGGCACAGTGTCACGTAAAATTTGAATGATTAGCATGTAGTATTAATATTAGTATGAAGTTTGCATCAAATGAATAGCGAATATAGGGTTTTTTCGCAAACTGTAGACATCTACTGAATGTATTTGTAAGTAGGCTTGCTGTTTCTGCTGGCCGTGGTCGAACATGACTCGGCCAGGCTTTTTGGTTATTTTTGTCCCGTTAGCAATTTTAAACAAATATTGTTGGATTGCTCTATTCAAACTATTATATTAGCAAAAAATGAGCCCGTTTGCCTTATAAAATCATTCTTAGTAATGATTTCTTTCCTGGAATCGCATAATTACTTAGAGGCGGTAATTCAAATTCGAATTTTAACTATGGTAATTCGGATACCGTATTCTGGATCAGTTTTTTTTTAAGCTACCACATCGTAAATCAGCGCAGGGTGCTCGTTTTTTTTTACGAATGTAATATATAAAACCGACGCCGACCGCGACGCATACGCAACGCGGCCGATTTTTGGCGGCCTGAGGGCGCCAATTTGAATAATCGGTTTGTAAACGACAAGCCTGATTGAAAGACACATGCGCTTATTTTTTACTCGGAATATTCTGCACAACGTCAATATGAATATTTTCTCAATTTCGTTCCGTCGCTTCTATATTATCGTAAAAGACGAAAACTATTGTTATAGTAAGTTTTAATCTCCGTGAAATTGATTCTCAGATTATCTGTATTTTTGAATATGCTTCTCTGACACGAGGCAGGGCCTGAAATATTGGGTGCCGAAGTGGAGAGACGCGAAAAATTTTGGTTTTTGTTCTACTCTTGAATTTCATTTTTAAAATCTTAAAGCATGAAACTTTTCAAAAGTATTGATTAGCAATTGGCAACGCCTAATTCCATTCATATTCGCCAGGAATATGTTTTGAAAATTTTCAAAAATAATCATAAAAGTTAAAAGTGAGTTTAAAAAGAATAGGTTTTTTAGATGCTAATCATATAAAATAAACACTATTTTTTAACAAGCTTAATTTAAAGGCGCAGCATAATAGAAACATGATAAATAGTATCAATTAAAAATTTATAATTATTCATATTTTAATTAGTTAGGTGATTGTTGCACTGCCAACATCATAACTGACGCGATTTTTTCTACCTGAAAACCATTGGATATTTTTACGTGTATTTCTGAATTATTCGCATTTACACAAAATGGCATCACGGAATGGTTTGATCATGAATATGGCAATGAATGGATCAAGAGCGGGATAGAGAGAAGTGCCGAAGCCGACAGCGCTCATCCAAGCGCCCAAATCAATCTCGAAAAGCGGAAAAAAGTAGAAGAAGGCGATTGGAATGTAAATGGTGAGCATCGGAACAGCTGTCTGAAATTGTGAGGAATTCAAGAAAAAATTCTTTAGGCAGGTCTTGTCGTTTGCGGCCGTAGCCCGACCAAAGCCAAGCATTCAAATTCGCGCGCTTAAGCGGCCGAGAATCGGGCGCGTCGCGTATGCGTCGCGGTCGTTAAAAGAAAACGACAAGCCTGGTATTAGGAGTACCTGCCACATGAGGGTTTTGAGTAATTGGATGTTGATATCGCTCGATTTGTTTGACATAATTCCGGATAAACGGAACAGTTTTCGATGGGTTTTATACCCGCAAAAGAAAATTATCTTCAGGGTGATGCTCTAATAAAACGCAATGTTACTTTAAAAAAAAACGAAACTTAAAATTCGAAAGCTTACTATTATAATATAAGTGCAAGCCGTGGCAATAATTTCCGACCAACGATATGCTCTCGTGCCGTCATGTGGGTTGTGAGTCTGTAAATTTTGGTAGTTCTTGGAGGCGACGAAAAATCGATGCCCACATAATATAATGGTCCGATATAGGCAGTTTCGTTCATTTCAATATTATAATAAACAATAATTCGTTGCCCAAAGTACTTATTTTTCACGTCATCGGGCCCACAGAAGAAATAGCAGATGCATCCCCACATGATCGATAACGACGCGCATCCGACAAGCCATAGCCAAAGATAGCGCGGGCTGAATGCGGCGAGGCATTCGGGACTGGAAATTATTCTAGAGAATGTGTCGATTCGACGAATGTTACCGGCACACCGAAAAAGAGCGATAAATAAAATGGGTGGATAGAATGCAAAGGGAGAAGCAGAAACACGCGCAGTATAATGAAATGATCTTCATTCCGATGATGAGATTCGTCCGGAAAACGCTGTCGACGATGACTAGGATGCCGGCGCCGCTTGTATGGAATATCTGAAAGAAGAAAAAGTAGATTTGATTTGCCGCTTCATTTTTCACGTCCTCTAGTAGCATTATCTGGAAGGGAGACAGTGAGAGATTTCTAAATATTTCTTTCATCGGTGGGTCTCGCAACTCCCTGAGATTGTATTCTTATAGTCTTATCCGCGTTCAATATTTTTTATTTAAAAAACCAGGATTCTTCCTAGTTTATCGAGCTCCATTGCAATTTGAATCCGTTTCACTCTAATTTTCAGAAAAGCGTCAATAATTGTAAATATTAGAAATGGCATGCGTCTTTTTTTTCAGTAGAGTAATTCAAATATGGGCATTCGTGTACCGTATTCATCGGATACCCTGCACATCAAACTTACCTTCTTGCAATGATAATGTGGTTGGTATCGGGGGGCAGGGGGTAGATTTACGAGTGCGCCTTTATATCAAGGTCTCACCACGTGTGAGTGTTTATTTTTTAATTTTCACGTGAACTACTTATGTATTATAAATTCTTAGCATTTCTAAGCCCAGTGTATTTTGGTGTGGTTCGCCCGGGGGGATTTGAGGTGAACGTTTCCCCCTGTTTGCCCTTCTTTGCCTCAAGTGTTCCTAAAAGGGCAATTTTCCCCCTAACCCGCAGACAGACAGCCCCCATATTTCGCTAAGAGGTTATGAAAATTTAATTATCGAAATCGGTCACATAATGCGAAACACACAGTTATCCCGAGCGAGGCAATAATTCATTTTCAAATTTATACTATAATCAGTTAATAAAATTATTGGATAACATGAACTTATATGAATATCATTTATTTCGTTTATGAGCGCCACCTGATGTGTCTTGAACACAAGCATATTTTAACTTTCAAAACTAAAATTTTTTATTTGGATCTTAATTTCCCTACCGGTAAGGTAAGAATCTCAATGCATCCATAAACAATTCCATAAATAGAAAATGCGTTAATTAAATAACGATAGGTGCCAAATGAAGTTGGAGCATTATAGTAGTTAAGGGTTAAAACAATAGTATTGAAGACAAGAGCTCCAAAGAATCCGAAATATTGCCCAAATCGGGTAATCGTTTGAATCGAAATCATCACAAATATTGGCCGTAAGATTGGTCTCTAAAGGGGTTCGCCAATTAGCGAACATTATTATCACTGTTTTTTGTTGTTAAAAGCTCTGACGAATTGAGTTCATTCATAAAATTATATGATTATTATATATGATTATAATCACATTTCACAGAATTGAAAAATGTACCCATTTTCTAACGAGTCTCAACATTTCTCATAGCAGTTTTCAGATGAAAATCATAGCTGCTATGAAAAAAAAAGCCGGAGAGTTGATGTGTGCACTCTCTGCGCCACCCATACTGTTTCTTGCCGCATGACTGCGTCTCCACTTCACCAACTCGGGCATCGCCCGACGCACATTGGGCGTTACTCTTTAAACGCCCGTCTGATCAGGTGGCCGAGTGGTTACACAGATAAACGGCGGCATAGGCACAATGGAAGCATAGTGGAACGGCTGTGGATATCATAGGAATCTTATATGCAAGTTATATGGAAGCATAATGGATGCATTTTTTTGCGGAACCGCGTGTTTCGTATATGGAATGAGCCGTATGCCTTCCATATGGGAAAATAAGAAAACAATTTGATTGCTGTATTCAAAATTTATTTCATATTAACACATTTATTTAATTTAAAATAAAAAAAAACAACAATGAAATGAATTTCAATTAAGATATAATCAAACCATTAGTTACTGGCAACTGCCGAACTATTCGAATCATTGTCAGTACTGACATCGAGCGGGACGCTGTAATAAGTAGATTATAATGGGCCTATTAATTTGAAAAACTTGTAAACCATTGTTACGTAAACTAAATTTTTCGAGAAAATACAATCAGTTTTTTTACATCAATAATTTTCTTAAAAATAAAAATAATTTATTTTTATTGCATTTTTGGAAACCCTTTAGTGCACAAAATAAAAAGTGAATTGGCGGAAGAAAGAACAACTCCAAAATTTGAAGCAAAAAGGCATTTTGGTTAAAATTTCAAAGACATATGAATACTCACATCTGAGGGTTGCTGGTAGAATCAAGCAGCTTCCTTAATTGCGCCGCGAGCGCTTCCGGCGCTACACCAAATTTCCTTTGAAGTCGTTGGCGCATTCTATCGCTTAATCAAATAAATAAATTAATAGTCATAGTTCAAAATCTTACAGAAGATTATCCATGACTTCTCGAACCATGCGTAATGCTTTCGCTTTGAAGTCATTTGCCGGTTGTTGCCCAAAGCCATGGATAAGAGCATCTGTAATATAGATATTTGCAATAAAGTATAGGATCTTTATATAGTCGGCGTCTGGCGACTTCTGTACTAGAGCCCCACTTAAAAAGATAAATGCCACTGAATGATATTGGTACGAAGGCTGTACGGCAATCGGAAATTTCGGCGATTCGGCTAATGGCAAATTACCGATCGAAATTTTCTTCGGCAATTTGAAAAACCGGCAATTTCGGCAATCGGCAATTCCATTGCCGCACAGCCCTGATTGGAACCAAATAATCAACAAGCTTTAAACTTAGGAAGTACTTTATAAAGACTTCATTGCGCATATTTTTCTAATTGAAACCATTTCTGGAGTCGAACAGGCCAATTTTTGATGATAACAACTTACAAATTGGGCGTACGAAGGTTTAGGAATTGGCGTTGATTTTGTTGTTTGTGAGGACTGTGGAGAAAAATTTTTTTGCTGAGTTGGCGAGTAAATTGGACTATCTGGATCTGAAGTGTCGAGCGAATTTGGTTCCATGTTAGGGACTTCTGGTTCTTTGTTATTGACTTCTAGAGCAGTTTCAGTTATATCTGACAACACTCTCGATCTTGTCTTCATCTGTAAAAAATTTCAAAACATTATGTTTTATTAAAAGAAAAAAGCGAGCGATAATAAAAAATATGTTAAAGTAAATAAAAATAAAACGGATTCGATGAGAAATTAAACACAATTCGATTGAGAAAATATTTAAATTCGATTTTAAAAGTGTCGGAAACGATTTGAAAACATCGTATCGATTTTAAAATTTTCGAATGCTATCAATTTATTTTTGGTTTCGATATTGATGATAAATATGAAAATTTTTCCTTTATTTTTTAAAAACATTTTTCCTTTAATTTTGAAAAAAATTCTTTAATTTTTGACAAAAAAAAAACACAAAAATCTTGAAAATTCATTGAGAAAAAGCAAAAGGACAAAAATTTTGAAAACGAATTTCGAAAATGTGAGGCGTGGCCGCATTGTGCAAAGCGGCGCACGGTTTTGCAATGCTGCGGCACGCCTCTTCTACGCGCGTCTGCTACCAGTTTGGAGCAAATTGTGAGTAGTTTGCGATGCCAATTTCGGAAAAACCGGCAAAAATATATTAATACGACTAAATTGTAGTTGGCAATCTTTAAACAAAGTGAGGAACAGTTGACTGAATTAACATAAATCTGAGTAACATAAGTCATTAAATGGTAGAAGCTAAATTTCGTCCGTTGTGTATCATGTAATTTTCAAATTTTCATTGTTTATATGATAGCATAAGTTTTTTGTATTGATTTTTCTAGAAATTGTCTTGGTCTGCCGTCCAGACGCCAATTGTATAATGTTTATTGACATATGATTATTTTATCCATATTCCATCCATATTTGTTCCACGGCTCGCAAAAAAGCATATTCATCCCGTTTTCATTCCATCCATATTCGTCCCATAATTCTTCCACAGCCACTAAGAATTACATTATGCTTCCTATATGGAAGCATTATGCTTCCGTTCCACAGATTTCCCACAATGCTTCCATTATGCTTGCGTCGCGCTTAATCAGTGTAAGGCGATGGACTGCTAATCCATTGGGATTTTCCCGCGTGAGTTCGAATCTCATCCTGATCGAATCTTTTTTTCCACCTATTGCAAATCGTTTATTAAAAATTTTTCAAAATGATGAAGCATTGGTATGTAAACATCATGTGCTGATTTCAAACCCCATACGAAATCAAGATGGTTGTAATCGATGACTTCATAGGAAACCTGTGCACAAGATTCTAATTTGGCTTGAAAGGAACGACTACCTTTATCAAAGAAGAATTCAATTGAGTAAGTAGTGTCTCTTTAAGATCCTCGGCAGTCGATATCCAGTCACTTCTGCTCCAATATAGAAACATCGGAATATTTTCGATGTTCGAAAGATTATAAATTGGCGGATAAAATGATCCATAAATTTTCATATTGCGCTCGGGACCACGATCAAATTTTGCAAAAGTACCATACGAGTAGGATTGAATAAAATGCTCTAAAGTATTGCTTGATGTTCCAGATGGTGTGTGTCCCAAGAAGACAGGAACTCGCTTCTAGAAAAATTTGAGAATTTTTGCATTTGAGTTGAGCGATTTACTTGGTCCCAATATTCGTTCATGGGTCCCACCACCAGCGAGATCAAGTCTGAGCACAACTCTCGCAACGGATCGAACAAACCACACGTGTATTTTGTGATCAACCAAATCGGCGGCGTCAATCCAAATAATTCGCCAGGTCCATATTTGACATTGAGATTCGGAAAATTCTCACATTCTCGTTGGAACTCGGAAAAATAAACGCTCGAAACCTGATAATCTTGTCCGAAATATCGTGAGAGATACGATAAGAACCCTCGTGCATGAGATACTGCCGTAATTGGCGACATTGCCATAAACGCGATTAGCTGAAAATCGTATTGTCCGAAACTGTGTCGAAATTTCCGTACATTATTGGCGAATCTCGCCTCCGTTGATAGTTTGGCAAACATTGTCAAGCTTCCCAGCGAATGTCCAACATACAGTATCTTTTCTTGCTTCGAGACCTTCTGAATTTTGCCTATCAACGCGGGAATGTCGAATTCGGCCATTTCGTCGAAACTGGAAATTTGATAGTCAATTTGAAAAAAAAAGAAAAGGCAAGATGACCTAAAATTCCAAAAATTTTTGGCGTTCTCCTCAATGTCTAGAAATGCGTGATTTTTGCTATAGAAATTTCCGCGAAAATTTCCAAGCCAAACATCGAAACCAGCATCGGCGAATACGAATGCAGCACTCTGTTGAGGGCTGTTCGCAACCCATTCGAAACTTGAGCAAAGGTAGCCGTGTTGAAATAGAACTGCGCGTCTTGAAGAAGGAATTGGTTGACGTTCTGAATGAGAGCAAAAAAGTGAGCATGGAGATATGATGTATTTTCTATATATTTTTTGCATTTTCAAATCTGCTCCCCCACCTAATAAAAAATGCTCAGCGATTTTAAAGAGACGAACTGCGGTTGGTTTTAGCTTAAATATCGTGGGAATTCCCAAAAATTATTTTTACGCTACCAGTACGACACTCCATTTACACATCGCCTTCAATTTAGCGTATCGGCTGTGGGTCAATCTTGTTTCGATTAATTTAATTTTTCCCCTGTTCGTCAAGATCGAATCGCTGATTGATTTTTTTTTCAATTTAATATTCTCAATTTTTTATTTTCTCTGCATTGCCCCGAAAATATTTGTATTTTCCAATATTACTCACTTGCGACTTGACGGGACGGTGTTTTTTACCATATAGAAAATGCTGAAGAAAAAAGAACGAGAATAAAAAATTTCTAGATTTTACGAAACCAGTATTTCGTAAAAAATAGAAAAAAATTTAATATATTGTGGACCATCGTATAATTTTTTTTCTAATTTAATTTTTAGTTTTAGCAATGGGGAATTCGGGTACCGCACTACCGAAAACTTGCAAATCAATTTCAACGAATATTTTTGCTTTTTTACAATATCAAAATTTCCTAATTAGAATATTTAAGACGAATTATCGCTTGCCGCACACCTCTTCCATGCGGGATTCGGTGCAACTCGAGAATATATCCATCAATCGTCGTTACGTGATAAACCTCAACTGGATACCCGTGATATTTAATAATCGACGGCTGAAATATGGCAACTGTGATGCCTAAATAAAATAAGTTTCGATGTTCGTAATACGTATTTACATAAGCACACGTTTGTTTAGCTTCCACATTTGCATGTTTAGACAAGAGAAGCAGAAGAAGAGGGAGAAGCAAACTTTTGAAAATCCATACCACGTCCATATAATATTCAACATCGATTGCGTAAGTGGGACGAAACGCGAAAATCGCGAGAAATAATAGCATCAATCAAAAACGACGGGTACTTATTATTTTCCTTATCAATTTCAGTATTGTTATTGTGTGTTTTTATGGGTCATCAATTAATTGACAAGTATATTTTTCTATATGCGGACAATTTATCAAACTCCAATCGAGAGACACTTTCACTTTCTTATCAGACAATTCCTGAAATTTTCATCATTTATCGTAAAATTGAAATTATGCTTGAGATTAAGTGTGTCACATGTTTGAACAATTTGCGAATTATTCGAAAAGCTCAAAGTGGCCGATAACTGCGGATGAATGTCGCTGGAAATCGAGCAATGTCCAGGTATGATGTTCGATAATATGATTTCACAAAAGTGAAATAAAATTTTCTTAAACGTTGCTTTAAGCTGTTATCAGTAGTTAAATCTTTTTTTCCAAATTTAAACCCCGATGAATAACTGTGAAGAAATTGGCGAAAACAAGCCGAAAAGGATTTTTTCTTCTTAATATTTCGCTTTTATTCTGGAATGTTTTATACGAAAAAAATGTCAATTTATGAAAAAAAAATATTTCCATAATCCGAAGCTCCATCGATGCCAAAAGTTTGTTTAAATATATCAAATTACCGATTGCATAACATTTGTTGGTATTGATTCAAACAATAATCAAATTTCAACAATGCAAAACTTGGAAATACATATATGATTTCATCAAGAGGGCCTTCTTCTTCTTCTCTTCCTCCGACTTCCCCCCATCCCACCTCTTTTCTGTCTGTTCTATATACAAATCGAAGCGTGCAAACTGTCCGAAACGCAAATACAAAACTCCATTTCTCTTCTTTTTTATTTCCATCTGTTCGCTGATGCGGGAGCAACGCTTCCTCTATTGGTTTTACATCGTTGTTGAATCATATTTATACAGTTATATATATATATTTCGATTTTCAGTCGTCGTCACCTATAAAATCGAAAAACGCCGCATTTTTTTGGCTGCGTTTTTATTCTATAAAACGCCACGTCAGATGGCGATAAACATCTCGGCTGGCGGCGCCCCGTCAGCCGGATCGAACGCGTTTCGTCGGTATTCGCGCGCGCGCGCCTCATCAAAATCGTTTGCTAATTGAATTCGGCTTGGGAGGGCTCCGACCGGCAAAAGTTCACCGGTAGACCGAGACACGGCCGCCCGAAAAACCACTTCACAACACGAACCGCGCCCTTCGGAGCTTCGCGCGCAACCCAACCCGCAAAGTTTTCGTGCTCAACCTATATTTAACCAATTTGTGACATGTTTCGCATTTTTAAAGGAGACCAATAAATGAGGGCCTCTGGAATTCCGCTCGCACCCCATAAATCGTCACAATTTCTTTGTAATCGATTTTTCGGCCACCGCCGCCGCCGCCGGTCTTCCCGGCCCTCGTCCTCCTTCTCCTCCTGCTGGCGTTCTATTTAATAAGTTTTGATGTGAAAAGTACACGATAAATCGGCTTTTCCGACCGGTTTTCCCTCACTTACGTCCATCGTTCGTCAGCGTTTTGCCACTTCCAATGGTTTTTTTCCTCATTGTAGTACAATTACAACTTGAAGCAAAAATCACCAAAACGTCGCATTATCAGAGCTGCACAGCTCACCTCCTATCAAATTCTTTTTTGGCGCCTCATGACCAATTCATGCGTGTTCCTGAATGCTGAGTCAGTGTCTTTTTTCTTTCCATGTAAACTTCCCCCAGACTGATCACATTCCATATGAGACCCATGATTTCCTGTAATAAGTTTCCTTTATGTCACTTTAAATTAATTGACTGAAAACGAGGAGAATCGATAGGATTTTCGGTTTCCCATTTTTTTTTCACATTGAGCTTTGATCATTTATTGGCGTTCGTTTGAAAAAGGTTGCTCCCTCTTAAACAGCTGCATTGTTTGCTTCTTTTCTTTCTCGTTTCCATCCAATCTAATTCAATTCGAAGTTTTGTGCAATTTTCAGTTTGAACGACCTGAAACGCCGGCAATGTCAAACGAGGGTGATCAACTCGAAGAGCAGCTCGTTTTCCACGATGAGCCAACGACGGGTCTCGCCACGTCGAGACCTTCGAAGAGCTTTCGACGTCACGGCTCGGTGTCGGCAAAACGGATGGGTGAGTCCGATAAAATGTTGAATGATAAAATAGAAGACGAGATTGCGAAGCGAGGAAGAGTGCTTCGCCACGTTTTTTTAGCGACAACTCATGCCCGCTCATCGTCATCTTAAATTCGCAATTTCTCACAGTGTAGGAGAATTGGTTTTTGTTGTAAATATTGAGTGTTGATCGAGATGGATTATCCCATTCCACGTTGCTGATTTTAAATAGGGTTGATTCAAAAAGTGCATTTTTTATGTACTGTTGCGCAGATGTGTGCAAACACTATGACGCAAATATCACAGAAACAATTTTCGAAAAAAGAAGGAAATAAAATTTTTTTAAAATATCGTAGCTGTTTACTTCTCGTTATGCCATAAAAAGAAAAATTTGTCGAAACAGCAATCGATTATTGCCGCGGTCTCGAGTTGTTCCATCTGTGCGCCTCCCATGATTTTTGCCGTCGTCTCGACGGTCTCTTGTGCGACGCGTGCTCTCTCAATGTCTTGTTCGCGCGCGCGGGCATCGAGACGATCCTTGCCGAGTACACGTCGCACCCTGGCACCGGCACCGATCCTTTTTGCCCTCGACTACCACCACCATTACCACCATTACCACCATCACCACCACCACCACCAAGACCACCATCGTTTTCACTCATAATATGTTGCTTTTTGTGTGTGTGTCCGCACAGCGACCCCCCGCGACCTGCCACGACCCGACGCGCGCAAAAATAACGATTTGACCGGCTCGGGTCATCATTTGACACATGGCTGCTCATTTTCATTTCGATTATGTTGTTTGATGTCTTCTTTCGCGATCTGTCATCACACGAACTATTTATTTCATCGGCTACCATAGAACACAAAAATGAATTGCAGACAAAAAATAATAGGAGAGGCAAATTGCGGGTTTTGTTTGCTATTTCCAAATAAATAATTTTGAGCACCAATCATCGCTCTATGAATGAATTTGTTGATGTGCGCAAACATATAGCATAGGTCACCAAAAGGTCAAATCCGTCTAATCAGTTTCGGTTCTCTTCCTCCTTCCCCCTTCTTCTTCTTCATTCGTCCAAAACCAATTCGAAAATGTTGAGGCGGGTGTTGTTCGTATTACAATCGAATTAATGTCAAACGGGACAATAATATGTTTTGTGTGTTTGTGTGTCATGGACACATTCACCCTCTGGAAATTGTACACACAAAATTTTTCTCAATTTCTTGAAGATGTTTGTCAATCATCAGATTATGACCGTTTCCAGATTATCTTATTATTATTATTATTATTTTGCGCACATATATCGCTATTTTTTCGTATTTCCCTGACTGTTCAATTGTGTTCATCTTCATTCTTCGAAATCCTTTCAAGGTAATTTTTTGATGATTTATTCGACGTTCGTCCTACTCGCTTAAAGCATTTTCTCACTTTGAATTGTCATCGTCGTCCATCGGCCACACGAATTTCCATCCGAGTCCAGTTTTGCCATCGTGAAATAGTAGAGAATTGTTGGAAGCGCAGTCAAAACACATTCGTCGTCGTCGAATACAGTTCAGTATGTGGATGGCCTGGCCTGGCCTCGTCGTTTATTAGAATGAAGAGAGCGAAAAAGAAACTAGCTATTGCCATTTTTTTGGGCCCCCAATTTTCTATTTTTATGCTACTCTGTTTTTTTTTCTTGTTATTTTCTCACACCAATTACACCTTTCGCGCGAAATTTCTAAATGATGGCGTTTGTATTTTTCCTTTCATATTTTTATTGAATTAAATTTTTCATTACTATTATTACTATGAGCCCTCAAACGCTACGATTTGTTTATTACAACACTCGTCTCGTCACAAAACATTTCCAAAAAAGTGTGTATTTAGTGTAACATGGATGCTTGAAACTGCATTTTCTTCCAGTTCTCAAGTTAATCCAATACATAGTCGGCTGATGTCGGCGCATTTTTCGCCACTTTTGAAGACTAATTTTATAATTTTCACGTGAAACTGTTTGATTTTTTGCTTCCAGTTTTCACTTTTTGATTTTGAAATATTGAAATTAACCCTAAAATACGAAAAAAAAGTCACCCACACAAATTAGTCGCAGGCCATCGTTTATATATTGCTTTAACATTTTTTTTTCCGGTTTGCTTGCCAAATTTAATTTCCTGAAAAGGCAGCCGCGTTGAATATTTGATGAATAATACACGGACGCCCACCCAAAAAGTTCATTAAGTTCGCAAAGACAGATGCCATTTTTGTTTTCTTTTCCTCAATTTTAAAGAAATGACGAATTGAGGAATTTTATCATTTGTCTTTGTTGCCTTGATCTCATTTTTGTGTACCTGATCAGCCATTTTCGCGTTGTCGGTTGCGTGTTGAATTAGAAAGGAAGCGTCTGGCACGGAGGGATGATCTGATTTGAATCAAACTGACGAAATCGGGCTTTTGAAAGGACACCGACCCATAATTAATCTCGTTTGTTACTGTAGTTAATGGTTTTCTGTAAGCACGGAGACGCAAACTTGCAGGCATGAATTATCTTCGCGTTTAATTTTTTCTCTCAAAATTCGTCAATTTTTCGCATTTTGTTTGTTCTTAAAAAAATGCTTACCCCATTATTAAATTGTTTTCGCATGCATATATGAATCAGGTCGACATTTTAGGTCAACAAGATTCTGCGTCTCGCATAAATAATGATAGATAGTCACTAATTTGATATTATTTTCAAGCGGCTGCTGAATTTGGACGATCAAAAAACTTGGCAAGATAGAATTTATATAAATGGCTTAAGCAAAAAAAAAAATAATTGGCGATTATTCAGCTTAACGAATATGAAAATGTGATGTTTTTGAAAAATGACCTTGAAACGAAGTTCTCCATAACCTATTTAGCTTCATATCAATCTCAATGACATTCATCTTTTGATTCATCCAATGATAAACGAGAAAACGAATTGCGAGCAAAAAGAAAGAAACCTTGAACTAACAGTTGAACCATTTCGTCGAGGGCAAAACAAGTGTCTCCAGAAAATATGTGGGACGTCGTGCCATCGTGTCGAGACGCGGCCCAGCGTAAAGCGAAAAAAAGTTTATCTTGTTTCGTCGTGTTGTGACCAGCCAGCCATACGGGTACCTGGTGGCGGACCGCGCAACACATACACAAAACACAGTACACTAATTGAAGAAACGCCGACCAACTCGTTGTACTCTTGTTTCACCGTTGTATGTGTATGTATGTATATTCGCCTCCGATTTTTCGCATCATCATCATCATCATCGTCTTGTTCGCGCGCGCACGACCTCTTCAGGCACTACCACCAGCACCACGGCCACCACACATCTGGATATGTCGTTTTGGAATGATGATGATGAAAAAAGAAAGAAAGAAGGTGTTGATGGCGTTTTTTCGTCTTGTGTGTGTGTGTGCGATCGTCGTGCCAGCACGAACGCCCTAAATCTTCTTTTGTTTCTTGTTTCTCATTTTGAATTGCACTGAATGGTGTAACCCTTTTTGTTTAAACTGACACCCACCCATCGAACATTGTTTTTCGTCGATAACTTCATCGAAACGCGTTTTTTAAACAACACATTTTTTTAAAAACATTTGTTTATTTGAAAATACTTCGTTTTATTTTATCGCTTCCGCTAACCAGGAAGGATGTTTTGTGCTTTCTGCAAATATTTCCGAAACATTCTTGGGATTGGCATGTTTCCATTCTAATCTCAATATGCGTTTGCAAATGCGTTTTTGATCTTGCGCAGCTTTAGCGGCTGGTGCTCGTTGCCATCTATTTGACAATTCCCGAAAAAAAAATTGATTTTGCCCTTCAATAAAGTGCATTAATTGTTGCTTTTTAACCCCGTGTGTTGCGTTTTATTCAGCCCACGAATCCAGTTTTGCCTCCTCTCCACCCACACAACACAACCATTTCATTCTTCTTCTTCTTCATCTTTTCATGCTTCACCCATCCTCCCCGTTTTTTTTGCCAAATTTCGGTCATAAAAAATGTGGTCATCCTCCCCAGATCGGCTGCATTTTTTTCGGTTGTGTTCTTCGCCACGAAATCGATCATCTCGCGTTCATTTTCTTCATCATTTTTTTTCTTCGATTTTAAATAATCAATTTGTCTCTTCAAACAATCCGCTATATGCAAAAAAAGAGAGTAAGAAGAAAAATGGAAAATGTGATTTTCCTTCTTTGTCTTGGAGCCCTGTTGAGCAGTCCAGAAAAAAAATGGAAAAAAACCCCATCGCGAATTTCAAAATTTATTCCCAGCGCGTATTATATTTCCAAACAAATGATATTCATACATTTTTTTGGGCAAAAGCTTTCCGACTGGTTGAAAACGTTCTAACCAGCAACACCCTCAAGGCGGCCGTTTCGTCTTTCATGTCTGCGTCTGCTGACATTTTTCGTCGGCACAGAGACACACACACATACGCACAGACCTATATTCACTATATACACTTCTCATTTCATCGGCAATTTGAATTCTCTCCTCGTTTTCGAAGTTTCGTTTTTTTTCCTTTTTTCGGTCGAAATCAGCATTATCGATTTTTTTTCGTTTTCAGCAAGCCGACATTTGACACCCTCATCGGCGCGACTCACGCGTTCCACGAAGCCAGAGGTGAGTCGTCGACGTCGCCGTTGCGCAGCTCATCAAATGTCGTCGTCATCGTCGTCGACCTACTTTGGCGCCGGCGACGACGATTCGTCGGCACAATCGCCGTCGTATGAGACGAACACATCGCCTTCATCATCGACGACACGCTACGCCGAGCCCAACGACTCGGAGAATCCGATCAGCGGTTTGTTCTCATCGACGAGTCCGACGCAGTCAACATATCCGTGAGTGATTTTTATTTCGATTCACGAAATTCCCGAATACGCATGTGAATATCCGGTTAAATTGATGAGGGACTCATTTCTCGATTTTTGCTTTAAATATAAAAGCTAGGAAGTCGGTTGGAGAGAAGATGAGCCATCGACAAAAATCTTATTAATATTCATCAATTTTCAATAATTCTATTGCATTTTTAGCTAGACATGAAATTGCTCAAAATGCAATTTTCTTCGAAAATTGCCTTGCACATTTTGAAATTAAGAGCGTCGCCCATCGATGCATTAAGCAAATTGCGAATTCTCGATTCGATGAAATCTCGTTTCAAATGTCGGCGCACAATTAGCCCTCTTTTTTATTGCCTTCACTATCCTGATCAGTGTTCAAATATCGTTGATGTGTTTCCAGCTATTCACTTCGAAAGCGTCGAACATGCTCGATGCCGCAGAAAGACGAGGATTCGTGTTTTCCGATCACTGCCGCCACAGCTGACGAGGTTCGTCCCAATTTTTCATTTGTTTTCTTTTTTTCGCCCGAAAACAACACGCAGCGAACGTTTTGCAAACAAACAAAATACACAATGAATTGAGTTGTTTTCAGACGCCGCAGCCGATATCGAAAAAATTTAAATTGGAATCGGTGTCGCCCGGCGAAGCGCGGAAAGAGTGAGCACAATCCCGTCAATTTTCAGGCTCATTTTCCATTTTTCAGCTTTTCTATAGACGACGATGAAGATTTCGATTATCGAAGGGAAGGAGATGGCATTGATTATGCGAATCGGTTGCCCGATGAGCTTTTATTAAAGGTAACTATCAAAATTGTTAGATTTTTTGTTAATTTTCCATTTTTTTCGCTAGATTTTCTCCTATCTTGCTGATACTGATATACTCTCGTGCAGTTGTGTTTCACATCGATTCAATCGGATTGGAATGAGTAACGAAGTTTGGTAAGAAAAATGATTTTCTTTATCAGAAATTTCACTCGTAAACTTTTTAGGAAGGAATTATACTATGAAACGTATGATTACCGACTGCCGCTTTATCATCCGGTGCATGGGAAGTTCGAGTTTCGGGAACCCCAAAAGTGGAGGGATGAGAATCCATGGCGGGAATCACATAAGCAATTGGTAGGCCTTCTGTTTTTACATTTCTATGTAGATTTTTGAATTTTGTTTTTTAAGCAAAAAGGTGTACATGTGATGAAGGAGAACAAATTCTGTCGGGCGACATATATGCAAGTGTTCGACCAACTTGAAGCAGCTTTAGCGTTTGTCCCCCATTGGCGAGTCACCCCCATAAAAGCCGTTGTTCGATTTTCAGATTCATCGAATTGAATCCCGATCGCGAAAAGTTGGTGCTTCTCCATAGCGGCGTCTACGAGCCGACCGACACGATATTCATCAATTCGAATGTGCAAATAATCGGGGCGAGCGACACGCGCGACATCACCTCGTCGGTGATCATCGAAGGCACACGGAATACGGCGATCTCGTTTCTCGAAGGAAGCACCGGCGCCTATTTCGGCTTCATCACTGTCAGATTTCGGCCCGACGGCACGAGAAATGCGATTTCGCAAGGACAAGGGCAGAATCACGTTTACTCGATTCTCGTGAGTTTTTTTTTTAAATTTTTTGTTTTTAAATGACGAAAAATGAAAGATTGCCTCGAAGAATACATCAATTTTTACGCATAAATGATTAAATTTCATTAAATTTGGCTCAATTTCAGGTTACTGACGAGGGCGCCGAGCCTTATATCGAACGATGCGACATCAGCTCAAAAGTCGGAAACGGCGCAGCGGTGTGCGTCAAGAAGAACGCGGCGCCGAAATTCAAATACTGCACCGTTGTGGATTGCGAGAACGTCGGCATCTACATTACGGATCACGCCACCGGTCATTATGAGCATTGCGAAATCGCCAGAAACACGCTGGCCGGTGTTTGGGTCAAGAATCACGCGAATCCCTACTTTCGCAAATGTCACATTCATTCGGGAAAAGACGTTGGCGTGTTCACATTTGAGTGAGTCTTTCTGTTATTTTCGAATTTGAGTGATTTTTGAGTGTCGAGGTGCTCAATTCCCGTGGGGGAAATTCTAGTATATTGAAATAATAAAAATTGCGCGTTTCGTCTACTGTGGTGAAAACGTTCTTCTGAATCAGCTATACAACCGTATATTCACGCTGAATTCGTCATAGCAAAACATTTTATTGTTGAATTTCGAGTTTGACCAGTTCCTCTCCCATTGCCTCGATCCTTCCTCGTTCAACGTAACGTTTCACAATTTTATAGGCATGGCCAAGGCTATTTCGAAAAGTGCAACATCCACTCGAATCGGATATCGGGCATCGAGGTGAAGAACTCGGCGAATCCGGTGGTGATACGCTGCGAGGTTCACCATGGCCACACCGGCGGCATTTATGTGCACGAGCGCGGACGCGGACAATTCATGGAGAACCGCATTTACGCGAATGCTTTCGCCGGAATTTGGATCACGTCGCACTCGGATCCGACGATTCGGAAAAACGAGATTTTCACCGGCCAACAGGGCGGCGTCTACATTTTCGGCGAGGGGCGTGGGCTCATCGAGCAGAACAATATCTACGGAAACGCGTTGGCCGGCATTCAAATTCGATCGCAATCCGATCCGATTGTTCGTCTCAACAAAATCCATGACGGACTTCACGGCGGAATTTATGTGCATGAGAAAGGAAAGGGACTCATCGAGGAGAATGAGGTGTACGGCAACACGCTGGCCGGTATTTGGGTCACGACGGGATCGTCGCCGATTCTCCGCAAAAATCGCATTCATTCTGGAAAACAGGTCAGCAATTTTTTCGTGGTCGTCTTCATTGGTTATATGAGAGAGAGGGGCGGGGTGAATTTTTCAAAAAATTATTTTGTTTAAATTTATTCAAATTTTCTCTTCAGGTCGGTGTCTACTTCTATGATCAGGGCCACGGTCTTCTCGAGGAGAATGACATTTTCAATCATCTCTATTCGGGTGTGCAGATCAGAACCGGATCGAATCCGAAAATCACACGCAACAAAATTTGGGGCGGACAGAATGGAGGCGTTTTGGTCTACAATGGCGGCAAGGGATGTTTGGAAGGTGAATTTTTGTCGATGATGAGTATTAGGTCGTAATGGACAAATTTGGGGAATGGATGAAGCCACATTTGTTTATATGTATATCTAAATTGCCGCCCTATAGGGCTCGTGTGGAAAAAACTCTTTGCAGCGAATTTTGCCTAATTTAACGCAAATACTGTGAAAGAGCAACATTTTTTATTAACTTTAAATTTATGGAACCAGTAAAGTGGCATTCCGCGCATTTCCAAATTTTTAAATTGGTTCGTCCTTGGCAATATGTGTGTGTTTTTTTAATTAATATTGATGAATTTTAGACAATGAGATTTTCGACAATGCCATGGCTGGTGTCTGGATCAAAACGGATAGCGAGCCGATTCTGCGGAGGAATAAAATCTACGATGGACGCGACGGCGGCGTGTGCATTTTCAATCGCGGACGAGGTATTCGTTCGTAATCGCATTTTGAAATAGCGATTGATTTTATAGGACTATTGGAGGATAATGAGATTTTCCGAAACGCGCAAGCCGGCGTGTTAATCTCGACCGAATCGAATCCGACGTTACGCCGCAATCGAATTTTTGATGGAAAATCGGCGGGAATTGAGATTACGAATGGTGCCACAGCGACATTGGAAGAGAACCAGCTTTTCAGGAACAAGTATGGAGGTCGGTCAAGTCTTCATTTCGTGATCAGTGATCAATTAATTTTCTGTTATGTGAATGGATTTTTTATGGGGGGGGGAGGTCAATAAAAAAGAATTGAAAATTTTCTTTAAAGCAATTTAAGAAAAAAAATATTGGAATTTCAGGTCTCTGTGTTGCCACTGGCGTGACGCCGGTTCAGCGAAACAACAAGGTGTTCGACAATCACGACACGATCGCCCGCGCCATCAAATCCGGCCAGTGTCTGTTCAAAGTGAGCAGCAACAACAGCTTCCCGATGCACAATTTCTTCAGGCTTGATTGAAATTGATTGATGAATCTAACAATGCGTGTTTTTTTCTAGATGCGCGACGTGCAATACCACCGAGAGGAACGCGATCTGCTACAATTGCATCAAGACGTGCCATCGCGGCCACACCATCGAGCACGTGCGGTTCGATAGGTACGCCAATATATTTATTTATCTCCATGAGATTTATTGTTAATGATCGATAAATGTCGTAAATTTGAATAATTTAGATAAATTTAACTATTGCCGCGAAATTAACAAATTTTTGAATGCGTGTTTAATATTTACTGTAATTCAGCATATCTTTTAATACGCAGCAAACGCGTAAATTATTGTGCGATCAAATAAAAAAACGTAAAATGGCAGAAATTCGTCCAAATTCAAACAAGTAGCGTGCATTTTCGTTGAGTCTCATACAGAAAGTTCAGATATCAGGGAAAAAAATAAATTTAGCAAAATTTTATTTGTGTTTGATTTTTAAAAATTAAATTACGGTCAAGGCGTAGGCAAAAATTTGTTTTTTTTTTTTTCAATGCACAAATTAAAACAGAATTTTTCATATTGTGGGCGTTGCGCGACTGCGGAAAATTGGCAAAATGCCAAAAAAAAAGTTTGGGGAAGGTTTTTGTGCTCGATGTGCTCTTTTATCTCAGGCCCGTAAATCTACACTTTTTGCGGCAAAACCATTGCCACCGTTTTTTGTTTCGGCTTATAATCAATTTTACGCCGTCGCGCGACGCTGACAATAAATTGTTTGAAATTCCGACAGTTGTCTGTTTTTGACAATATTTAAGGCCAAATAAAAATAAATATCTTCTATTGTCGGCATCAAAAGACTGAAAGGAGTCGGGGGTCTACAAATTAGTGTGAATTTAAATTTACCATTGGCTGAATTTTAAATGTGCGTACACTATTATTCAATATACGTAGAGTCGTTTACTTTTCGCTGTCTCGAGACGCACAGCCAATAATTATTTCAATTTCGTTCAGCCGTTTGATGCCGACGATGATATTCTTTTTTGAAGACCTTCATTTCGATTTTCAGATTCTTCTGCGATTGCGGCGCCGGCACGCTGGAACGCCAATGTCATTTGCAGAACGTGCCGCGCGACAATGACACCGTTTACGATTCGGCGACGCCAATATCGACAGAAACGGGCACCGAGATCTGATGAATGCTCGCCGAGCATCGACCAACACATTCGCACATATACACATCACACTACCCATGTTGTCGTCTTTCGCAAATCCAGCATCCATCCCAAACACGTTTCATTTTTGTTCGATCTCTACTCGGTTTAATCATACGCGATTCTTGAATTTCTTGAAACTCTCCAATTTAAAGGCGCATAGTTTAGGTGGTTGTAATGTTGAATATATGTACAAAGTATATAGTCGATGCGCTTTGAATTGAATTTTCGAGTTTGAGGAAACGTGCGGTTTTTAAATCGATCGATAATTTAATTTGTGCTTGTTGCCGTCCGTTTTTTTCTTTCATCATTATTTTTTCGTTTTGGAATTGAAAATTGAACTGTGATTTTCCTCTAATGCACCTTTCATTCTTGTTATTATTCTTTAATTCATTTTCCACTAATAATTTATTTTTTCAACGCTTCTGAACACCGGTCAGATTTCGTTTTCGAAGTTCGATTAATCTAAATCCTGCCCCCCCCCAAAAAACATTTGTTGTTTAGGTTTCTAGCGAATAATAATAATCAAAAAATGTCCCTTTGCAACAAGTTTTTTTATAATATTTCCTCACCTCTTGCTTACTGTTTGATTAGTTTCTGGCGTAGGAGCATCATCAATTTTTGGGTTTTCTCAGCTTTTCCTCTTCGTTTTGTTTTGTCAATAAATTTCCAGCTACTCCTTGCTCATTTTTATTAGTATTGTCGGCAAAGGACAAAAAAACATGACATGACAAAAAAAAGCAGATGCTCAAAAGCGAGAAACAGAAAAACAATAAACTATATGAAACTATATAATATACAAAAATGATCACATGAAAATTTGACGGAGAAAACGAAGTTTTTTTTTTCAATTGCTGACGAGACCTTAACAACGTGGGATTGTAGTCATTCTTAATAGTGGGATGATGAGAAAATGATTGAAAAAAAAAGAAACAAAGAGGAGGGTAACCGAGATTTTGACACTAAAAATCAGAAATCCAAATATGTACAATTAAGCAACCCGTGTCCAAGAAAATTGCTATGTAAAAAAAATTAAAATGAGAAAGAAACAAAAAAAAAACAAATCCAAAAGACTGCAATAAAAATAGAGTGGTTACAACAAAATGGATAAAAACCCGCAATTACATTCGAGATTTTGAGATGTTCGAATCACACAATTATCTCTTTTGGATCAATCGTCGGCACTTTGTGATACTCTTTCGAATATCTTGGCGGTGGCGGCGAATATTCAGGCGGCGGCGAGCTGGTCCGCGGAGCCACTGTTGAGGAATGCCGTTCGGCGTTTATGACGCACACCTGAAAGACAAGACAATACGAACGGCTAGAAATGTTCAAAAACACCTTTAGTCTGATATATTATGCACGACTTTTTCAGAAAATCGGTATTGAAAAAATCAAAAGCAATCGGATCACGAAAAAAACCCGATCCGACAAGCAATACATAACAAAATTGTCGTATTTGATTGATTGATGGTAATTTTTTGTATCCATTGGTAAAATTTGTGCAATTCGGATCGAAATTTGTTTTGAGTTAGCAGAGAAAAAAATGGAATCTCTCGAATTCGAAGATATCTGAAGCCAATTTCGTAACATACTTTCTCGCAAGTTAAATAATGTTTTCAAAATACTTTGTGACGTAAAAGGGTCTAAAATTTCACAACCGTATATTGTCGAAGTTTTAAATGCCTTTTTCATGAATGCTGTAGTTTTAAGTGCATTTTTAAAGTTCCCCAAAATGCTAAAAATTGTTATGACCTGTTCATGAAATGTAATTTATTAACAAAAAATTACGTTAAATTGACATTTTTTACAACTCATTGAAAAAAATTGTAATTTTTCTTATACATGTTTTATTGTATGGCCCAAATTCGCGTTACAATGCTAAAATTGACGCTAACAAGCATCGCCCCCCCCCACAAAATTCGTTCGTCTTCAATAATAAATAAAGTCACAAGACAATTTTTCTGCGCCTATTGAAACTCGCATTTAAAACGCATTATAAAATCCGTTACTTTCCCTCCAAAAAACCCCTAGAACGCATTCTATCAATTTCAAATGCTGCATACGAACGCAACATAAATCTTGATTAAGTCCGTCTTCAGTCTCATTATTCGACGCGTCCCAGCCAACCAACAATACCAATTTGGTTGGCGCCAGCGGTGAAAACCCCGTCAAAAAAAACGAAGCGAAAGAACTACCTTAAAGGTCGGTTTCCGGTGGAACGTTGTCTCCGAATCGAGGTCTTCATCGGCTGTACGAGAAGACGCGCGGTTTCTCGTCAAGTACAAGAATGTCAGCACCATGACGACAATAACCAATATTAAAATGCTCGCTGAAATTGGAAAAATTCCGATGAAAACCATAAATAATGAGGCATACTCATAAAGATAATTGATCTCGTCGATATTGTGGCTTCCACAACAATCAGACTGTGATTGTTAAAACGAGCCGAGTGGATTTTCGCGACAGTTGCGTTGTATCGCGCAACAAGGCATTCAGAATCCAAAATCTAGAAATCATTTTCTTTTCTAGACGCATTTTTTTAAGTGGCAAACCTCGCAAAATTTGCCTCGATAGCACGGCGAGCATTGGCACACCGGAATTTTGCCATCAATTAAAACGCATTCTCCATTATTTCTAGAATCACAAAATTAGACTTCCAAAACGAGCATTTCTCCTACTTGCACTTCACGTCTTCACAAGTCTGCGGCAGTTCGCAGAATTTTCCCTTGAATCCTTCGCGGCATTCGCAATGAATCACAGATTTCGCCAACGAGCAAACCCCTCCTGTAAACAATCCAATGTCTTTTTATGGTGTACATAGTGCACATTTTATGCGAACCGGCGTGTTATGAATCAAAATTGAGACGTCAATTTGCATATCAATGCCGAGCTCTTTGGGGGAGCACCAAACGCATAAAACGACACCACTTGCCGTCCCTTACCGTTTAGACACACATTCTGCCCGTTCTCGTGTTGACACTTCACGACGCTGACTGGCGTCTCGCAGCGATCGCCAAAAAACCCTTCAGGGCACTCGCAATGGAATCTTCCGAGTCTCGCGTTACGGCAAATGCCGCCGTTCATGCACGGCTTCTCGATGGTGCACGTTTCTTGCTCTGAAAAGACAAATGGTCCCTATGGTTATCTTCGAGACAATTCCAAAAACCATTTGAGTCATTCGTAGACAATCTATTTTTAAACTGAATTAATGATAAATTAATTAGGATGTTTCTAGATAGCTAATTGACTGTGACGACGCGAACCTTTTTTCAAATTTTCAGACAAATTCTAGTATTTTCTAAACAAAAGATCAAAGAGCAAAATAAAATGATTTTTTTTTTCGAAAGATGGCCGCATACTTTTATTGCAGAGCTCTCCAGCAAATCCGGGCTCACATTGGCAAGTGTACGATGTGTTATTGGCGCACGTTCCATGCACACAGCCTTTCTTGGTGATGCATTTCTCGCAAAGATCGCCGGCGAATCCTGGCGCGCATTGGCATTTGCCAGGTAGTGTGCATTTGCCATGTCCGTTGCAATTTTCGGCACAAATTGCTGAAAAAAAAACGAAAATGATCCAAAAGACACTTTTAGATTCCCCCAAAAAGTTGCATTCGTCTTATTGTATACATAAATGACGAACAAACATCATTGACAAGTTGCGTATTGCACACATCTGTGGGCAGAATGAATGCAAAAACACAACCAGGTGCATACATTTCTCTTCAGACACACATTCATAAACCTAATTGGTCCCGACGCCGCTAATTCGGATCAGATAAAGGCGCATAGTTACGCAACATTCATCTATTTATAATAAAATTATTGTTAAGTGAAAACATAAGCTGTTTCAAATTTTCACGCCTCAAAAACCATCATTAGTTCAGAGAAACATATGCCAAAAAATATTTGACGTATCACGTATGACGAGTTGGCTAGGTGAAATCTCACAATAATTGCAGGTTTTTAGACAACTAGACTGAAACTTCTATTCTATAATTATATTTTCCCGATGTTCATTGTCTACAAGTAGTGCGAAGCGTGATATTACTTCCTCCCGCTTTTTTTCAGGCCCAAGATCAAATTAGATTTATTCTTTTACCCACCACCCCATTACATACTAATTTCAATTTCTTTCAATTGGAATCGAAACGGTTTCGTGAGACGCGCGCGGCAACTTAAAAGCGATTTGCGCGAAAATGAGGTAGAATTTTGATTGAAAAGCGCACACAGGACGTGTCGGCGGCCAATGACGAGCTTCCCGCCATCGATTCGGACCTCCCTTCGGAATCGTAATTGCAAACGGAAAAATTCCGAAATCGTCACCATCCGAAGGTTAATGGGTGGTCGTCGCCAAAATTCGCAATCTGCTGATTAGAATCGAAATGAGCTTTTCCCATTAACCTCGATTTTTGTGCGCACGTCGAACGAGGAACCCAATTAACTTAGAAAAACATTGAGGCGACCGTAACGGGCCAGCGCAACAAAGGAATCCGTCAATCAACATCGAAGGTAATTATGTAAGCGGCGAACTCACGTTTCATGCAATCCGCGCCGCTCCATCCATCCTTGCACCGTTTCTCGCCGCTTTTCGAGCATTCCAAATGAAGAAACGGGTTTTCCTTGCATAATCGATCGCATTTCTTTCCATAATAATGCCTTTAAAATGTCAGTAAAATGTCATTAGCATAATGCGAAACTTACTTGTCGCATACGGTTTTCACCTTGAGCGTGACGTTGAACATTTCCGTTGTTTCAATATTGGCATATTGCCATGTTGAATCGAACTCGGAGGTGAAATGGGTTGAACCAATCAAATCTGCAAACAACAAACTCTAATCAACTGATTTCCCTATTTGCACATCCGTCGCGTTGACCTTGGGGGCATGTGGAATGCAACAGAAGGAAGAAGGAAAAAAAGACAAGAAAAAAGTTGAAACAAGGTTGGGCCAGGTGTTCTTTCCATATTTGTAGGGCGATGCAATAAATGTGCTATTGGGATCGTAAAACGTGACAGATGAGCCGCGTGCGTTGCGCGCCGTCTATGATGTGGTGCCGCGCGCACGACAGTTGTAAACTGATTGGATCCCCCGGAAATGTTTAAGAAACACAAACACACATACCATTAGTATTATTATTCCTGTATATCATTATGTGAATGTCGAAGAAACGCTGCGGATCCATAAAATCAGGGCTCATGATCTTGAGTGGGATGTCGCTGTAGAGGGGCGACAAAGCTGAAGAGGAGTCGGGAATCGGACAGCTTGGCGTTGTGCACACGGTAGCGGTGATAAATGCGGATTTTGGAGAGTTGATGAAAGCGACAAGTTTTCCACTGCACGAAACCTGCAAGAAACCGAGAAAATTTGAAATTGAGCTATTTTTTTTTGAAACTCACTTTGACAATTGTTGTTAGAAGGACAATGAGTAGGGTGAGAACGAGTTTTGACATTTTCCAGCTTTTTTTTGGGGGATGAAAGTGTTAGATGTTTAAGAAGTGTACATAAACTTCCAAAGAAGGGAGAATCTGAAAATTTAAAGAAAATTTTAAAAAAAATCGAGTAAATAGTTTTGAGCGAAAAAAAATGACGACGAAAATACAATCGATAATTTTGGGTTAGCGACATTTGTCGACGAAATGGCAGATCAAAACGAGATGGCCCGCGGGCAACAAGTTCATGAAATACAAGAAATTTCGCACAATAACCGAAACAAATGTGGAGGAATGGAGCGAATATAAAGATGAGGGGTGGCACATGTGCAACCAACGGCCAACTGCAGAACGACGCCACGCCCACAAATCAACAGCAAAACTGGAGAGGCGTGTATATTGCGCGAGATGCCGGCGAACTGAGTGACCGATGAAGGCGTTGAACACATGGGGGCTCATGCGCGGATTTTACGCGGACTTCGTTTTGAGATCAATAAAACAATATGCTACTCTCCCATGTTGGCGGCACTTTTTGGGTAAACAATTCGAAGTATCCAGATGTTCATCGATGCCCATATATAAATCTATTGATGTTTTCGCACTAAAAAAATCTTGGAGAAAACTGGAAATTTGAAAGAAAACATTTTAAATAAAAATAATAAAATATCTACAGTAATATTAAAGGCGCAGTTTTTTTGCTATCTGGTCTCGCATGGTATTACTACGGTAGTTTTAATTAATTATATTTTTTCCGCCTCAAAAATGCTGATATTTCTCTTGATTAAGATGATTTTCCTTTGTAAAATAAAAGCGACGAGAATCATTCAAATAAAAATTAACACGTCTGACTAACTTTGTTACAACCATTTCTTTTTTAGCGCCGACGATGTGCCGCCGAGTGATTACAACCAACTCTGGGGCAATATTGTGCCGTATTCGGTTCAAAAACGAGAATTTGACGACAACTTTTGCAATATTTGGCTTGGGAAAACATTTGCCATAAACCATAAATTGGTGGGAGCCTCATTCATGTGGGAAAACAATCCATTTTTACCGCAAATGTAGAAATTTAAATTTTTGGCAAAATTTCCCTAAAAGTGCATTCGAGAGTATTTTCGAGAGCAAACAAACTAGCGCCTTATCACAAACATTTTTTTTATGGCGCATGTCATTTCTTATCAGTTTTTGTTCTCCTAATAAAGGGTCACGCTACTGTCGTCCCAAATACCAAATATTATATGGAACAAAAAAGGCCGAAGCGTCATTAAGGGGATTATTCTTTAAAATATTCTTTTATTATTCCGAAATAATTTTGAATAATCGACTACAAGAAATACATACTTTTAATAATATAGTTTCATAGCATAATAATATTTGACAGCAATATAAATTAAGAATATGCGTTTTCGAATGCGCAGTAATTATTTTTAAGCTGCTCTTTTATGTGCCAACCATATTTTAAACGTTATATTGACACAGAAATGTTAAAAAGCGACTGCGGAAAATTGGCAAAATGCCAAAAAAATGGAAGTGGTCTTGGCGCAAAATTACAAGTGTAGATTTACGGGTCTAAGTATTAGGATTGGTTAAAGGCGCACACCATATATCGAGCCCTCTTTTTAAATTAAAAAAAACGAGCACCTTGCGCCGATTTACGGTGAGTTAGCTTCGCAGGTTATCCAGAAAACGGTATCCGAATTTTCACTGTTTAAATTTGAATTTAAATTACCGCCTCGAAAAAATGCAATGGTCCACTATTTTACCAGGCGCTCGTTTTTTTTGCGATGGTAATAGTGAAAAAAAATGCACTTACACAATTGGCATGAGATCGTATTTATTCATAGCTTCAGTATTGCTCCCAAAATTTATATTAAAGGCAACCATTTGACGTAAACTTGATTCGAATATGAATCTATTCAATTAAAAATTGCCAAATTTGACGCTAAAATTATCTTTTGAACCACTTTTGTTCACGTTGAATAGGTACATTCATTGTGACCAAATAAGCTTGAAAACAAGCCAAAGTTGCAAAATGAATCGGAAGAAAAAATCAATTTCCGGGTTAGATTTGATTAGAGATTGCAAAGTGAAAACGATGATTAATTCAATGAATATTCGACAAAAAAAATTGCGAGCGGGTCTCCGCGTGTTCGGTTTTCAACAATAAATCCTTCTTTTTTTTGTCGGCGACCACCGGAATTCCTTGAATTCGGCAAAGTTGAAAATGTGTCGATGGTTGACACGGTGACAAATTGACGCGCCGAAAATTGGTGGAAGAACTCTTGACAATCAATTTTTAGGAATGGAAGCGGTTGGATGGGGGAGATGATTTTTTTCTAATTAGCTTCAACGACTGAGAAAACCCATTCAAGCTAAGCCCGAAATGCGCTCAAACCATCTGCGTCTGAAGATGGCCGCAAAAAAAAATATGGAAAAGACGAAGATGCTATGCAAATGATATACAAGATGATGTGTTAACTATATGGAATTGCGCAACCGATTAATGTATGCAAGGTGGTATCGCCTTTTCGGCGGCTCGGCGAGCCACACCATCGCTTGCGCCATCGCAACTTTCTCGCCGGATCGCGTTCGCAACCGTGGAATTGGCGTTGAAGACAGCGCATCTGGTATTTCAAGTTGCGCAGGTGCCCCCCAACCAACGATGACATTCGGCAGATGTACATGTGACATGACAGCTTCATCAGAAGATGAAGACTGTCGCTTCAAACCCTTCAAATCGGCCATTTTATGAAATCCAGACGTCTCCAATTTTTTTTATAATTTGAATTTGGCAAAACGTCGACGGCATCAATATGTAAACTTTGCCCTAAACTTTTTAGTTTCTGCCGGATTATCGCGATTAAGCTTATAATTAGATTTCTCGAATTGCTTCGAATCTTTGGTCGTTCCTGTCGAGGGAAAGTGCGAAGTTTTGCACGATTTCGTACCAACGACAGCCGGGTTTCAGGTGTTGCGCAGGTGTTGTCTGAGTTCAGCGAGCAGATGCTGAATGTTCTACTGCTGTAGGGCCAAACGAAAAAGTTTGTTTCGCTGATTTCCGAATAATTAAAATACATTTTTGAAAGCGTGGCTTTGCAATAACTATCGATTTCGGCGGCTTATATACAAAAACTACAGTACCCTTCAAAGGCACACGCAAAAAAATAGTTGATTTCGCGGCAAGAAGCGCAAATTCTTTGCATTTTCGATAGAATAACACATTATCGAATTTAAATTGGCAGAACTCCGAAATAAGGCACAATTAATTTTTTTTTTCGAAAATTTTTTGCGTAGACCACTTTTAGTTGGGGATTTAATGAAAAATAATAATGAAATGTGTGCAGTTTGACGTATTTTTGTATTTTTCCCAACCATTTTTTGTGTTTAACCAAATTTTTCGAAGAAGGTGAACTGTAAATTCACCTGTCGAATAGAGAGTTGACATGTCAAACTTCTAAATCGCGAAGATTTTTGGATTTCTTTCTTTGGGGTCCAAAAGTCCTTTTTTTTATCATTTCAAAATTTCCGTAGTCTTCTAAAAATCCGCGGTTCAACTGCTTGCAGATGAAATTCTCAAGTCCTAATCACTACAGTAATCCATAATTGTCGTCGGCTTAAAATTCGAGTTCTATGTTGGAGTCCAAAAAAATGTCATTGATTTATGATTAACTGCTTCGTAGAGGGAGGGGGTGGGTGGAGGATTACGAATTTGAAAAGATTGTGAATATACTCTAATCACGGATTTGCTCAACCTCCATTCGAGGGAAATCAGATAACAAAATGTTTTAGCACATTCTTTATCGATGGCGAATGTGTCAAATTGAGAATAGGAAAGGATTATGAGTGGTGTCACAATAGGATCAAGAAATATGGAGGTTTGATCGAAAATGTTAGCGTTTAAAAATTCATAGAAAAACAACACATTTACCGGAACGAAATGTCCGCAGCTGAAAAGAAATGCATTGCGAAATTGTGACTCATATGTAGTCGTTTGAAGCGAATAATAACTTCGCGGAGGACTACGGTAAATTAATATGCGCATGCGCATTCGGCGTGAGACCCGTCAGCGAAACGCAAATTCGCACGCTTTATTGGTCTACAGTAGTCTGCATCAAAAAATTGTTATCAGAGAATTTGCATATGAATTGTCGAACGAGCCGAACGAAATTGAAAAGAAACATTTGGCGGCAAATCGGAAGACGAGGAGGCCAAATGCCGCGAGCATCAATCCGTCATAAATTTGAGTAATAAAAAAATGTTGAAGGTTTCGAGTGCAAATGAGCCGAACATCTGCGAATATATATATCGATTTGCTCCGGCGGCACTGGCGAACAGAAAAAAAAACATTGGATACAATCATCAGAAGTGGAAAACGTTTAGGAAACACATGTGTGTGCGTCGACCAATATTGCAATACTGGATTATTGATTTATTTTTTTCTCTGTCTGGCTTTCGGCTTGATCCGATCCTGATTTGAAATAAATGAGAGGGTTGAGAGGGGCGGCAAAAAAAACCAACAAACACCTGCATCAAATGGGGCGAGCCTTTACATATGGCGGCGGGAGGTGCGCGTGTCCGAACAGGTGGTAAAGCAAGAAGAAAAGTTTTTTTCGGGCGTGATCAATGTGATTCGGCGAATCGGCAAAGAAAAATTTACAATCGATTTTTGTTAGGCAATTTTCCCATGAATAAAACGGGCGCGATGCTTCGTGCAATACAATATCAGGGGACTCGTCCCACCACCCCCCACCCTTTTTGGGTGAACAGGAACCGACTTTGGATGGTGTAAATTGATAGCTCTGACGAAAATTAAATTAGCGTCATCGCTGATAATTTTCTTCTGGTAGACCGATTTTTGAAAAGGCAATTTTGAGCAATATTACGGCTTTAAAAGTCAACTCAATAATATATTAAAGCAAAGCTTTTTTTTCACTAATTTTGTTACCATATCCGAACAAAAAAATTACAAAAAAAATAGCATCATTCTGAAATTTGAATTAGTCTTCTTTAAAAGAGATTAAAATATTTGTGAAAGAGATTAGATTAATTAGTAAAGTACTAACTTAGCATGACGTGGAAAATATTCAGAACTTATGGAACTGATTATGAAATCTATTTTTTGCAAAAAAATCATACAAAAATTTAAATTTTTTTTCAGATCCTGAAAATACAATTTCAAAAAAATAATATTCATGTTTCCGGCTCGCACTTTTAAGTATACTTTGTCGAATAACGGTATCCCAACAGCAGCCGCGGATGTTGCTCAAAAGAATACAAAGTACTATTTAGGTGTGGCGGAAACCAATTACTATTATTTACTATGTGATACACCCAATTTCTTTTTTTTTTGATCCGTAAAACTGAAAAATGAGGATGTCATGATCCAGATTTCATTGCACATTGATCCTGACTTCCTGGTGTCAACGTAGATCCAAAAAATTGGAAAGACCGATAATTCAGAAAACGTTTAAAAAAAGCGTTTCATATTTTTGTCATTTCGACACCAAAAATGGGCGATCTTCTCAAAATAAATTCTAATTTCGAAGTCGATCGGTGATACGATACAATATGACAGATATGCAGACATGCAGAGAACCCCGCAAATTGCCTGTTCTCTCTCATTTTTAACGACCCACAGAAAAAAATGAAATTGGGAGAAAACTGAGAACTAGTAATCAATTTTTCGTCATTTTTTTTCGGAAAAATGTAGATAAGCTAACAATTGTTTTTTGCTAATTTTTGTTCAATCACATTTTACCCACGAATTCCATCTATTTTTATCACCGACTTTGGAAATGTCCATGTCTTTTCGAACACCTCATTATTGCGTTTTCTTCTCCAATCTTTCCCATCCTTATCAAACTCTCTACTTCACTTTATATGTTATACTTTTTATTGAATCACCTAAATATTGAACATAGTTATTTATTTAGTAGCAAACTGTCATATTGTACTTCTTATCGGCCCTTTTTTCATTGTGTCTGACAATATTGTAGCCAAAAGATTTCCATACCAAGTCCTGGCCCAGTTCGATTTTAGCCGTTTAAGATGTCCGACGAAAAACTGTGCCATCGAATGATCCGATTCCCCACATTGGCTGGGTCAATCGCAGAGGTTGGCGTTGTCTATGAGGTGAGTGAAACCATTTATGTAAATCTTGAGAGTCTTCAGGACACTTTGCCTAGCGGATCGTCTCTCGGCACTGTTGTCACCATACATGGTGCGCCAGGAACTCATAAAGATTTCAAGTTTATCAAGGAGAAGCTCACCAAAATGGGAATTCGGATGATTGGCATCAATTTTCCGGGATTCAATTATACTCCAGGTTTCAGAATAAAATTAAAATGAAATCGAAATATTTTAGTATATCAAAACCAAAATTATGGGAATGTCGAGCGTCAAATCTTCGTCAACGCATTTCTAGATTCCTTGGATCTTCCCGGAAAAGTGTGATCTACCCAAGTAAAAATTAAAAAAAAAATTACAGATGGTCTTGCTTGGGCACAGTAGGGGAAACGAGAATGCCCTTATGACGGCGGCTGAGAGACATGTGACTCCAAATTTGGAATACAACGTATCATGGTTATATTAAGGCTCATGGCTTGGTGATGATCAGTCCGATCGGATTCAGAAGGCATAAGGGAATCGCACAGAAAAGTTCTATGGAGCAGATTGAAATGGTTTATAATGAGTTGCCAAAAGACGAAGCTGATGAAATGATTTTTACCGGTTTGAATGATCGCTGGAATCCAACTATGCTCGCTTTTCAGTTTATAAGAGGTTTGGATTCAAGGTGAACAATCCTGAAGAATGCATAAGTGCTCTTCGCACAATGAATCGGTGCTCTATGGAGAAACAGATTGAGTTTGTTGAGAAGCTCAACCAGAATCCAACCAAGGTTTTGTTTCTATTCGGCGGAAATGATCATTTAATGGAGTACGAGATTCTATTCGAAGCAAAGGAAAAATATAAGGGATTAAAGCATTTTGTAAGTGTGAAGCTTTTAATTTGAAAATTTGACGCTGAAATTTTAGGATTTTGAGGACACGATTGCTGATGCGGAAGTGGCGCGAATATGCCAGTCACTAACAGAAGGCTACAAGGTTTTTGGGGGGGGGGGTTTTGATTCTGGCAATTAATTATGATTTTCAGGGAGCTTCGGTGTTCGTAAAGAATGATGATCATTTTCAGAACAAGTCAAGAGCTGATCTAATCGCAGAATTCATAAGGACAATTCTAGAGCAAGAGAAAAAACTGATAAACAAGCTCTAATTTTATTTTGGAAATAAAAATATTTAATTATATTCTTGTCATTTCGAAGCTTGTCGGAACTGGGCCAAAGCTGATTATTCATTTTCGCGCGCGAATCGTCCGCGTTGCGTATGCGTCGCGGTCGGCGTCTATTTTTTCTTCTATTGCGTTGAAATGTTATCTCATTTTTTCATTTTTTTTAAAAATTTTTCCTGCACTGGAACACGAATTTATAGAATTTTTAATATAGAATTTTAACAAAAATTCAATATTTTAAAGGGAGCGCAATATTTTCAAAATTGCAATAGTTTTTGATATTTTTTTAAACGTGATTCGATGAATGTCAAAAGCTTCAATTATCAAAATGTATCATTGTCGATCTTAGCGCGTTATGAAGATGTCTTTGTATGCCACTTTGACATCTGCTGAAGTTTCCACTGCAGGGAAAACAAAATCAAAACAAACATAATCGCATGGCCATGTCGCTAAAATTTATTGTAAAGCATCCCACCCACTTTCCAAAATCGTCCATCCTTGACAAAACACTTTATTCACTCTGTAGAAATCAAGTTTTAAGTAATAATCTCATGGGAGATAGAATTACTATCAGAGAGATATCAAAACAACGATAGATTGTTGATAGATTTTACCATCTCAAATTTATTTAAATGATGCTAAAACGTAAATCTTTTTCATCAAATTTTCTGTTCTGCTCGAAGGTCAAAATTTACAGTTTCTAACAGTAATTGGCTAACTTTGATTTTTCAAAAACTGTAGACTATCCTTATGAAAGAAAATTTTTACAAGAAATGAACTATTCACGGAAGAGCAGGCTCAGATAGACTTCAGGTTCAGATTCGGGGTTCAGATAGACTTCGTAAGCGTGAATCTATTCCCACAATTTCCAATATTTCAAGTATCCAATTGTGCAATTCTGTATCAAGCTTCTTTGCAAGCCTTGCGCAAATCAAATACCTAAAAACAATAGTGGCAGCCAAATAGGCTTAAATTTTTTTTCAATTTAACACATTTGAGGAATATAAATTTATTTTAGGAAAACAAAATTAAAATAGAATGGAAAGGGAACAAAAAAATGGGAAAAATTTACCAAACATTACAAAAAAACCAGCGAATCGAAGAAAGGATATCGATGGCGCGGGATTAGCGTCAGACGAAGCCTGAAAGACACATAAATCATGAAGTAATGTTGAATATACGAAAAATAAAACAATCCTAAAAACTGGGAAAATATTAGGCATTTATTAATTTCAGTCCTAAATAATCACTAGTTTACAAATATATACACTTAAAATAAAACTATAATTAATTTAAATAAAATTTTAAATGAATAAATCGCAAAAAAATCGTTAAAAACTTTAAAAAATTGAAAAAAATTAAAGCAAAAATAATACCGCCGACAGCTTAAAGGTGCAGCGTTACTGTAGCTATCTGAACCTGCTCTTCCGTGAATTTTTTTCAGAAAATTTGATGAAAAAGATTTACGTTTTAGCATCATTTTCTGAAACAATGGGCACTTAGGATCATTTTCTGGATTTTTAAAAACTTTCGAATTCCGACCCCTTAAGATCCCCTCCCCCATATAACACTGACAATTTCTAGGAAAATTTACGGTATTGGCAAAAAGAACATAATTAAGTACTCAAGTCAAAAATTTGAGTCAATTAACATTGACCGGTAATAAAAAAAATAAAAATGGGGGTTAAAATCTGGGGGTGGAAATTAGGGGGTGGTTGAAAAATAAAAATGGGGGTTAAATTTTGGGGGTGGAAAATCAGGGGTAGGGGTTGAAAATTGGGGGTTGATGGCAATGGGCCAAAATGGCTTTACTTGATATACAATTGATAAATACAAAATATTTGGGAAAATGAAATAATGGACCGGTACTCCCTATAGTGTTGTAAGTTTCAAGAAGTTTTTGTAAATGAAACATACATTTTTAACTGATATTATAATTGCAAACGAAAAAAACAATAAAATTCTAATTATTTTTAACACTTAATTCTACAAATGTATACGATGAAATCGCTTTTGTATTTGGTTACGTTGAAGATCACCGTGGTCATATACGTTTACAAACCATTTACCAGAGAAAATTATAGCGACATGGCCATGCGATTATGTTTGTTTTGATTTAGTCTTCCCTGCAGTGGAAACTTCAGCAGATGTCAAAGTTGCATACAAAAACATCTTCATAACGCGCTAAGATCGACAATGATACATTTTGATAATTGAAGCTTTTGACATTCATCGAAAGAATTTTTGAAAAGTAAAGCCAAAAATCACGAGCCAAAATTCATGAGCCAAAATTCGCGAGCCAAAGAATATAGTGAGTACGAGCCACTTTTTGCGAGCCAAAAATCACGAGCCAAGCCACTTTTCACGAGCCACTACTAATTGGCCATGTGACTCAGGGAATGCTCAATGTACAGTACCGTGCAGTAAGATATACAATTTCACTTTTTTTATCATAACTTTCTGAAAAGTTAACCAATCGATCTGAAATTTTTGGACAAAACGGATAGTGTGTTCCCAAACATAATTTATTTATTTTGGGATACTATAGACGCAATTTTTGTGTTTTGGACCATTTTTTGCGTATTTTCAAAAATACGATTTTTTTTAATTTTTAAGTTTTGTCGATTTTTTTTTAGATTTTCAATGTTAACATCAGTTTTTTTTTTTAATTTGTTTTAGCAGGAGACGATCAAAACGATCAAAAAACATTCTATCAGACGTTTTAAAGCAATCAAGGATGACCGAGCACAATGTCTTCTCATCCAATGTCTATCACACCAGTTGAGCATCGACTTGGACCATTCGTGTATGTTTGAAACCTCGATCGGATTCCAAACCACTTGGAAATCTTTCCAAAACATCCCCGGCAATCAATCGAACAATTGTAGGAAACAGCAAGAGCAACCCGCGTCTATCCGCTTCTGAGATTAAGCGACAACTGAGTCAGTTCTATGATGTCAACGTAGATTTTTCCGGAAAACCATGACTTTTTTTCACCAAAAGTCACATACATATCATTGTTAGTACTGTCAAGCGTTGTCTACGTGGTTCTGGATTAATTGGACGTCGGTCTGTCAAAAAATCTCTCCTTTCGGAGAAGAAACGCCGCGCCCGTTTGAAGTGGGATAAGGAGCTTTTGAATTGAAGGTTTCGACAATAGTCAAAGGTCGTATCGAGTGATGAATCGAAGTATATCTTGCTCGGAACGGATGTTATTACCTTTGTGAGGCGTTCGGACGGCGAAAGATTCGATCCAAAGCATCAATTACCAACAGTGAAACATGGAAGAGGAAGCGTGATGGTTTGGGGATGTTTGTTTTACTGCTTCTGGAGATGGCCCACTTCGTCGAATCGAAGGAAATATGGATCGATTAATGTATAAAGACATTCTAGAGAACAATATGCTTCCGTTTGCAAAGTCTTTGCTCAGTGTGGATACTTATTTCAACAGAATAATGATCCTAAACGTAGTTCTCGCTTCATCAAATAGTGGTTCTAGCAGCGTAGGGTGGCCGTCATGGTCTGACCAAGCCACTCACCTGTCTTGAACCCCATTGAACATTTGCAGGATGATCTTAGTAGACGTCTTGGTGGTCAAACAGTACAAAATTGTGCCGAAATGTTCGAGCAGCTGAGGAGAGCATGGATGGATATTCCAGTTTCAACCCTCCCGAAGTTGACGAGGCCATGGGTCTCCGATATCAAACTGTGATCGATGCAAATGACATGTCAACAAGATATTGAGTTGTTTTAAGTTTCCTGACTGATAATTATTGTTTTCCATTTCATTTCAAGTCGTACCGGTATCAAAATTATTAAAGTCGGTTTTTCGCTAATTTGGAATTTCGGATTTTTTTGTCAATAAAATTTTTCCTAATGTGTTTTACACCTTCTAATTTTGATATATAATCACTCTATCGATGCTTAAAGTTGTTCAAAAATTTTAGATCGATTGGTCAACTTTTCGGAAAGTTATGACCAAAAATGTGAAATTGTATATCTTACTGCACGGTACTGTATAAATTGCATGCTGCCCTCCCCCCCCCATGCGAGTTTCTTCAGCTGCTCCATCTCCTCACTCACTTTTTTGTTTGAATTCTCATAGTTGTGATTCGCACGCACTCTCATGGTCAAGCTCTTTTTCGTAATTTTCATATTTCCGATAACTCTCATCATCGCAATCCTCGTTCTTTAATATCATTTTCTTATCGCCAATTTATTTTTACCTCTCAATCTGATAAAATATTCGTTGATTATTATTTCTTTTATTTCCCTTTTTATTAAAGGTGTTGTTATTCTGGCAAACTCCGCTCATAGCGCATGGATCAACGGTTTAAAGGGTAGTGTTCTTATTGGCGATGATCCCGTCATTTCAAATTAAAAAAAATGTTCTTGATCCATTCTAATTATTCGGAATTGCTTTGAAATAAATTCGCGTGGCCATTTGCGAAAATGCCAACCGAAAATATCAAAGATGACAATGGCTACACTGTAGTCTCCGCATAGGCCTCTCGGTTCGTTCGTTCACCCATTTTCAATATTCTTCTTCCGCTCAATTTCGTATATATGTATTTTTGCAAGAAATTTTAAATTTCAAATGTTTGACGAGTGTCAACTTCTCTTATCTCTCCACTTTTTTTGACCGCTCTTTTTATTTTTTTACTATTTTTTTTAGCACACATAGGGTTGTTATCATCATGGCAAGTACATTTCGGCGCCTATTTACTAGACATTCGACGCTGACTTTTGTTCGCCAGTTCGCCGCTGCAATGGCCGAATCGAATATTTTCAAGAAGAACGTTGTGTTCCGAGCAATTTCCGGAAAACAAATCGAACTTGAGGCTGTCTATGAGGTTGGTGTGCAAAAAATAGTGTAACATGATTTATTTTTCAATTTCTATTTGTTTTGTTTCGAACGCAATGTGTCGAATTCCACTTATTGATCGGAATTTGTGCGAGAAAAACGTCGCTTCAAAATGTTTGGATCCATTCATTATTATAAGGCAATGCACAGAAAATTTTTAAAAAAATTATTTAGAAAATTTTAGTGCTGAAAAAATTGGAAAAAACTATTATTTTGTGTTAATTTCTAATTTTCTCTGTTCACAAAAATTTATAACCCTCTCACATTTTGAATACCATGAAGTCCCTTGAATCAAACTTCTGCAGATGCGGACAAAATCAATCCGCGTGGTTCGGAATTATCGATTCATTGTTGACCAGGTCTACTTGTTCTTCTTCGAGACTCGATTTTATATTTGGGTAGATTTACGGGCGCATTTCGTCGAAGAATACGTAAATTCGAATAATTACTACATCAATACATCATTTTCCATTCAACACTAATAGCATTTGAAATTATCAGCCCATCTGATTAGTATATGAATTGATCCAATAGATCCAATGAATTTGGCAACATGCCATATTTAACACATTACCATTTTTAGTATGATTTTGTGGAATCCTTTTTTCTCTTTAAACGAATTATATCAAACACTATAAATCGTTTTTTTTTAATGCCAAAACTTTAAATTCGACAGAAAACCCAAACGTTTTACAATTCAAACACACACGCAAATTTTTATAAGTTTTTTGCTGTAATTTTACACTTTTAGCATTATTTTCTTTTTCTTTTCTTCTCAGGATTCTTTGCCGAGTGGATCGTCGATTGGCACGGTAATTGCTGTTCACGGATCACCAGGATCTCACAAAGACTTCAAATATGTCAGGGAAAAGTTGAATGAAATGAAAATCCGTTTCATCGGCGTCAATTTTCCCGGATTCTGCAATACTCCAGGTTTGAATTGCAGCCAAAAATATGATTTGGATTGGTTTGATTTAAAGGATATCCTGGCCAAGATTTCGGCAACGAAGAACGTCATGCATTTTCAAATGCTCTTATTGAAGAGCTCAACATTCCCGGAAAAGTGTGAATTATCGAAATTTTAGAAATAATTTCAACATTTCCAGATTATCATAATGGGGCACAGTCGTGGAAACGAGAACGCCTTGATGACAGCGGTCGAGAAAAATGTAATTTTTACTATTTATCATATATGTATTCACATATTCAGTATTCAGGTACATGGTCTGGTGATGATCAATCCTATCGGCTTCCGAAGGCACAAGGGAATCTCGCCGAAGTTTTCTTTGGAGGGCCTCGAGTGGGCGTACGATTGCCTTCCATCGTTTATTGGAAACGCGATGATCTACAAGGGTGTGCATTTTATTGATTTTCTAGAGCCTGTCTCATCATATTTATTACAGTATATCAAATGATTGGGTTTAAAGTGAAAAGTGCCGAAGAATGTATTAATGCTCTTCGCACAATGAATCGATGTTATCTTGACAAGCAGCTTGAACATGTGGAGAAGCTGAACAAGAGCAACACGAAAGTAATGTTCCTGTTCGCTGGAAAGGATCATCTCATGGAGCAGGAGATCATGTTTGAGGCATTGGATAAGTATTACGGACTGAAACACTTTGTAGGATTACGGGGGAATTGGAAAATTGATAATGAATTGATTGTTTAGGAATTTGACAAAAAGATCCCACAAGAAGAAATGAAGCCGATACTTGAAGAAATATCGTCTGGGGCAAAGGTTAGTAGATGCTTTCGGTAAAATTCAATTTTCATTGCGAAATCAATTATTGCCAATCTCAATTAAATATGCTTGAAGAATAATTTTCTAAATTATATAATAAATCGCTAAACTTGTTGAATTTTCCACGAGCAAAATGTCAATTGGGGGGAATATGGGGTTTTTTTTTAATGCAAAAGTAATGTTTTTGGAACGTTGTAATTCTTATATATAAATATTCAAAATGTGTTATAGGCGGGGAAATTAAAAAAAAAAAATAAATTTTTTCTTCTATTGCGTTGAAATGTTATCTCATTCTTTCATTTTTCATTTTTACATAAATTTTTCCTGCATTGGAACAAGAATTTATAGAATTTTTAATATAGAATTTTAACAAAAATTCAATATTTTAAAGGGAGCTGCAGTATTTTCAAAATTGCAATAGCTTTTGATATTTTTTTAAACGTGATTTGGCAAAATTAAACTTGTAAATGCGGAAAGTCTTCAATATTTGCAGTAGAATTTAATGCAATCGATTTCAGGGGGTCTCGGTGTTTGTGAAGAATGACAACCATTTCCAGAACAAGTCTCAAGCCGAGCTTGTTGCCAATGTGACTCAGAGAATGCTCAATGTATAAATTGCATGCTGCCCCTCCCCCCATGCGAGTTTCTTCAGCTGCTCCATCTCCTCACTCACTTTTTTGTTTGAATTCTCATAGTTGTGATTCGCACGCACTCTCATGGTCCCAATATTTTTCTTTCTCCCATGTTATTAGTTTTCCGTCGATTTATTTTTGCCGCCCAATGTGATAAATCATATGTGGCTCGTCGGAATATTGAATTTAATTCGATTGATGGACGATTGATCCGATTGGAAGCGGTTTATGAGGTTTTTCTTTCGTTTTCTTTATTTTTTAAAAATTATCAATTTAATTGAAAACGTTTCCTGAGAATAGGATGTTAAGGATTCTCTACCTTCTGGATCAAATGTTGGCACCCTAGTTGGGTTTCATGGAGCGTTTGGGTCTCATAACGACTTCATGCACATTCTACAATGCATGGATCGTAGGATACGATTCATTGGAATCAATTATCCGGGATTTGGGTTCACTGCTGGTAAAAATCGACTAAAAAAATGACAAAAATACCATTGGTGAAATTCAGCTTATCCCGGGCAATCTTTCTGCAATACAGAACGCCAGAATTTCACGAATTCGCTTCTAGACAGCTTGCAAATCAACGGCAAAATTGTGTATATCGGGCATAGTCGAGGGTGCGAGAATGCGCTGATGACTTCTGTGGAGAGAAAGGTTTCTTTTTTTAATTGTGCTATTAAGGGGCCCATGCAGTGAAAAGAAAAAAAGAAAATACGGAGAAAATTTCAATATAGAAAATAGGAAAAAAATTACAATAATAATTTTTTTTTGAATTGAAATTTTGTCTATTTTTTTCTTTTATTATCTCTGCATTTTTGAAAGGAATAGTTTAAGGAATATTTTTCCAGTTTTATAGTTTGAGTTTTTTTCCACAAAATCTACATTGTACCATTAACCATTTCACAATATTATTTTCTTTTAGGAAACCTGCCAAGGTCTCGTTATCATCAATCCGGTAGGATTAAGGCCATCGAAAACGATTATTCTTTTGAAATATTTGAAAATGTTCTATGGAATTCTTCCAAAATCGCTTGCAGAATATTTCATTTTTCATGGTTTCTATCACAATTCAACGATTTGTCTGCGAATATTGGAAAATTGCAGCTTATACCATATATGGGTTCAAGCATTTGCCAAATGGGAGGGCTGCAATTAATTCAATTGAGACGGTTCTCAGCACCGCTTTGAACAAAAAGCTTCCTTATATCGAAAAGTTCAATGAAACAAATGTAAAATAAGAATCGGAATTTTCAAAAAAAAACTTTGCAGCACAAACTGTTTTTGATACACTCGGGAAACGATTTTGTGATCGAGCCTGAAATAATTGAAGAGCTTCTCGACAAATATAAAGGGCTCGAACATTTTGTGAGAGCGCCATTTTACGATTTTGCTATTTAAATAATTTCCAGAGATTTGAAAACGACATCGATGAATTCAGCGAAAACGCGATTTTGAAAGCGTTGCGCAATTCAAAGGTGGGTGCAATCGATTTTTCATGAGACAATCGCCTATTGTTTTCAGCGTGCCAGCGTCTACGTGCAAAACGATGATCATTTTCAAAATAAGACGAGGTGCGATTTAATTGCAAAAGCCATCCAAACTATTTTTTATTAATAAATACGTGTATAAAAATTGATCGAACGATTAATAATTGGGAAACGGGATAGTGTTAAACACCGAAAATAGGGGAAAACCGAACATTTGTGGGAATAATGGCAAAATCGTCTAGAATTTCCATGCCGGCTCGGCGTACTTGGCCTCCTCATCGTCGTTGTACATGCAGTTTTCCACGATGAACACTTTGCTTGGATTCTTGACGTTTGACGCCCGCAGGAGCCTCGTCATGTTGTTGTATTTGCGCTTCAGGAAGAAGTTGAACGCGATGACAGCAATGATGAGAATAATGATTAGCACGATGTAAAGAGGATTGACGCCAACTGCTGGTGGCTCTTCGAGAGGCTGCAATTTGATGTTGCAGTATTTTCCAGCGAATCCTGGAGCGCACGAGCAGAACGGGACGAGTCCATTCGAAATGCATTGGGCATCTAAAAGAATCAAATAACATTTGTCAATTCAATTTCAAGATGTACCATTCTGGCAAACTCCGCTCAAAGCACATGGATCAACGGTTTGAAGGGTAGCGTTCTTGTTGGTGATGATCTCACAAAAGTCGCCACCGAATCCTGGACGACATTCGCAGGTGAGACGCTCTTGAGCTCCAATATTCGATTCGAAGAGTCTTGTCGACACACACGCTCCTTGATTCTGACATCCGCATTCGCGGGGATCGATGACTTGAGCGCATTGTGGTCCCATCCAACCATAATCGCAACGGATTCGTCCCAACGAATCGCATCTCTGATTGATGGAGCTCTTCGCATTGCATGTCTTTTCACACTGGGCTCCATAGTGTCCTCTGAAAAATAACCATTTTGATATTGAAATAATTCTACGACTAGGTTACCCTTCACATTCGAGAAGTGTGTAGACGTGCAAAGTGGCGTCGGCGATCATGAAGATTCTCTCGTCGAGGACTCCAGCGACCATAGGAAGCTGCATTCGAAGTTTTGCTGCCTTTGTGCTCATCTTGTTAGCGAACCAGCAGGTGTACCCGAAAAACTTGGGCACTTCCTCCAATCCGAATTCGAACGTACGCTTCTGATTAGTGAACAAATCGATATGAATACGTTTGTGTCCTTCTGAAAATATGAAGAGCAATGATTAGAAAAAAAGTTATTAAAGATTTACCTGCTGGTTTGAAGATGATCGACGCGCTAGTCGAGCTTACCAAGGTTTGATGGACCCGATGTTTTCCGCTGACCGCAGCGAACACCATGAACAGTGAGAGCAGAGCGATTCTCGAGGCGACCATCTCGTGTGGAGTTGACTAACACGAATGAATGTGGTTGATGCGCGCCGGACAACACTCAATTTGGGCGGAGTCTTGGTTCGAGGGGAAGTGCTGGCCGCGCCCACCACTTTTGGTTGATATAGTGATAAGAGAGAATTGCCAGGGGCCAATGCGAAGAGTGTAAAAAGAAAATGAAAAGAAAAAGAAAACGTTAAGAAAATGATAATCGGCATTCCAAAAGGATCCCGATTCGATGAATGCCATTCATGTTTCCGGCTCGCACTTTTAAGTATACTTTGTCGAATGACGGTATCCCAACAGCAGCCGCGGATGTTGCTCAAAAGAATACAAAGTACTATTTAGGTGTGGCGGAAACCAAGTACTATTATAAATCACCGCCAATATTTTATAATTCCGTTTATCCGATTTTATTACTTCCGTTGATCGTAATAATGTTTTAGGTGATGTTCGCATGCTTTTCGCACTTTCATATCAGGTCAGAGCTGTTGATAAGTGATAACACATATCCAATAGGACGCTTCAGCTTTTGATAAAGTGCGAAGACAAGGTGACAAGATAATTTCGGCACGTGCCAACACAATTTCCATAGGCAAGCTTCCCCAATTGAACTTGTCCATCAGGATGATGATACACGCAATCGATTGCGCGCGCGTCGCGCCAGCTGCCTTCACAATGCTTCTCGAAACTTTTTTGTTGTTTCTGCGCGCATTGAAAAGCGCACACCTGGAAGACACCTGCTTGAACACTGCGCAATATTAAATTCTTTTCTTGAAAATTTCGAAAACGTTTCCTCACCACCCATCTGCCATTGAAATTAATCAAATTTTCGAGGCGCGCATCCGGAGAATTAATCATCGCCAATATCCCCCGCTGGCCTGGCCGACGCGATTCCGATCGGTTCGCAACCCCCGTCGCACAATCAAAAGACATCCGCTTATGTACATTTATGCGTGTTGCAGAGGTGTTCGCACATTGATCTAACAATGAGTGTCGATTATGATTGACGGACGCGTGTTGACATGTTTTGCTTTTTTTTTTAAAGCGGAACACCCTTTTAAGAAATATGAAAACCTTGCCGATGTTGGTGATGATGGAATAATGGCATCGGGTTCTCACTTGTCAATTTTTAGGCGGTTTCCGTTAAAAAAAGATGAATCAATTATTAATTGACGTAATTTGCTTTCCCGATTTGGAAAAATTGGGATATTTGAAATAACAATGCGATCCATGTGGACTTCTAAATGGCAAATTTTATAGGATGAAAAAGTGACGAAGAATCATTTCAATAAGCTTTTTTCCTTTTTTCTCAATTATTGTCGTTGACGGAAAAGTTAGATCCCATTGTTTATGGACCTATCATGCAATGAAAAAATTAAAAAAAAATCAATTTTTTTTTCATTTGAATTCCCGCGAAGTCGGTACTGTAAGTTCTTAATGGCTGTTTTTTCCGATTTTTTTTTTTAATTTTTTGAGCGTTTGAAACGTTTTTTTTTTTGGAAATCTGTAAAAGTATTTTGTTTAATCAGCGCTAAAGGTTCATCAGAAGCGTCATCGAGCGAAGTCTGCATCAAATCAACACAAATATCACTATTTTTCATGATAATTAGTATCTAATGGACAGAAAGTAGACAAATATTGCCGAATTAGGAGTAATTATACCAACAATAATTGTTTTTACTCGTTCATAAATCCGTTAGTTAATTTCTCTTCGAAGTTTTTGAAAAATACAAAAAACTAGCACACAAAATAAAAAATACAGTACCGATTTCGCGACGTGACCCGCGCAACTTCTCGTGTGCGCCTTTGAAAGTAAATAGTGGAGAATTACGATATATCGCGTCATTTTAATTTTCGGCGTGCATGCATAGGGAATTCAAATGAAACAAATTGATTTTTTATTTTTTCATTGCATGAATAGGCCCATTAGAATTTGAATTGCCGCGTGGGTCGTGGAAAAAAAACTTTGAAACGAGTATAATGAGAATTTATGTGTTTAAAAAAATGCAAATTTGTGGTTGAATTCAGTCCGGAGCTGAAAGCCGGTTTTTTTTAAACAACACTGTTATAATTAACCAACTAATTATTGACTTGGCGACAGCTAATTTAATGTGCGGACAGTTTCGCCTTTTTCCTTTGAAAAGAAGTAAATTCATCTAGTTTCGTTTTTTAAATTTATTTTCAATAATATCAAATATTATAATATGTACAAAAAAAGCAAGAATCAACAAAAACATAAAAAAACACAATGAACACCTCAGAAGAGCACCGATATTCTCAGAGCAATGGGAAGGCAAGAATACAGAAGAAAAAAAAAACAACCTGTATAGTGGGAGAAAAACACAATCGAAGAAAATGATAATTTTTTATTGGGGGAGATTTTGCGGATTTTTTGTTCTAGATTGTTAAGTTAAAAAAAAAAGAAACAACACCGACTAGATAAGTGAAAGCATTGACCACCGAGAAATTTGAGCGAGACGAGCACAACCATTGAATATGCAATTTACACAACTTTCGGCTCGGGAAGCGGAATTGTCGGTGGTGGCGGTGGCTTTTGAATTTCCGAATAGACCACTTCGAACGCCTTCTTCGTTGGCGCTGATGAGTATCTTCCATCGTCAATGGTGAATACCTATAAATCAAATAATCAATTAAATATAAGAATATAAGCGATTGTTTACCTTTTGCTCGGTGTTGACAAGCATGGACCTCGTCGGAATCGCAACTTCAAACGGCTCAATGACCGGGAGTCGAGCCAACGCGTCGAGTCTTGAATGCCTTCTCTTGTAGGTGAAACAGCCGACGATGAGAATCGCTATCGAGAGGATGATGACGAAGAGTTGAAGAGTGGATAGTGTGAGCGTTGTGCTGTCCGGCGAATCGGTCGAACCGTTCAGCTCGCAATAGTTGCCGAAGAATCCCGGCTGACACGCGCAAAAATATTTGGGACCGTTTGAGAAACACTGAGCGCCTGGAAAATAAAGAGACTAGTTGCGCAAAACCTTATGAATATTAATATAATTACCATTCATGCACAAGTTGCCCAGCGTGCAGGCGTCGACGGTCGGCTGAGAGGCGTTGAGTCGGGTGGCGATCTCGCAAACATCGCCCTGGAATCCGTTGCGGCACTCGCACGTCAGACGATCCGGCGACTCGCCGATCGATGGGAATTGTTTCGTCGACACGCATATCCCTTGATTCTGACAACCGCATTGGCGTGGATCGACCGCTGAAAAATAATAGTTGTCACCTGTGCAAACAGGATTAACGCCCTCCCCCCCCTTTCCAATGACTAAGCGGGTCCGTTTGAACTTTTGCCGATTCAGCACATACCTTGACTGCATTGTGGTCCCATCCATCCATAATCGCAGCGAATTCGTCCCAAATCATCGCATCTCTTATTAACAGCTTGATGGGCATCTGATTGGCATACTTGGTCGCAAAGTGGTCCGTAGAAGTCCCTACAAAAATGATTGTGTGTTGCCAGAAATTCGATAATGGTGTTGATCGTACTTGGCGCACTCAAGAGTGCTGATGATGGTTAATTCCAAATCATCCTTGACGAACGTCTTCTGATCGGTCCTTCCGCGGATCATCGGCACACTTGAGTTGAGCTTCTTGCGAAGTCCGGCGCGTCCAATAATCAGCGAAAACTCATAGTGATCGCTGATCTCATTGATCGAAACGATGATGTTTTTCGGGATGCTGGCGAGCAAATCGAAATTCAATGTTCTTTCTAAACCAATTTTGAACATTTTTTTCAAGGACAAATCGGCAAAATCTCTTACCTGGATTATGGCTCAATAAGAGTACGTTAAGATCCGCAGAGCTGATGTAGGTTTGCCGGATGACGTGTTTGGCAAAGGCGGCGGGAATAAGAGCAAAGAGTAGAAGAGCTCGAAGCATTGCTGTAATTGATACCAAATATGGTAATGACGGAGGAGAGTTGCAACTCGGCGGATGTAACAATGCAAATGACTAGGTTGTGTGCATCTGTCGATGCTCCGCCCTCCGTGAAAGTGGGCGGAGTCTCGCGCGCAAAAAAGGGGAGGCGATCGTCGGGTGCGAAAAGACGGTGAGAGATGAAGAGGATTAGAGAAGATTGAGGAGAACGTGTGAAGAATTAAGAGAGATTAGAGGAATATGAACTTTTTGAAATGGAATTTATTGAAATTGGAAATTTGATAAATGCCCGATTCCGAAGCTTTTGAAATTGCCCGATTTTTTCTTGAAAAAAATGTTGTTGCGAACATATGTGCGAATTTTTGGCAACTTTTTTTTGCTTAAATGCTCATAAAATTGGGCTCAAAAACGTTGGAATGGGAAGAAAATTGACGTCAAAACTTCAAGAAGCCCGAATCGCTGGTTTAATGGTTATTCGAAATTCTAGCTGCTATTATATATTTTAAATTATTTTGAAATATTATTGAACAAATTTTAATTATAGGAAATAGTCCACCCTGAATTCGGTGGTACTCGAAAATATGAAATATCGTCTCTTCAAATATTAAGGTAAAAAAAAAGACTGCCGAAGACAGACAATTGTCGAAAATCACATAAAATTGTCTTAATTCATTGGCGACAATAAGATAAAAATTCTGCATGCACCTTTAATCTATACTGTAAACTCAGCCAACAATTTTTTCGATACCAAATTGAGTAATTCAAATGGATTTTTTTCATTATTGGAGAGTATGAGAAAAAAAATTTCGAAAAGTGATAATCGGCATTCCTTTCCATAAAAAAGGTATGCCGATTCGGTGAATGCTATTCATGTTTCCGGCTCGCACTTTTAAGTATACTTTGTCGAATGACGGTATCCCAACAGCAGCCGCGGATGTTGCTCAAAAGAATACAAAGTACTATTTAGGTGTGGCGGAAAACACTTGAGCAAAGGCAAAAGGATTGATCCAACCAATCAATCCTATACCTAATCAATACTTTGATGATAGGCAGCAATTATGATAAATTATATTTCCCAAAAAATATAAGCTTAAAAACAGAAAATGGATGTTGATAGAAATTTTAATAATGATACCAATTAAATTAGGGTGATTAGGCAACTATAGAAGGAAATCAAGTCATCACCATGCTTTTGCACCTAATTTGCTATGCGAGTTGCCCGTTATCACTGACAAGCTTCATCACCTCCTGCTCAAGATCTCCCTTTCTAAGCCACGTGTCAACTAATGATGAAGCACGAACGATTATCACCTGTCAGGCGGTAGGAGATATGATTAAAAGAAGGCTTGTCACTCGAAGAGCACTTGTCATGATTTTGGAAATCGCCGACACGGTTAGGTGCGAATAATCGGCTGATCATGGATTTGCGTCTGAAACGCATTGGAATAATAATACGAGTGGATAGAAGTGCACAATCGACGCGATTCGTGTGCGTCGAGAAAATTTGAAACGGAAATAATTTCGAATGGGACCGAAAAAGGAGGAGGAGGGGGGGGGGACCTGAGAAAAAAGAAGAAGAAGAAGAAAGAAAGGTGCGCGGACCATAAATAAGAGCACAAGTTTTGTGCTCGACTGCTCTCCCCCCACACACACAAATGTGCTTTTTGATGACTACTGAATGTCGTCGAGCAGCGGCTTTAGTTAGTACGAAATCGGAAGATGTGGTGACGAACACCTGGCACGCCATTTGAGGCAGCGGAAGAAAAAATTTTATTCGCTGGTATTCAGGGTCGAACATTAAAATTAGAGGTTACCCTTCGCACTCGTACAATATAGACCGCCGACTAATTCGCCTTTGTCGATCCGGACGCGGCGGGTTTGGGAGAAGTGGGGGAAGGCGAGGCGCTATCGTGAAAAATTTGGTGACACGGTTTCTTTAATTGCTTCAACCGATTTGAGATTTTTCATTTTGCGTCATGCAGAACAATGGGACATGCATTAAAGACATTCATCCGGTGTTGGTGATGCTCAAAACCGGTGAGAGAGAACGACGATGGGAAATGCGTTTTTCAGAATTTCAGATATCGATAATAATTAAAGAAAATTCAAGTGGGTTTTTATGCAATTAATACTCGGAAATATTCAATTTTCAAAATGAAAACGAGTTGCGTCGAGAAATGTGCTCAAAAAATTTTTTAAAGAGAATTTTCTCTCCGAATTACGCAAAGAAATAAATGAGTTCAACTGTTTCATTTAAACTCTGTGAAAATGTATGCTCCTTTAAATCAAACGGAATTGTTAAAATCACATGAAACCTCGTGAGTTTGGTGGTACGGTACCTTGAATTCCAATTGCTTAAATTCTAATTTGAATTGCCGCCCCGAAATAATGCGATGGTCCACAAATGCTCGTTATTGGCAATAATGTGAATCCCGCTTAAAGGATGATCGCTGTTTTTCAGAAGATCACCGTATACTTCTGAAGAACCACCAAAATTATTCGCTTCGAGACCCGGCGTCAATATCTGCGTGCGTCTTTAAACGGAAATTACAATTGTTTTTGAAATTGACGAATTTGGCAAAATTAATATGTGAATTCTCGGATTTTTCATAAAGATTTTCCAATTATTTTAATTTTTGGTAAATTCAAAATTTTTGAATAATTAGTTGGGTTTTGTGGCGATCAATTCTGTTAGTTTTTCTTTTTCGACTTTGCAATTTTTCAAAGAAACAAAAATTGAAATTTATTATAAACATTGCTCCATTTTCCTCATTGTCGGCGCTATTCAAAATTCAAATAAGAAAAAAAGAATTGGTCAGCCATAAATCTTTAAAACCATCGGCATTTCCGGCCCAATAATTAATCAACATCCCGCTGGTGTCGCAGCCACCAAAAAAGGTATCCACCCCGCCAGCCCCTCGCCTCGTCCGTTCTTAATTCATCTGGTAATGTGGTCTTGACACGATTAGACCAAGGTGAATTGGGTGCCAAATATTCAGGTGAGCTCGCGATTGCGTTGAGCCTAATTAATGGCCGAATTGAATCGCAACTAATTAGATGAGTGGGGGCGCAAGATTCGTATCAATGTGTTTGCAGCTATTTTTGTGAGCGCTCGCGCGATGCGCCAATTTTGACACCAGGTGCACTTGGCATGGCGGCGAAATAGCGCGCGAGACGCGGATGGGGTAGAGCGCAAGCTGTTCTATGGGTTCACCGGGGGTCAGCGGCGAAAAAATTTCGAGTTTTTAAGGGACTAATAACATTGGAAATAAGGGACCATTCATATTAACATAGAGAAGCCAACAATATCGCGATGCTCTGTTAACTATTAGAAACACAAAAAACCAGAAATGCCTTTCCTGAAACTTACAAATATCATTAAGTTTGATTCGCAGGTGATCCGAAGTACGGTACCCGAATTCCAATAGTTTAAATTCAAATTTGAATTGCCTCCCCCTTCGATGAGCCCCGCAAGGGCCTAGTATACTCCCTTTTTTCCCTTCTGGAAATTGCTAAATCTAAAATGTTATTTCAAATTTTTTCCTAGATATTAAAGGATCATAGCTTTTCAATTTTTGTATTTTTGCAAAGGAAATCTTCATGGATGTTCAAAGAAAAAGGACCTTGAATTAATGGAATGAGATTATTAATAAAAAGTTTTCGTGGAGTTTCAATTGAGTTGAAGATTCGCAGAAAATGTAGAATTCACACTATTCTATGTATTAGCATGCTTACTTTCAAGGTGTCATCAAAAAATTTTAAAAAACTCGTGTTGTGTGAATTTGCGTGCGGTGTACTTGCGGACTTGTTTGTTCATACATTGCAGAAACGATTTCAAACAATTTTCCTCTTTTTTTTTCAAAGAATTCGCAAAATTAAAATTAAAACCGACTAAAAAAAATAGTACTCTCGATTTTGCTTTGAAAATAAATCAATCGGCAGGTTACTTAATAATTGTTGTAAGGAAACAAATTAAAAACGTTAACTAGCCACCATAAACAACAATTTGCAATGCAGAAAGATTGAAAAAAAAAACGTCGATTTCAGGAGGGCAAACAATAGGATTGACCGTCAAAAAATGACCTTGTTGAATGCGTAAAAAGACTCGAAGAAGCAATATTTGGGGACGGACAAATTATGGCCAAAAGATTTATGAATTGCCTAATTATACACATAAATAATGTAGCGTTTCAACACTGGATAATTTTCGTTTTTTTTTTGGCTCGAAAACGACAGTCGAGGGAATCGAGTGTATACAATATTATAATAAGAAATATGTTGTGTGATGTCGACGCGAGACACGTGGATAATTGTTAATATGAAACTAGTCGCTGCGAGGCAGTATTTGATTGGCTATCTCACAAAAAATGGACGTCTACACTAGGGCTGTGCGACAATAGGAAATTTCGGCAATTCGGCAATTTGCCGAAAATCAAAATTATCGGCTATTAAATGTTTTCAACGATAATTCGAAATATAAATACCGAATTTTCACGGTATCCCAAATTATTCAATGGACATTCCTTTTTGTTTCGCCGATTTTTTTTTAATATCAAATTGCCGAAAATCAAAATTTCGGCAATTTTGGCAATCGGCAATTTAATTTCCACACAGCCCTGGTCTACACATCTACTTCACTGCTTTTTTTGGGGTTTTAAAAATTGATTGGTTTTGATTTTTATGTTAAAGATACCATCCAAACTCGAAATTTTTTTTGCTTAGTGAAATAAAAACCATATAGTCGAGTATCGGGAGTTTCTTTAACATATATTTCTTATTATTATTATTATTAAATTATTCCCGAATTTTGAAGCATTCGATTTTATGAAAGCTGCCGATTTTTTAAAAGTTCGCCGCTAAATTTCTCTGTATACTCATTTTTTGAAAAAAATTTTGATTCCAAATTTTTGCCACCCCCAATATTCTTAAAAATTTCCTTACCATTTACATTATTATACTTTTTACATTTTTAAAAAATTCTTTAGGCTTCAGGTTTTATTTAGATGGTTTTTGAGGAAAAAAACCGGCTATCGGTCACTGTAAGATCAATGTCGTCAGGCGCGTTGCGGCTCGCGTGCGGCACTGCAATGACATCTGAAAGCTGTGAATATTACTGTGGAAAACGTACATTTTCCGACTTATGGGTGAATTCTTTTTGTGGATCAGAACAATTCACCAAACTTTTTTAAAAATAATTTTATTTCAAAAATTTCGATTTTGTAGGGGCCTCCCATTGAGCATAATTATTTCGGGGAATCTTGCCCCGGAAATGCCAACCGGCTAGCTTTAAATTGTTTTCTAGTCTTTTCAGATTTCTTCCGTTATGATAATGGGACCAACCGATTCTACAATTCTAGCATCCATAATTTTTAAGTTGTCAAGTTGTTTAAGTGTAAGGTGTCAATTGTCGAAGATGAGTTGCTGTTCTTCGCGTTCGGTTTGGTCTCGAAGCATTGTAAAGAATCGCTAGAAAATAGTTTTGTTTTTCACGTCTCATCGACACGTGCACAATTGTCTGGAATGCCTTTCAGATATATCGTCAACATTTCAAACAAAGCGACTGCAATTCCTGCAGCAAAGCTTCTAGAATTGACCAAAAAAAAACCTCTGAAATAATTAAGGACCAACAAACTCTAATTTTAAAACCATTTGTTCCCCCAAAAATTTCAGCTTGAATCTCTGAGTAACAATGATTCTCATATTTTGAAAATCCCCTCCTGAGACGCACGAGACAAACAATTTGCGAGTCGGCATGAAACATGGTAAACATTCGGAAAGCGGAAAAAAGTTGCGTAATTTTGTTGTTTTCAGCGGCACAAGCTCAAAATGTTGGTTGTTTTTTTTTCCAGAGATAGAGAGAGAGAGAGAGAAGCTCGTCGCGCCGACCGACGCCACTGTGCTGCTCCGTGCTCTTTTGCCCTCAATGGCGATGTTGTGTGAAACGTTTCGCTCGACCGGCACGTCCCTACACACAGAGTTTTTTATTTTATTTTATTTTTTATTCGATGCTCTTCTCGACGCACACATACACACACTTGAAAACAAATTCTCATTTGACAAACGTGTGTGGTCCCGAACAACAATCGTTTAGTTAGTTGCGAGAATTACGAGAGACGAAGAAGCTGGATTTTTCACACCGCGCGACAAAAATAGAAGAAGTCGCGAACACAAAGAAATTTTTGCTTCCATCCTGCCGTCGATAACACGTTTTGTTTTTTGGGCGGGCCCGGTAAATTGTCCGCAGCTTGGCGCGCCTCCCTTGAAATCCTCAATGCTTGTTTTTTAAGTGAAAAAAAGGAATGTTGCGAGATGATTGATGGAAACAGCTGTATTTTGGAGGAGCGTGAATGAATAGAGGAGATCGTCTGCGCCTCTTCCTCCTACACACTGTCTCGCCGAGCATCGAGCCCTTCCAGCTGTTCTTCGGCTGCAATGTTTTCAACATTTTCTGGAAACTTTTCCCTATAGAGAGCAACAATCAAAGCTTCTTCTTCTTCACTCGCCGACGTTTTTTTTTTTTTTTTTTGAAATCAGCTGCTTCGGTTGATGGAATCACAAACTTGTTACTCGAAAACATAGCATACATAAATATCTATCATATATCAAATCGAAAATAAAAGATAGAGGAAAAGAAAACAATTGAAAACAAATCCTATTAGTTACGAAATCATGCATTTTTTTGGCATATGTTATATGTTTTCCGATAACCATTTTTGGATGTAAAGATTATTGAACGTCGATGAATGGATGGCAGAAATAAGGAAAACGGACCGGGGGGGGGGAGGCAAAAAGGGCAATCTCGTCGAGAAACTATAGACTCGCAAATGAATGCACTTTGCGGGTGATGGAAAAAAATAGTCGGCGGATTGTTTTCCGACTCAAAAACGCTGAAAAATACGTCATCAAGTTCAATTCGATTATACACCAATTAGAATTGTTATTCAGAATCTATTCTGGTTTCGTAGAAGTTGCAAAAATTCGCGTCTGGAGCCTTCACATAATCCATAGAAGCTTCGATGTCATCCATTGGTGTCTCCTAGTTGAACACGGATCCCCGCGTTTTTTGGTCCGAACAGAAAAAAATTTCAATAACAAATTTGTGAAATGTAACAAAAGAGGGTGGTTTTGGCGAAGAATGAGGCACAATGTTGAGCATAAACAATTCGCTTAAAATAAGCGTTTAATTGTTAGCTCCGGCTCGCCAAAAAAACGCATGTGTGCTATAATAAGATATATGATCGACACATACATATTTCTGGAAATTTTCAGCTATGCATGTTTTCCGATGGCCGACAAAGTGCAATATTCACATGCTTATATGTACACACAGACATCCAACAAGAAACTCATAACACTATGTAGGCCTGATTAGAGTAAGCTTGTTATTTTTGTGTCGCACTTTAACATTGTGGAAAATCAAGCGCATGATTACTATTATTATTATTATTATTATTATATGTATATAAAGTATATGTTGGAAGTCAGCGATAACAATAACAAATCAAAATATGTCAACAATTTGCATGAAAAATATAGCAAAGAATCGGGATTGAGCACAACTAATGGTATAAGGCAGATTTTGAGGGAAACATTTCAAAAAAAATTTATTGAGCTTTTTATTCAACATTAGATAGCCGAGAAACTCCCTTCTGCGGACAATTTCGCGGCCTTCTCAAATGGCCCCATAAAAAGGTTGTTTTGAGCAATTTGTCTCCTCAATTGATGATCCAATTTCTCAATTTTTTTCCTTCAACATATCTCAATACATATATTGTTTTTTTGAATGCGTATTATTATGTCAACAACAAGGATTCTTTGTTTTGAATGTTGGAGATTAGACGACTAATACGCACCATAATTTCAGCCCACTTTCAGACAAGACAAAATATTCTATTTTTTCGGAAATCGCGCTAAAATAATTCGCAGAATGTTGAAAACAAGAATTAAACGTCTCAAGCCTGAACATTCAATTATTTGTATATGAGCCAAATAAATAATATACAAAAACAACAATAATAATAATAACATATTTTTTGATATTGGTTGGCTTTTGCTTCTGCGGACATTCATCCAGGCTTCGGCTGCTCTTCGAATCATTTATTCATCATATCAATAATAATAATAATAATAATAATCCAAAGTATATGATACATCTCATAACATTCCATTTTGGGGCGGTACCCTGTCCGAACCAAAAAACTGATGATCCCAAATAACTGAAACTCACACAAATACTATGCTATATTATAATTGATATGTGAGGAAAGGATTTGAAAAAAAAATAATGAAAACTGAATATATTTCTATATATGGGAAACATTATTAATTAATATAAATAAATAATTGGTAGGGAAAATGATTTTTTTTGCTGTTGACTACTGAATTGAAAGAAGTTGGACCGGAAGATAGGGGAAGGGGGGAGGAACGGAGGGGGAATGGGGGGGATGGGGGGCTGTACAGTTACAGAGGTAGATAATGTTGCCGTCATGAGGTGGATTATAGGTTGTTAGAATTGATTGGAGAGATAGATGGGAATCGATTGACTGCGCGGGTTTGATTTTCAATTTCAGAGGTATAGAATCACAATAGCTTTCTGGCAAATCACAATTAGATATAGAGTTTTGGGATTGGTTTGATGAGGTGGTGGTGATGGTGGTGGATGGTGTTGGTGGGTGGTAGGTTTCAACGAACGTGAATAATTTTGAGGGTGAAACAAAAAAAGCCATATGTATAGATTTTTACACCGAGCACACGTCGATGATGACGTTCGAGTTCATCGCGTTCTCATCCTTCTCATCGTCGACCTTCGGACTCGACGACATCTCTTCAAGAATTTTGTATTGAGCGAGAAGGCTCTCGAGAAGCGCCACGTTCTCTGTGGAAGCGAGCCCGAGGAATGGGAAGCTCGCCGGATTGATCGGAACCGGCGCGATGATCGGAGTGCTCGCCGGTGTGCTCGTCGTGGTGGTGGTGCTCGCCGCGGTTGCCGTCGTGATGGCCGATTGCGGCGAATGCGATTCCGGCGGCGACGGCGGCAAAATTATTGGAAGCGACGGCGATGGGAATTGAAGCGATGGACTGTAGCTGCTGGAGCCGTCCGACGACGTCGGCGACGATAGAATTGGCTGTGGCGAGCTCTTGATGGAATTGTCTGTAATAGAGCAATTTTGAGAATCGGCACGTTCGAAAGACTCCTACAGAGAATCGCGTTGAGGTTGCTGATGTTGAACGGAGTTGCACTTAGAGCTGCCGCCGCATTAATTGTCGTCGTGATGTGCTCGCGAGTGAGATTCATCAGCGTGTCTTTACGCTGCCGACGCCGAATCTTGATCTGATCCGCCATCAGCTTCTGGCGTTCGGTGACGACGGCGCACTGAAACAATACCCGACTACAGTAATGTGCGGTGAAAAAGTCGTGGGGGGGGGGAGGGAAAAATTGAAAGTGTATGTGCACTTTTTATGGAAGGCAAGAAACAGAGGAAACGGCGAGAGTGCGCGCACAACCTGCGAAAGTGTCGCGGCGAGCGAGTGCACTATGGGCGGAGTCGACGTTTTCGAATGGAGCAAGCGCCAATACGGTGAATCTAATACCAAACATGGAATTTTCCTAATGTGCACTTTGCCTTAACATAATATCATGTTATGGAGAGCTCGAGAGGAAGAGACACATTGAGAGCAGCAGAATTGTCAGCGGCAAAACAAAAAGTGCACCGCGAATTATCACCCACTTCATTGGAACCGCCTCAGCGATTAATAACGCTCTTATTAGCCGCTATTATTATTATTATTACTGTTTGTATATTATTATTATTATTATTATTATTATTATTATTATTATTATTATTATTATTATTATTATTATTATTGAGGAGTTATCATGAATTATTTAGAAGTTTCTCGGAAAACAAATGCATGATTGAACACTCAAAGCAAAACGACGACGGCTTGGGGGGGGGGCTGAGGCGAGACACTGTAAACAACGGAAACATCTGACGCCGGATTTCAGGAGCTCGTTCTTCTCTCTGCCTACTTCGCTCTATCTCATCGCGAGCTCCAAACTAATAAGTTTTCACGCGGGTGTGTGTGTGTGCTGTCTTCCTCTGAAAATACTTCTTGAACGGGGCCCATCCGATGATAAGGCCATCATCAGAGGTTCAAAAAGTGCAGGGGGTGTAAAGGTGAGTGAAACAGTCGATGGGGGTCCAATCATCAGCGCGGTGCAATGGGGGGTGGGGGTGACCATTGTGCGTAAACACGAAAAAAAACAAGAGCTCAAATTTCAAGTATACCTTGACACATTTGCAGTCGCGGAATGGACAAACTCTGAAATTGAAATTGTTTATTCTTTGTCGGGGGAACGGACCATCATTCTCAAACAACCTTTTGTGTCCTTTGAGTCTTGACTTTCTTCCATGCTGTCCGCACTTTTGGCAATTTGGCACGCGCTCTGAAACTCGAATTTCAAAATTGCAGCATTTGTCGCGTTTCGAGGCTAGCTTCTTTTGGGTTGCGCTCACTTGAATATGACGGATTCTCGGGCTCGAGGACCGATTTGATGGCGGATAGCGAGAGCTCGAACGGTTTTGTCAATGAGACCGGATAGAGTCCGATTTGGGTCATTCTCTGAGCATCCATTTATTACAGCGAGGACGGAATCGAAACAAGACAACAGGACGGAAATGAGAATCGACTTGTTGCCGCCGCTTCTTCTTCAACTTCGTCGCGAAGGATGCCACGCCCACTAGCAAATTTCACAATTCGAGCATGAACGTCGACGACGGCGACGAAGAAGAAGAAGGGGGGAAGAAAAGTAGAAAATATATAGAAAAGACAAAAATTGCGATGAAAAGGAGGTTGTTTTTGGAAATGGGCGGGCCGGCCGGCTACACGGGGAGGTCTCTCGCGTTCGTTTCTCACACCCTTCTCTTCCAGCTCCTCCGACTATATCCCCCCCCATACTCCCCACGTCCCGCCTTCCCCCCTCCTTTCTACCCCCAGGGAGGCTCCGCCCATTTTTTATACTATTCCGAATGTTTTGATCTTTAGCCGTCTGCTTCACCTAGCCAAAACGGTTGGCGAAAGCTGACGAGGAGTTTTCGACACCCACACAACGAAATTTGGTACGAGACAAAAAATAGCAAGATTAGACGAGATGCTGAAAATACATTTCAAATGCATCTGAAAGATTCAAACCCGCGAATTGTCCGCAGTTCTAAAATCTCTTGGAAATTCGCGAAATTTGGATAGATAATACCTTATCATGGAAATTAAAACACTTGGTTTTTTTGGAATCAACAAAACAATGTGATTTGTGATGATCTTGGCAAATTCAATTAAAACGAGCAAGCAAAAAAAAAGAGGGCAAAAAATCATCATAAATGACATAATTTGGCATAGTCAAGAAATATATCGGATTTCGCGCAACATCTTAATTAGGGTTAGCTCTCGAAAACGAGAAACATTGGTAATTCGAAACCATTCCTGTGTTTTATTTAATCTGATCACTCCACATAAATATTCGACTTGAATTTTTATACTTTCAATTTCTTTTTCGGAGAGGAAAGAGAAACTTCGTGCAAGTCTAGACATCAACATTTTATTTATTCAATTTTAATTCAATATTCTCTTGTTTGCAATTATGTGTTATCGTGAATCATTTAGAAATTAGATAATGTGATTATCGAGACTTGAACACCACAATGTAGATCAAACTTTTGCTCGAGAGCTCTTGCAGCGATTATATTGACAAACAATTGAGGGATGCGCCTTTAACCTATCAATTTGATTTGCCCGTAAATCAACATATGACTTAGAAAATTCGCTCAGGTCAGGAGCAATGTTGAAACAAAAAAAAATTGGCTGGATACCAACATTGCGATTCTCAATCTCGTCGATGATCAACGAATCCGTTCGGTACCGTTTTCAGCGAGACGCCGAAGACTAGAAGTTTTCAGTAAACATTTATTTTATTTTTCACGTTCAGCCTTATATTTTCCAAAATGAATGTATTTGAGTTTGTGTGTCCAACCAAAAATTTTCCGAAACAAGTTGTTGATGGTTTGGTAGCTGCTGCTACTATTGGATGAAGAGCAGAAAACACACACATATATATGAATTGGGAGGGTGACGAAAAAGAAAAAGGTTTTATTTTTGAAAAATCCGCTTCCTGTGCTACATTCGTCGCCGTCTGGAGCATGTTTCGAAAAACACTTTAGAAAAGTTGTCAACTTTTTCTTGTTGTTGTTGACGACGACGTTCGTGCGCCGCACGCCGTCAAAACAATCTGGAGAGGCCAAAAAGAAAAGGCGATGAATATTTTCTGTGAGTCGCGATCGGTGTTGAATATAAACTCTTTCTTTTTTTTTGTCTAGCGAACCATTATATTGAGAGCTGGACGAGATGAGCTAGACTCGCCGAAACTAGCTTCATTTGCAGGCGTTTTTCAAATTTCTTAAACATCAAAGCGCATCGGTGTTCAGAAGCTAATGAAGGGACCCCGCGTCGATGTCCGAGATTCAAAATACGCGTATTTCTAATACAGGAAAAAATTTCGGCAAAATTTGCACAAAAATCTTTGAATTACAGGTGATTGATTGAAGGAGAACTAATAGCTAGAATGCTGCGGACAACCTTCAAGGACAACATCGCGATCAAAATGATGAATGGCCACGATGTAGCTGAAAATGAATTTTGCTACCAAACCGCTTGGGAGAGCAAAAGCTTGACCTTAAACCTAATCAGGAGGTACGTCTACAAATTGGCGAATGAAAAACAAATGTGAAAAATCTGGAGACGAACAAGACGATAAATGTGAAAGAATCGACTTAATGACGAGAAAAAAAGGTGGGATTTTATTTTTTGCAGAAGCAGCAGCAGCAAATTTTTTGTTTCATTTGATTTTTCTCGCGCAATTTTCGTCTCGAAGCGTTCTTCATGAAGCCAATTTTTGTGCGGGGGGGGGGGGCGATTCAGACGCGGCGACGAAAAAAGAATATCGCCGATGGAAATTATCTATTTTTAGGACCTGGAAACAAATCCCACCAATTTCGAAATCGTCTCGTGTCAAAACATTCAATTTGCGAGATTTTAGTGGGATTATTTGAGGAAGAGGATGAGATCAGACAATTTTTTTTGTCGTCTTAATTTTGCTTTTGGCACATTTTGAGAAGATTCTAGTCGTCAAAAGGATGAGGGCGTTCAAGATTAACGGAAAATTGCTTCTTCTTCTTCTTATTTACCAACAAAATCTCCCCAAAACGGATATGTTAAAGTTTGAATTTTGCATGGTTTTGAGCAAAAAAAGAAAATATTTCAAAAAAAATTATAAAAGGGTCTTATCAAGAAGATATCTTCTACTTAAAAAAAATTATAGCATATTAAGTCGGAAATTGTATAGAATAAAGAATGAAGACCGAGGTTTTGGCTGAAAAGAAAATTTTGCCATTTTTGGGGAACTCATGAAGAGCTGAAACTTGGTTGACGCGCGAGCGCAAAAAAATGCAAAAAAGGCGTCAAAGCGTTTTTTTTGCGAAATCCCAAAGCTCGCCTAATTTGGAATCTACATATATTTATGCCGGCGAAAATTGGCTAATTATAACACCCGACGCCATAATCCCTTTGGTGTTTCAGATAGGTGAGTGTGGTCTCGGATGGCCACGAATTAGTCATACAATCATTTGCTAATATTTCAATGTTGTTGAGGACGGACGCTGGAGGAAAGGGGGGAGAGGGAGGGGAGGGGTGGAGGCTCCTCTCCCTGGCACCGCATTTCACCTCATATGCGCAAACAGCAGCACACGCGTTCCGCATTGTTTTCTTGTTCTGTTCACTTTTCGCAAATTATTTAAACAACAAAATGTTTTGGGATGATGGAGATAAAAACATTAGTATAATGATGGATGGATGGATGGCGCCGACGCCTTCGGCGTTTGATGAAGCTTGCGTTCACCGGTGCACTCAAATAAGGAAATTGGATTTGGGTTCGATCAAATGCACTTTGCCCCTTGGTTTTATCATAATGGGAGCCTCGAATGTCCGCAGATCGAATGTACTATAATATGGTGTCGATGAAAAAATTGGAAAATGAAAATTTTTTACACCCCGAAAAAAATTTAGTAGAAAATTTAATTAAACGAAACTCACTAATAGGGGTGTTTTTTATGAGACGCACTGGGCGGAAATTTAAATTATTAATTATTTCGTTGGTCTGCGCATGTTGAGGTTTCCATAATTGACTTGAACCAACTATGGGACCATTGAACAATGCTTCATAATTAAGCAAATGGACAATGTGAAATAATTCCAAAATTGGTTCTTGATTTTAAAGGGACATCGTAAACAAATTCGCGTGGGCCGCCCCATCATCTGCGGACATATCAACTCGGTGTTTCAAGACTAATTCTCAATTTCCTCGAAAACGACAAATTTCGCACGACCGGATTTCCTCGATTTGAATCGAAACACCTCGACGTTGGACATTTAAGGAAGTCGAGTAGAATCAACAAATCAAATAAGTTTTGCAAAAAAAAAGATGGGTGAAGAAAAAAAATAATAATAAATTTTCGGCAAGCAGCTGGAGCCATGAATTGAATCTTCGCTTAATAATTCATGCAAAATTCAAATAGTATAATATTCTTGACAAACAACGAATGATTTAAGCCAAACAATGAGGGGAAACAAACTATATTGTTTTAAACAAAAAAAATGCAAGAGTTGTTTTTGTAAAATAATATTCTGAACGGGCCATTGTGCATCACAATAGAATTGAATTTTTCTTTTTCTTTTTGGAATTTGTTCAAAGTGCCAAATGCCGTAAACAAACTGATTGGTGACATGTAGATACACACATATATATATATATATATATATATATATATATGTGTGTACACCAGTTGTTTATTGGGTGAGCTCCGGAGGAAGCTTCCACGCCAGTGCTTTTTGTTGTTGACGACCACCGCCGCGCATACTTTTTTTTTCTTGATGGGAGGCTCCGAGGAGGAAGTGCTCATTAAGAGTTTTTATCGAGAATTGTTTTGATCTGTTTTTGTGGAATCGAGATGTTTTGCAGGGATTCAAATTTTTTTGAAGCAGAGATCCAAATGTGACTCGGGTTGGGTCTCACGGCGAATGAAAGAATTATTGTAGATTTGTAGTTTATAACAGAACCCCATTTTTGATATTTGAATTTTTCGGTATTCAGGCAAAAAAAATATAATGTGTTATTCAGCTATGGTAACTCAAAACCAATCGGATCCGACAGAATTCGTTTTCGGAATCAATCCGATCCGACTGAGATAAGATTGTAAAATTGCCGGATCCTACTCTGGTAAATGATTCCGAGTCGTATACGAAGAAAGCTCAATCGTATACGCTGATATCGCTCTTCAAACGCGGCCAAATACGATTGGGATTTCTTAATATACGATTGGCATTTCTTCGTATACGATTATAATTCTTCGTATATGATTGTGATTTCTTCGTATACGACTACAATTCTTCATATACGGTAACGATTTCTTCGTATTCGATTGGGATTTTTTCGTATTCGATTGGGATTTTTTCGTATTCGATTGAGATTTTTTCGTATTCGATTGAGATTTTTTTCGTATACCATTTCACTTTACACTACTCGTTTG